GGCTGCCTATATTATATCGCCCTTGCCCCAGAGTTGGTCGTTTAGCGCGTGCCGTCGCAACTTGGAAAGGCAAACGGTGTAATCAATGTAAACGAACTAAGTGGATCTTGCGGAGAAGTGTGCAGAAATTGACCTTTTGCGTGTGCGGGGAAATTGCGAGCGTAGCAGACAAATCATAAGTGTAAACAAAAAAATTGATAAATATATATACTTATATTATGCACAAATGAATACGGTTGCTCAGGGGCGATCAATTAAACTGATTGAATCACTTTTAAATGAAACGCTTCGGCATTGCGTGTGGTTTGGGAAAGTGAAAAGGTTCTGCCGATCTCACAGGGAAAAACCCTGTTAACTACAAATGTTTGCTTAGAAACACTATTAAAAAAACTATGAACTAAGAAGTCAAACTGGATAAATGGATCAACGTAGTACAATTTTAAATTGAGAAAAGTAAATATTTTTCTTAAACTTGTATGAACTTTACCATATGCCTATCTAAAGATAAAAACTTAAGAACAAACGAAAACAAATTTCAAACTACTTCAATGGATTGTAAACATGTGCATTAACAGTGGTTTGAATTCCATGAGCTTTACTTTTTAGCGTTTATCAGCTCACGTCATATCGAAATTTTAGTGCTTTAATTTCGCACTCATCATTTAACAGCCGTTTGTTATTCAAAGGCAAGGGTTCCCTGTACCCGCCAATCAACCTTTGAGTGCAAGCAAATAGACACATATTTATTTGCGGCCACCTAGATAATTTCAGTTTTAATGGCTAAAAATGATAAAAAATCATATGGGAAACCAAAAACAAATCGAAAGCGCAAAAGCAAAAGCAAAATAAAGTGAATGGACTTGTATGTGTGCATATATATGTATGTTTGAATGTTCGTTGGAAGCCGTTACTAATGGCAAATGACGTGGTGAGGAAGAGAGAGGAGAGACGCTCAGTGCGAATTGAGTGCAATTTGGGTGCAAGTGTACTGGGCGGAAAGTGGGCGGCGTACAGTGGATCGAAAAAGAGGGGAGAGTGTCAAAAAGGAGAGCACACCTTAAATGTCAAGGTTTTATGTAAGCAATTGCCAACCTATAGTATATAAATATTTTTATGTGCGGTTGTAAAGTAAGATTTTGGCAAGGAGACCATTCATTTTATAATGATTAGAGTATTATAAAATGTTACGGCATTTAAAAACCTTACAATTTTACTGTAAAGCCAGTTCTTTTCAAGTCAAGTTCAGACTTTTAGATTTATTAACTTCTGAACAGATGAACTTAAAAATGCATCCAAATACAGCCTATAACAACTTAGTAACGAATATTAAAAATGTAAATAAAAGAAAACAATCGTTCTTTACGTTCTCACCATAAAATATTGTGTTTAATAACCAGTAATCATTTTAACAAATTTGAAATTTTACTTTTGAGGCAGCGAATGCCCGACGCTTTGTCTCCCTTTTGTTTGTCTCTACCTGTACATTTAATACTTTCAAACTTACATACATAGGATTTGTTATGATCAGCGAGTCAATTTAATGAGTCAGAAATTTAGCACGCGACAATGCAAGAATTGTATATTCAGCATAGGCGATTATTATGCTTTGTTTGGGTGTATGTAACACTTGATAACGAACGCAACACTCACCATATACTTTTTGCGGAAAGAAAAAAGGTTGGTTAAATACTGTCCAAGATTCTGTGACTCCAATGTGGCAATAGTTCTTCTATTGCATTATATAAAGATTTGTAATTCAGGGACGTTGCTTCACAATTTGTATTTGCTTTGTTGTTTTTTTTTTGTCACATCGTTTTAAGGACGCGAAGTTCCTCTTTCCAATGGCGTTCTTTTCTTCTGTTTGTTGTGATACCACCCAACTGCTTAAGCCCTAAACTACTACCACTACAAACGCACTGTCACTTTTGTCCCCAAGGATGGGAAATGGTTATTATGCTTCGCGTGATTTAATATATATCTCTATTTTTGATTCGCGACGACGCGACGAAAATAAAAAGTATGACCGCGGCACCAAGATAGTGGTGAGCAAACATTGATTGGACTATCGATAACTTACGTCTCTCAAAAGTTTCCAGTGACAAAAACGGTATTCCTTGGCTTTTGCTTCACGGTCTTACCAGGTAGCAAACATTTTTGAATTTGTTTAGATTTTACTCATTTTAAATATTATTTATTGCGCCAGGATGTCCATATACTTTATTAATTGTATACAGTATTTTATGTGAAAAATTCTGATTTGGCAAAACACATGTTATAAACAGAATTATCCTAATGGCATGTGTTAATTTAAAAAAAGTAAAATGCAGTTACTTTTTATATATTTTTCGATCCCTTGTATTTATTCAAATTTGTTTTGTATATATAATTGGGATAAAATAATGCTTTAAAATGAATTTAATAAAAATCTTCATCACGAATAGTCTTATTTTTTTGAAAGGATCAAATGAAATTGTCAAATAAAGATCTTGTTAATTCGACACTTTTAGTGTTTCCGTCAATGAAAAAAAAAAGTTAAGCGCTGTTTAAAGCAAAGCAAGCTAACAGAAGTTACATTTTTTGAATATCCATATTTTAACAAGATATGCACTCATTTCAAAGACGTAAAAGACTTTCCTATTAATACCAAGGTTGGCTGTCTTGCACTAAGCAATTCATATGAGAAAACCGTAAACCATTCCAGGCCTATTTTAAATCATTGATGATCAATTTGATTAACCCATAATTGGGTAATGACGGTATTTGTTGTTAAATAAGGAAATCAGTGGCGTTGAACTCATATTAAAACTGGATTACTCCTTGTTCTCCTTGGTTTTAAGTGTAGATGACAATTCCTTAGCCGCTTCTGCAATTCGCAAAACCGCAGACCGGCACTTTCCCAACTTTGTTTATGCCAAAAGTAATGTACACAAATGCAAACGTTTTACGTTAAATTACAAAGGGAATTCGCTTTATTACCAAATCAAGATCTAGTTATTTGATTAGACACATTTAGAAGTTCCTGCAATGGAGGGAATAACGATTAAAAAATATCCTGGCAATACTTAAGGAGCAACTCACTTGGTAATGAGGCCGTCCTTCTTGGCCAGACGCACAATGCAGTCGTCGGACTCGCCCATGCGACGGATCTCGCCGCAGATGGCGTAGGTCTTGGAACCTTCGGTCTGGCGACCGGTCTCGGGGTCCACATCCACGATGCTCAGCTGCACGGAGGCGTGGTCCTTGGCGTGGATGATCCTGTTCGATGCCGAGCTGCACAAGAGGGTGTTAATAATCCGGCAAGCAAAATGCGCGGGGAACACGTGTTTTACTTACCACTTGCGGGGCACGTACAGATCAACATTCTCACCGGCGTCGTTCTCCATTTTATGGGGCTGCAATGAGGACAAAACAATTGGCTTATTATTTATCAAGTTTTTATTTCTGAAAGCACTGCTGAACTCACTTTTTTGTAGAAATTTACAAATCTAGCGACCGCAACTCGTCGGTGGAGGCGAAAAAGAGAAAGAAATGACAGCTGGACGTGAAGTTGGCTGCGCTGCGGCTGGCGCCCTCAGGCGGAAGTTATTGGTACTACTTTTTTGGGGTAACCGTTTTTCATTTTTAAAATTGTTTTATACTCCTTTTGGTATTTTTTAATTTAATCACTTAATTTCCTTTTATAAAAATTTGCTTCTATTGTTCTTGTTTTACTAAATTTCTCTTATAGGTAATAAATTAACTATATATTGCATTGTATTTTTTTCATGATAAAATAAAAATTATTTATATTCTCTTTTGATTCGACATATCAGAATATAGGTATTAAAGCGTAGTTTAAAAGAAACTTAAGCTGTTTTAATTGGTAATTTAAAAAATTACATACCATTCTTAATATAAATTTTTATTTTATTTTCATATCTTTTGTAAGTTATTTCGTTTAAATTATTTTGTAGTTCCCCCAAATGTACTTGTTTGAATACCAAAAATACAGAAATCGCGGCCATGTCAAATAGTGGTGTATTTTGCGACTTCTTACATCCGGTCACACTTTTAGGGCCAAGTCTAAGCTGCAAATTTCGCGTCGGGAAAATTCTATTGCATACTTTTTGATGCATTAAATGAATAATTCCCATCAGTGCTCCCTAATACATTATTAATAATATCCTAGTTCGAGGACTTACTTTATTTGGCATGTGAGTATTGATTTTGGCAAAAATCCGTCAGTCAGTGAATGTTTTTGGTGGAATGGGCGTAAAGGGGGGTACTTATTTTTGACCTCGCTCGATGTCAGCAGCAATTTTCGTCAATGAGTAGCGGATTCCGTTAGTTCTGCTACTTTTATTACTATTTCGCGTGTGTGTGCGAGTGGGTGGTAGTGGAAGTGGGTGGGATTGTTTTAATCGCGGATTAATGCGCGCCATGTCTCGGAATTTACAGTCCACGTTGCCTATTTATAGGCGTCGCATACTCAATGAACTTTCAACGGCGGCGGCTGAGGTCAGGTCCATTTGCTTGTGAATTGCATTTGCGATCTCTTTTTCTCTGACTCTCTGGCTAAGCAGCTTAAGTTAGGACGCCAGAAAGTCGACACTAAAATACCCTGTTTTTGGTCAGAAAAAATTATGAAGATGTTACTGTTTATACGTTCCAAATATTCTGAGAAACCAATAGAATAAAGAAAAAGTAATAAAAATAACAACATTTTCTAGTTTTAAGACTTATCAAACAATACATCTTTCAATCCTTCAAGAGATACCGAAATACCATACAATACTTTGCAACGATTTTTCAAGTTCAGACCATTTTCATATTTAATTTACAATATGTTTCATACCTTTCAAAAATATTTAAACAAAAGAACAAACTAACAAATGAACTAGCTTTTGAACTAGAATTCTATAAGTCCATATACCCTGCAACTACACGGTAATACTAAAAAAAGCTACGGCTCTCCCGTTCGCTTTTGGATTTAACTTTGTTAGTTGCTCGCCAACTTTGAAAGCAATCGGTCGACTTCGCGTCGTTTGTTTTTTGAAAACCCCAGCGGCATGACTTTTGGTTTATCGTTGTTAGTTGGGTCTCTGTGTTTTGGAACTGAAACTTCTTGAGGTGAGACTCACAAGTGGTCGAGCCGCCTGTTGACCTTTTGCTTGTGCAAATTATTACATTTTTGCATAATCTGTTGGCAACGTGCTAAGTTCAGAAGAGTGCAAAAAGATAAAATGAAATGAGATCATGATAACGTGAGATGCTATTTATAAGCTCAAACACCAAATAGCAAAGATCCCGAGACCCATAATAAAGCAGAAAAATAGTATATAAAACGAATGGAAAGTGGAACTAATCATTGTGCTCATAATAATACCTATAACAAACTATAGTTGGTTATAATAGAGTTGAAAAGATGTGATACAAAATAAATTAAATTAATTATCTTTGGATAATTTGATTGGGACTTAAACAATATATCAGGTACCTATCTAGCGCCCAATTTGTATACCCTTGCAGAGGGTATTATGATTTCATTTAAAAGTTTACAACGCAATGAAGAAGACATTTCATTACCAGGAGAGTTATCCAGCTATGTCAGTCTGTCCCTTCCTACGCAAACTATCTCGATATTTCCCAAAAGACCACTTTGTATCATAGTTTGCTTCCTTTTTTGTTTAAAAAGCTATTGATCATTTAGAAATTAAGGTAAATAGCAAGTGGCTGTCAAAATTATCTTATCAGTTAAAATTACCCTGTAGCATAAAGGTCTTGTTAATAGTTACGTTATTGCATTTTTAACATTCATCATATCAGTTTGCGGGCTTATCTGAACTTAAACATATGTACACACATAGTTTATTAGTAATTTACCTTTCAAGTAATATACACATTTACATTGTTGATAAAATGGCTTTTGATTCTTTATTAAAACTATAAAAGATTAAAGACTTAAACTCTGTCCAAATAATGTTGTTACTGAAACTTCTTGTTCTTGCTTTACTTTTATATGTATTTGGTCAATTATAAAACTACCTTTTTGGGAAACCAGTCTTATATAAAAAATATTCTAAATTCATTACCAACTCACTCAGACTGTTTTAAAGAATCTTCATTCAGACCATATTTGCTTTAAATTCCCAATGGAAACCAAATCCAAAGAAAATATATCTAAAGGGCAATTAAGAATGCCTACAAGCCAAAGAAAACTGTGAACTCATGATGTCAGCAGCACACATTGCGTGTCTGGCCCAGAAGATTATGATGATGATGATGATGAAAAGCCACATGAAGAAAGCCCCGAAACTAAAACACTTTCTAGGTCAAAAGTTGAAAGGCAAAAGGGAAACATCGCAATAATCACGATGATGACCATAAAAAAAAACCAAGCATAAAAAAGTGCGACTGCATGAAATGCAATTAATAAAGCAATGTTCAACAAAGTAAAAGCCCACAAAAAGAAAAGAAAATGCTTCACTTTGACTGGCTCGTTGCGTGTTGATAGAGCCAAGTCAGGCCTGATCTGAGGGGCCGCCTGTCAATTTCCAAGGGGAGTTCCTATTAACAACAGATAAATTACAGCATGCAAAAAATTAATAGTTGTTTTTCTATTGCAACAGGGAAAATCGCATGATTTGCAAAAAAATATACAAAACCTATACTTTCTAGAAAAGGTTTGTTTACTTTAAGAGTAAACATACTTTAAATATGGATAAGGTTAAAAATACTTACATATAATTTTAATGAAAGGTAAAAAATATCAAGAAAAATAATTATACTGGGTATTTTTTACCTTTTAAAAGTCATGTAAATACAACTACTATTACTTAAAATAAATCTGCAAGGCTACCATATCGATACAAAGCAAACTGCATTTATCCTTTCACTGAATAAATAAAATAGATTGGCAGAATAATTGTTGGCAATTACATAAAGGGGAATACAAGGTAATTATAGGTTTAGTGAGAAAGGAACAAATGTCCTTCGAATAGAAGTCCTTAATAGAAGTATACCTAATTTTTTTAAAATTATAAAATGGTAAAAATAAAAAAATGGAAATCAAGCAACTTCTAATGATTCCTTTGAGCTAAGCTTCACCTTTCACCAGCTTAGTTTCAGGCATTTTCCAGGAACACCTCCCAATTGCACTGCAACTTTTTCTTTTCCAGCGTTTCTTTCATTATAATTCTAAGCTTTGCAGAACGAAAACCTGTTATAGTCGCAGCAACTTAATTTTAATGCAGCCCATGCCTTTTGGCTGTGCTCTTTTTCTCTTCAATTTACAGTGCTAGACTTTTGGGGAACTGGTCGCTCGGAATTAAACGTAGACTTGCACTTGGACTTGGACAATGAAGCCGCATCCAGTGTTGCCCGTTTTGTTGTTGGCGCGGCTGCTGGTTTTGTTGTGATTTGATTTGGTGCCACTTGCCGGCCGATCTTGTCTGCTTAGCCAGAAGTTTGCAGTTGGAGGGGCAGCGTTACAGTTCGGAAAATCGGTCAATGGAAACGGGCTTGTAAGCAGGTGCACCAAACAGACCCGGAGGCCAGGAGAGATTGGAGCCGCAGGCATGTCGCTTAAGGTAGGTAAATGCTCGAGTATTGACCCATATAACGCGTAATTGACTCATTCGCATCGACTTTGATTACTCCTAGTAATGGCGAAAACTACTGAACTGTGCTAAAATTATTTTATATTAAAAACACAACTTTTAATTTGTATCACTCTTAATTCTAAATGAAATAACCTTCACTGCGAACTGAGTATGGTTATAGCAAGGAAGGAATACCCGCCCTAATAATTTCCCAAGCCACATTTAATATTTATTATTAATTATTAAATCATTAATATTGCATCAATGGATTGACATCAGATCTACCATGTGTGGATTCTGTCTGAAGCTTTAAAAGTGTTTCTCACGTGCTACCCGCTACCTATAAATATCTTTGTCGTCATCATCAGCGACGTGATTATCATTATGGCATCACCGTCTTCATTGTCATTATGTCATTTCAGAGTGCAGAAGCATTTGCATTGTTTCCCTGGCAACTTGAGTCACGTCGTTTTCATATGAGGGTTTTCACTTGTCTTTGCCTTTCAACAGGTGCTTCAGACCACTTCATCAGTCCCTCATACCTGGCAGAAATACACAAACACACGGGCACAACTGGGCTACTTAATTCGCTTCATTAACGCAATGTTGACATTTCTATCGCATTTAGTTTGAAAAAATAATTATTGCATTTCCCCTTTTTTCGCACAAATGGTCATTGGCTGCAACTTGGGTGACTGTCGTTAGTACATGTTTCTGGGGAGATTGGTATGCCATTTAACCCTTGAACTGCTGCAGGAACTTAAAATTATTTTAGATAATTTTTGTTTATTTTTAAAACCACTTATTATTATATTAGCATTTAACAGGTTAAATTTTAAAGTTAATCGAAAAAAGATTTATCTTGATTAAAATATCAAGTCTAAAATAGAGAAATAGATAAATATAAAATTTAAAAATAAGATGAAAAAAATGATTTAAAAAATACTCATACGACCCGTGGTCAATTCTTTTTATTAAGAGGACTTAAGAGGGCTTAGGATTTATTTAAAAATAACGAATTATAAAGTATAATAAATGTAACATTTAATTACACTTAACAAACAAAGAAAAAATTCTGCACATTTACTTTAATAAATACTCATACGACCCGTATTTCACTTTCATTATTTTAATACCTTCTTTTAAAACGCCTATCTCAGGGTTAAGATTCATTTTGAAAAAATGAATTCAATGTGGTCCGACATCCGGTATGAAATAACTTTTTTTGTACATTGCTGCTCTGACCCTAATTGCTGTAAACAGGAAAAGTAATTTCCCCACGTGGCGCCCCGAATGGTGGAGCTATACAGAGGTGCTGGGGAGTGGAGGGGCAGCAATATTGAGTGGGTCTTTGGCCCTCCGGCCATGGGGTGTGGGTATCACTGCCCAAATATCTTTCTTTATTTTGACAGCTGCTGCAGGCCAAATTGTTAATTGATTCGATTCTTCTTTCGATGCCAACAGAAAGAGACGCCCTCGGACGTGCAACTGCACATGGCAGCAATGAGGGGCGACGAGGTGGCTCTACTTCGAGTTCTGGACAGCGGAAAAGTCCATGTGGATTGCAAGGATGAGGTAAGTTGAACTTGCTTAAAGGGAAACAAAATGTATATTTAAAATGATTACTGCTTACCTATGCGACATCCCCAATTTCATAACAAACATTAAAAAAGTGTTATATGACAAGTTACATCAACTTATTTTAACTTAATGCACTTTAGCTATAGCCACATGCAATCGGTAAAGCGTGACACATGCCACTTCAAAATGCTGTCAGTAAAATATTACGAAATTTCTGCCAAAATAATATTTTGTAAAGACTTTGCCACGTAAAAATCAGTTAACACGTTGTTGCTGACTTAAATACGCACCAATTGGCAAAGAAGACGAAAAGCGCAGCAAACGAAAAGCCGATAAAAACATAAGCAAAAAGCTATGTAAATAAAATTTACGAACTTTTTATACTCTTTACCCCTTTTTTAAAATTGAATTAACGATTTAATGCCTTAGTTATAAAAAAAACCATTAATAAAACCATTAATAAACCGTTATAAAACCATTAAAAAAACCATTTAATTGAAAAAACAAACTATATTATAGTCGGTTTGCCAAATAGACTTTAGTGAGTATTTACAGTACAATTAAATTAGCTTTCTTACATTACCGATAATTACTACTACTGTAGTTGAAAGATAATCAAGTGCACAAATTCAAATTAACAAGTACATCTTTAACCTGTTAATTCCAAACACTTAAGCAATATTTGAATGCCCTCGGCAAGTGTATAAAAAACGAAATGAAATTTCACTGACTGCCCAGCGAAGCGTGGACCCAAGACCAAAAAGCAAGTCCAGAGGGAAAGGAATGGAAAGTGGGCTGCGGGGGCAGTGTGCCATCGAGTTGGGTATTATGCCAGCTGGTCTGCAAAAGTCGGCGGTTAGGGCGCTACGTGACTCCCCCATATTTGCATTCAGTCCGAGTGCAACGAGTGCGATTTGCGATTTGTGGCGCGATTTCCCCTCTGGGTAATGCCACTATTTTCTTTTTGTTTTTCTCCTGTTTAGTTTTTGTCCAGTCCGAGTCATGCAAATCCACACGAAACGATTTAGCACTGAGCTGGTGAAACTAATCGCAATTTGCCATTCAAATCGTTTGATGCCCAATTAAACCATTAAAACAATTGGTTTATCATTTATCGCATTGATTTTTAAAATAAACGTAAACTGTGAATTTGTGATGGCAGGCGAGGGTACTATTTTGAGTTAGTGGATTGGAATGATTAATGCAAAACTTAAACGGTTTTAATTTATTATCAATTTAATGTGTAAATATATGCAAATTATAATTTGAGTTGTATGAGAGAAAAGAAAATTATTGTAAGCTTCCCAAACCATACATGTTCGATATAAAAAATTGTTTCGTGACAGGAATTTAAAACAACAATAGTGTTGTGTTGTATTTATAAAATCTCCGTACCAAGCTGAAATTTGATTTTAGTAAAGAAAATACTATATTTAAATATAAATAAAATGTATTTGTAATCTCATTTCAGGATGGGACAACACCGCTTATCTTGGCTGCTGCCGGAGGTCACACCTACTGCGTGATGGAGCTCCTCGATCAAGGGGCCGATCCGAACTCGCGTCGTCTCACGGGCACCACGCCCCTTTTCTTTGCCGCCCAGGGCGGTCACCTGGACGTGGTGAAGATCCTGATGAAGGCGGGTGCCAATGTGGACACGCCCTCCGCGGATGGGGGCACGCCTCTTTTTGTTGCCGCCCAGGGCGGTCATGTGAAGATAGTGCGGGAGTTGTTGGACTGTGGAGCGAATGTCAATGCCCACATGAAGGTGGGCTAAGAAGAATTCCGAAATTCCATTCCGAGATTATAATATTTCTGTTTCCGCAGGATCGTGCCACTCCAGTGTTTATATCCGCCCAGAATGGACACCGCACAGTGTTGTCGCTGCTAATCCAGGCGGATGCGGAGATCGATATCAAGCGGATAGACGGCGCCACACCCCTTTGGATAGCCGCCCAGATGGGCCAGGACCACATCTGCAAGGTGCTGCTGCAGAATGGGGCCAATGTGGACACGGTGCGCTGCGATGGCGCCACGCCGCTCTTCAAGGCGGCCCACAAGGGCCATGCGGCCGTCATCACCGTTTTGCTCAAGTACCGGCCCAATCTTGGCCAGCTGCCCAATGGAGAGTCGGCCCTGCATGCCGCCGCCATGTTTGGCCACATGACCGTCTGCAAACAACTGGTGGCAGCCGGCAGCGATGTCCTGCTGAAGAACCAGGACGGACTGACGGCCCTGCAGTTGGCACACCAACAGAAGTACACCTCCATCTGTGATTACCTCCAGGAGCGGATCAGGACGATGGTGGCACGCAGCGCCAAGGCAATGGTCAGCTCCGGAGTTTCGTCCACGGTCAAGACGATGTCGGCGTAAGGGGATATGGACTTTCGAGTGAAAACGCCTCCAAAGTACCTTTATGCACTTGGCCTTTCTGCTTATATCCAAAAAAGAGCCGAGGGAAGAGGGTGTTCCCTCGGATGCTGGGCAATCAAATGGGGGAATCAAGAGATATAATGTTTTGTAAAGCCATTTGGAACGAGATTTGAATCAAGGAAAAATAGGTCTACATTTAAACGCAAGGGAAAGAGATAAAACTCCGATTTGTGTTGCCCAGTGTAACAGTTACACCTGCACAAAAAATAATCATTACAAAAATCCACTAGTAAAAACACGTCCAAGCTAAACTTAATGGCCTCCCCCAAGGAAACCAAACTACTTATTAAATAAGCCGTATCATTCATACTAAAAACCACTTGGAGCTTGTATTTTGAATTTAACATAAACCATAACAATAATGTTAACTATAACAATTACTATAACAATGTTAACATGGACCCGAAAAGAGAATGTTACAATGCCCGCTGTACATAACCATATATATAAACTTATATTTAAATTATACCTTAAAACTATTTATAGACCTACTGTACCCTAAGCAATTGTTGACAAGTGCTTTAACTTTAAACGCCTTTTTGTCCTTAAATTAGCAATTAGTTAAACTCGATGGTTTTCTGCTTATTTCCCTGTAAAGTAGTTACGATAATTAATTAATTTCTTACTTTATTAAATTATAAGTATAGTCCACATTTTTGCAAGTTTAATAAATTGACACACGATTATTGAAGAGTTTTACTTTAAACAAATATTAAAACACGCATACTATGGGCTTGGTTCTGGAACTAGGAAAACTAAACTACTTAACAACTATACTTTATACCATAATCTTTATTCTTCTTCAATACTTACATAGATTTCCTTAAATGTAATTTTTGTCGACATGTGTAATATAATGTACTATAGTTTTTCTTGCGTCACAAAGGTTATACTAATATTGTTCAGTAGAAAGACCTATATATGAGTATCTTGAATGGGTTACGTTTGTCCAACTGTTTTTGAAAAACTACGAGTATAACGTAAGCTATCCAAACAGCTCCATTCTTAGTTCTTATGGCGATCATTCGGCTTACAAAGACGTATGGGTTCAGTTCAGTTTGACGTATTTGGTAGACAGTTGGAAATTCAACACATATGCTTTGCACAAGTGAACTTTTGACGGTTCATGTCATTCCTTTCCCGGTTGGAACATTCAAGTGATCTATACATTTAGTAGTAAAGTTCAAAGATGACAAGTGCAAGTCTTTTATCGCGCTCTCTATTAATAGAAGGTGATTACAAATTTATGGATTATTTTTATATGTTATTAAAACATTCAGAGTTTAAAACAGTATATAAATTCCTGATCAGCAACATCAATGTTGGTTTTGTCAGGAACTTAAAAAGTTATACAGAGAAAGCCGGGATCTCAGAGAATAAAGAAAGTCTTGAAAATTGCCAAATTTGGAGCACTAACATTACCAAATGACAATAATTTGCGTGGAAAATATCTTGAAATTAATGTTTTTGTAACTGTTTTAAATAAGAGCTTAAAATTACTTGAAAAGATCATTTCGTTTTTTATTGAGTTTTAAAAATTATGAAAATAGCAAGTTTTAAAATGTTTTCCTTTTTCTGAAAAAGCTGACGTGGTGGCAAATTTCGGTGTTGAGTCCACAGAAATCTTTAATAAATGTTTAGTTTTGGTGAAACACGGTATTATCTTTAGTGTTAATATTAGGAAAATTTGAAAACAGTTTTGTCATTGAATATATAAAATATATAATACCCTATTCACCGATTTCAGCTCCTCGCTCCAGATATCGCACGTTGTTGGCCCTGATTGTGGGCCTGGTGGTGGGCTACTGCATGTCCCAAATCTTCTCAAGCGTTGTGCCGAACGAGAGCCTGTATCCATATCTTAGTCGTCGCTTGCGTCCGCAAAGCCAGTTATTGTTGGGGCCGGATCACAATCCCTTCCAGCACGACCATCCCGATGACAACACCTCCGTGGCCGATCAGCTGAAAAAGGAGGTCCGCATCCTTTGCTGGGTCATGACCAATCCCACCAACCACAAGAAGAAGGCCCGCCACGTGAAGAGGACGTGGGGCAAGCGCTGCAACATCCTGCTCTTCATGAGCTCTGGCCCGGATGAGGAGCTGCCCACGGTGCAGCTGGATGTGGGCGAGGGCCGTGAGAATCTGTGGGCCAAGGTCAAGGAAGCCTTCAAGTATGTGTATAAGCACCACTATAACGACGCCGACTTCTTCTACAAGGCGGATGATGACACGTATGCGGTGATCGAGAATATGCGGTATATGCTCTATCCGTACAGTCCCGAAACACCCGTTCACTTCGGCTTCAAGTTCAAGCCGTTCGTGAAGCAGGGCTACATGTCCGGCGGAGCGGGTTACGTACTCAGTCGCGAGGCACTGCGTCGGTTTGTGGTCGAGGGCATTCCGAATCCGAAGATGTGCCTGCCGGGCACAGTGGTCAACGAGGACATCGAAATCGGGCGCTGCATGGAGCACCTGAATGTTACGGCCGGGGATTCCAGGGACGAGATTGGGCGCGGTCGCATGTTTCCATTTGTCCCGGAACATCATTTAATTCCAGCGAAATGGGACAAGAACTTTTGGTACTGGAACTACCTCTTCTACAAGACGGATGACGTAAGTTTTAATTTGGCTAAAGTTTTAATATTTAGTTGGCATAGGAAAGTAAAATGGGAGATTTAAAATAAAAAGTTCTTTATAAAATGAGCATGGTAAATAGCATACCCAATTTGTCTTGGGTCCCCAAATTTTCCTTGTTTAATCCAAGTTTCAATTCTGTCTAAAATAATACATTTTTCAGCCACTTAGTCAACAAATATGTATAATAAATTTAGTTTTTGTCATACTTTTGACAATTGTTCTATTAGATTTATAATTCCATATTGAAATAGGTATGATATACATATATTGTTGATAATTTAAATATATGACAAATTTTGTTGAGATTATTATAAATTACATTTTTACCAGGGTCTCGATTGCTGCTCGGATTTGGCCATCTCCTTTCACTATGTTGCCCCAAATATGATGTACGTGCTGGACTACCTGATCTACCATTTGAAGCCGTATGGTATGATGCGATCGCTAGAACCTCTTCCTGCCAAACTAGCAGTGGGCCAGTTGCTTCCCGCTCCTGTTGAACGTCCTTTGGGCAGTAATGAGGATTCCGCGGATGACATGGACAGGTTATTCCCCACCACAACTGAGAAGCCGAAGGAACCCGAAGCCAAGGAAGTGGAATCCAAGGAGATTGAAAGAGAAGAGGAAAAGCAGTCAAATGAAACTGAAGCAGCGGATGATTCCAGAACAACTGACGATGATTCTGAGCATACGGATGAGGAAACGAATAAGGATTCAAAATCCAAGAAAACTTCGAGGCGACATTAGAACTGTTTTCATTTTTCCTATAGCATAGTGTTTTAATAATCATTTAAAGTTGCCTTAAATTATGAAGCTTTCGCATTGTATTTGCTATAATAATAATGTCCTAGCTACTTAAATCATTATAGTCAAATAGTTTAATAAACATTCTAAAGTATGTTCAATAAATGTAAACATACGATTTTAAGACCTTTTCAAAAGTATGTGTTTTATGTAAGGCAAAAATTAATTAAAGGTCTTCAATAGGCATAGTTCACTGCCACATCTTCCTCAATATTTTGTGGTTGATATCCTTTAATGTCCTTCTTCACTGTAGTGCCATACTTGACTGGCAGGGACTCCACTGGAAGCCTCCGTCCAAAAGCCCTTAATCTATAGATCATATACTCGAAACAATGCATGTAGCGATGTTGAACGTAGTGAAACGAAACAGCATAGTTGGACCAAGAAAATATTCCCTGAAAAAAATCAGCTCTTAGGTAAGATATTAATTTACAATTAGACTACGAACATCTTGGGTCCTGTAGGCGAGGAATTTCCAGAACCAGAACTTGGGATCGTAGCGAAGGTACATATTGGATCTGGCCTGTGGCTCAACGAGATACATCCGTCTGCGTCCTTCGGAATCGCAAGAGTTTCCCGCCATCACATTGGCGTTCTCGAGGCACTCCTTCAGTTTCCCGCCCGTGGGACCCGCGTCCTTTGGCTCGCACTTCGATGGGTTTGGCAGGGATACCTCCACGAAGCGACGCAGTGCAGCACGACTCATCACAGTGCCCGGGTATCCGAAGTAGATGGCCAACTCTGGGCTGTACGGATAGACCATGTACCGCAGATTCTCCATCAGCACATAGGTCTCATCGTCGGCCTCCAGAAACCAGTCGGCATCGTTCAAGTGCTGCTCGTAGAGGTACTTCAGCGCGGCCTTCGTTTTCCGCCACGTCTCACGGAAGTTGGCATTGGCGGCGGGCAGGGCCACGGATCCCTTGAGATTGGTGTCGTTCCGGCTGCTGAAGAAGATCAGCTTGTTGCACCTCCTGCCCCAGGTTTCCAGAACGGCCTGGGCCTGCGGCTTGTGGTTGCTGGGCTTTGTATGGACATAGCACAGGACTCGCACTTCCTCGCTCAAATCGATGTCGAGTGGATTCGTTCCGGTCGTGCGATTCGCATGCGATTTAAGGTCAATAATAGGCCAGAGAACGACCTGGGTTATCAGATATCCAATACCGATGCCCAGGAGCAAAAATAGCACTGGGCGGGAGGTTGATGACGAAACTGAATGCTGTTGATAGTAGCTATTTCGATCCAGAAAAACGCACTCCTTTCTTTCCATTTTTGCTGGTTCTGTGTTCGTTCTGAATCCATATGTGTATTCGCTGTAGTTACACCTATCAGTAACGCCTAATTTTATTAAAGAGCTGAGTAAGTCTTCTGAGAGGTTAAGCATAGAAAACAGCTTTTGCAATGTGTTCTCTGCAATGCTGGTTACACTGGCAAAAAAATAATTAAACCTTTATTTCATTTTGATGTTTTAAGCTTGGTACATTTTTAATGATGAAATATTAATTTCATTTATACATTAAAGCGCTTTTTGAAAAACCAAAGTAGTAATTGGGAAATTTTTAGATTAATCTAGTTCTGCTCATAATATAAAAAGTACATAGATGTACTTAAATTTATAACTTACAAAAATGACGAAATAAAGACTTGCCAATTACCAACAAATTTTTATTTGCCATAAATTGTACTCTTAAACTAGGTAGGACCCTATATATAAGTATCACCAACAAAAATGCCTGCTTTGATTAAAAAAAAATTGAACCATGAACTGTGTTTTTCCCAGAACTGATAAGGCGAAGATTCTTATAAGCTGGCAACACATTCACATTATCAGTCTTTTAAAATGTTTCTTCTGAAGTGGACACTTTTACGCCATTGGGCAATAGGAGTTTTTCTTTTAAGCTGCATAATTCATTGTGATGCCTGTTCTTCTCCGTATCATTGTGCTGCCAATCGACTTTGTTTGAAAGTGGCTAAAATTGGAAAAAATGATTTAAGAACTCCATGCAAGGCGAATGAAATCTGTTGTGAATACTCAAATATTGTAAGTACCACATTGTCATATTGATTTGCCCAAGACTGAAATTCATTTTTTTTTCCAATTAAAAAGACTAATGAGAGGAACTCAAGACCCGGCCAATTTCCCTGGACGATCGCTCTATTCAGCGATGGAAAATTCTTTGGAGGCGGATCCCTCATTGCGCCACGAGTTGTTCTTACAGTAGCTCACTCCATAAGGCTTAAGTCAGAGGCTAATATTATGGTGAGAGCTGGCGAATGGGATTTAGCATCCGCATCGGAACCGTTTTCGCATGAGGATAGATATGTGGCCAAAATCGTTCGACATAAAGAGTTTGTACAATCTACTGGGGCCAACGATATAGCCCTTCTGTACCTCACTTCGCCGTTCGAGTTGAAGGACCACATCCAGACCATCTGTTTGCCCCACCAAGGAAAGGTCTTCCTGCAAGATCGCTGTCTGGTTGCCGGATGGGGAAAGCAATCGTTCGAGGCTCCACAGTTTTCGCAAGTGCAAAAGAAAATCGATTTACCGATGGTGGACAGAGGGCAATGCCAAAACCTCTTGAGGACCCGCCTTGGCCCCACCTTTGAGTTGGCCAGCAGCCTAATCTGTGCCGGCGGAGAGAAGGACAATGATGCCTGTACCGGCGATGGAGGATCCGCCCTGTTCTGCCCACTGGGCGTACACGACAATCGCTACTTGCAGGCTGGCATCGTCAACTGGGGCGTCGAGTGTGGCAAGGAAAATGTTCCAGCAGTTTTCACAAGTGTGGCCATTTTCAGAGATTGGATTGACCAAAGCCTGGCAGTGAACTCAGTGGAACCCCTTACGAACTGCGCTCTTGTCGGTCCAAGAATCGTCGGGTAATCAAGAAAACAAACTCATAATGGATCTTTATTCAAAATAAAACAATTTTTTTGTTCTATAATACTATTGTGTTTTAGGGGAGGATACATATATATATGAAAAAAAACTTACTCACCAATTAAAAAATATTTGGCCAAAAATCTTCTATCTACCTATTACGCAATGCGCAATGTTTCAAAATAAATTAATCATGAATCATCGCTAAGAGTACCGAATTTTGTACAAACAAAGCTTTATGCCATTTCTTATCATGTCAACTTATTGATCATGCCTAAATTGAGTCAAAATATAGAAAAAACAAATAAGGGAAATTGGTCTTAGCTAGAATGTTAAAAGGGTTATATTTCTTTAATCTGAATTAACTCTTTGTTTGAAAATAAAAATCTATTTTTGAAAATAGTTATATTTGTAAGAATTCCATATCATTCCATATACCATTTCTATTGGTTACTTAGGCAATTAATAGATTTAAGATGAAAGGGAATAAGCTTTAAAAAATATTGTTGTGCAATTAATATCTTTAATTAATAGTTAAGTTGCCATTTTAATTCCCTTGCTGAGGGTATTATAATTTTGATCAGAAGTTTGTAACGTAGTGAAGGAGACATTTTCAATCCTTAAAAATACAATTTTTGATCAGCATCCCTAGGCGAGTTGATATAGCCGTGTTCGTCTATACTAATTAATTATATGTGTACGCATTTTAAAAACAGCGCTGATAGAAGGTCTATATCCCCAGGCTACCATAGAAACAATCCGCTTAAATTTGTTAAATATTCTCATTATACCTTTGCAGAGGGTATTATAATTTTGGTCAAAAGTGTGCAACGCAGTGAAGGAGACATCTCCGACCCTATAAAGTATATATATTCTTGACCAGGATTACTTCCTGAGTTGATATAGCCATGTCCGTCTATCCGTCTGTCTGTTTCTACGCGAACTAGTCTCTCAGTTTTAAAGATATCGAATTGAAACTTTGCACACACCCTTCTTTCCTTTGCACGCAGTATATATGTCGGAACGGGATCGGCCGACTATATCCTATAGCTGCCATATAACTGATTGATCGGAAATGTCATAACTTTCGTGTTTGTAAAGTTAGGAAGTTGGGACTTTCTATGGGTTTTATATTTGGCCAATCAATCCGACCTACCAAATTTCATATGGACCGGACGACTATATCCTATAGCTGCCATATAACTGAACGATTGAAAATGCCATAACTTTGGTGTTTTTAAAGTTGGGAAGTTTGGATTTTTTATGAGTATTAAGAATGCATCAGAGTATTCTGCAAGGGTATATCAACTTCGGCTCCGCCCGAAATTAGCTTTCCTTTCTTGTTATTCATTTATTTAGTTTAAAATAAGTTGTATTTAAATATCGAAATGCATTTAAAGAATTTATTTCGTTAGATTTTCTGAAACAACGAATAGAGTCTGAACCAAGTCTTTGAGTTTATTTATAGCCGGACTTCACATAATTTCAAACTCTGCCATTAATAACCCACATTCAAAATGTGAAAGTATGTTACAATGGAATATTAAGTAAAATAATCAATCTTTAAATAGCCTTCACTGTTTTTAAGGGAATTACGACTATAATTTGCTCACCAAAAGGTGTTACTTTATTTTAAGTTGCTTAAATAATTAATTAAGTTAAGTTATTCTAAAAATGGTACATACTCTGTTTATTCCTTGACTGACAGCATCCGGTTGAAGTGATGATATCGCCCTAAGTCTCCTGCAATCGCTTCTCAATAACACACACACACAAAACCTGGAATTAGAAATAAATAATAAAAATAATTAAATACTTGATTCAAGCATCATGGTGTCCAATCAAAATAAGATGGTATCACCCGCATTTTAATAATTTATTTTAAAAACTAATGCCTAAATTTATTACATACCTCGTTGTCATTTTGAAAGTGCATCCTTAAGTCCAGTTTGGGGTTACTTCTGCTCCAAAATAACGAATGATGTCTGACGAAAATAATGTCGCTGTTTTTGGTAGTCCATGTTGCGGCGAAATTCTCCGGCTTATAATGCCTTATTCTTACTTATTGTTAACAATTTTGATTTACTTCATGTGCTTAAAAAAATTAGTATTAATATGTTTTAAATGCATTGAAAGATTTAGATAAAATTTAAATTTGTTGAAAAAACGAATATTCTTATTACTTATGGCCGGACTCCACTGAGTCTTAATTTCAATTTTTTGCAATTAAGTGAAATAACCAATCTGTTAATAGGCTTTTAGCCTTCTTAAGGGAAATCTCTAATAGTTATGACTATGAATTCTTACTTAAAAAATACTTTGCCTACTTTAAGGTGCTATTTTATATTAAATTGCTTAAATAATTAAGTTATCCTAGAAATGGGACTCACTCCGTTGGTTTCTTGATGCACTGCATCCGGTTCAAGTGATGGTACCGCCATATGCCTCCAGCATACACTCCCCAGGCGCACACTAAACCTGGAATTATAATTTAAACAATTAATTTAATGTATTTAATTTAATTAGACATATTACTATGTACCATATTAGGTCCTTGATCCTGCATCCTGGTGATCAACCCAAATAAGTAGGCATCACCAAATATGATCCTTGAGTAACACACTCACACACACAGACTTTCGGTCAAATGGATCGACTGGATTTTTCGCGTGCCACAGTCCCTACTCCATGAAGATTTGGCCAGAACTGGTTGGGAATTATAAAGTAGTCAATGGTAAAAATTCTCATTATGTATGACGTGGTAATAACATTAACATAACATTGACATAGCTTTAACATAACTTAACATAACATTAACATAGCATTAACATAGCATTAACATAGCATTAACATAATTTTAACATAACTTTAACATAACTTTAACATAACTTTAACATAACTTTAACATAACTTTAACATAACTTTAGCATAACTTTAACATAACTTTAACATAACTTTAACATAACTTTAACATAACTTTAACATAACTTTAACGTAACTTTAACATAACTTTAACATAACTTTAAGATAAAGTTAATGGCCACGTCATAGTTAATTTTCATTTTTACTATCAACTTATACTTATATATTATTCATAACTAGTTTTTGCTGTTTTTCTATTTTTCAAAATATTCCTTTGATATATAGTGATAATTTACTATATCAGAATCTAGCTATTAGTTTTGTCAAACTTGGACAACAATATCATATAGCTGCCATAGAAACGATGTGAAAATGCAGCGCAAAATCGACATAGCTTTATTGCTTTTAGTAACATAGGCATAGAAATCGAAATGTAGTTGTTTTGTAATAACTGCAAGGGTATATAAACTTTGGCTTGCCGAAGTTTGCTTCCTTTCTTGTTTTTATTATCAGTTCAGATCAGATTATGGTATGTGTATAAATTTATACTCAATAAACATCAATCAGACAAAGAAGAAAAAAAAACCTACCAAAACTGATAAGCCAAGGTATATAAGCTCTTCTTCGCTCCACTGGCTGTCAGTCTTTCGTTAATTATTAAACTTGAGTGCACGATGTTTCGATTCTGGGCAATAGCAGCCCTACTTTTAATATGCATTTCTGATGCTGATCTATGCCTTTATCGATGTACTCAAAAAGGATCTTGCAAAAAGATAGTGCTTACTATCGAAGGCGGAGAACCATGCTGGTTCAGTGAAGACTGTTGTGCGGATGGGTTTGCGGTAAGTCTATAAAATAATTTATTTTGTACATACTGATTTTCATAAATTTATAGTGGCCACAAGACCCGCAACACGAGAAGAACCAACAACGCACCGCAGAGTACCCGAACCCAGCGCAATATTACCCAACAGCATTCCCACAAATCCAACAACCCGCCCCAAAGTATCAGGACCCAGAAGCACCAAGGCATCCGAACCGATTCGAACCCATCTTTCCACCTGTCTCCAAGTACCCACAAATGCAACAAACCCCCCCAAATTATCCGAACCAAGAACCACCTAAGTATGCGAACTCAATCGAACCTATCTTTCCACCCGGCTCCAAGTACTCTAACCCAGTCCATCAATTCCAACAACACGTCCCAAAGAATCCGAACCAAGAACCACATAACTATGCGAACCCAATCGAACCCATCTTTCCACCCGTCTCCAAGTACCCCAACCAAGAACCACCGAACCGATTCGAACCCTTCTTTAATCCCGTCCACAAGTACACACAAAACCAACAACTCGCTCCAAAATATCCGAACGCAGAATCACCAAAGTATCCGAATCCAATCGAACCGATCTTTTCACCGGTCTTTAAGTGCCCCTACCAAGTCCTACAACCCGTCCAAAAGTATCCCAGCCCAGAACCATCAAAGTACCTTAATTGGTGATTGGTGACTAATCTAATTCTGCTCATAATATAATACTATAAGCAATTGATTTTAAATTAAGTTTAATAATTTCTGAAAATAGATGTACATCAATTTCTAAATTTCAAACATTACGAAATAAAGACTAGACAATTACCTGCAAATTTTTGTCTACTGTAAAAATTGCCCTTTAACAAGGTAGGAACCATTTTCTACCCTATATATTAGTATAATCAACAGAAAATGCTTGTTTTGTGAAATAATCTATTTTATTTTTGTGAAATTTTATAATGGTTTAGGAAACGTACAATTTGAACCATGAACTTTAGTTCCGCGAACTGATAAGCCAAAGATGTTTATAAGTTAGCAACGCATTTATGTCAGAGACTAATATTTTGGTGAGAATGGGGAATGGGATTTAGCATCCGAAAATCGGCAAAAATCGTTCGAGATGAAGAGTTTTTATACTCTAATGGGGACAGCAATATAACCCATCTGTATCTCATTTCCCTAATAGTGCAATACCAAAATCGGTTGAGAAGAACCCATTTAAAATAGATTTTGACGAAAATCTTCTATCTATCTATTATATGCGGTGCGCAATGTTTTCAGTGTTTCAATATAAGTTGTACAAAAAAAGCTTAATACCATTTCTTATCATGTCAAAATATAGATTTCAAGAACAAATTTGTTGGATTAGGACCTTACAATTTTGATACACCAGAGGCAGTCACACATACTATGCCATATTCGCAGTTTATTTCTGTGAGTAATTTGCATATCAAAACTTGTTGATGTGTGTTTGCTGTCCGCGGTTTTATAGTGCGTTATTTATAAAGACAATTCCCCGAAGAAAACAGTTGTCGCTAATCTATATACTAAATTATCTTTACACCTAGAAAAAACCAATTTGAAAACTGATCTTAGCTAACATTTAAAAATATTTTTTAAAAGTGAAGGAGACATATTCAATCCTATAAAGTATACATATTTTTGATCAGCATCACTAGCCGAGTTGATATGGCCATGTCCGTCTGTTCGTCTATACAAATTAAGGGCTTGGTTTAAAAGCTAGAAACTTTTGCAATTCTCTGTTTAAAGAACTCTTTGGTTTTTCGGTGTTTTCGATTTTTAAACCAATGCCTGGAGTTTTATCGAAATTGGATGACTATATCCTATCTCTAGCTGCTTCTTGCTTAAAATGATAGTATTACATCACTTCAGATCCGACCCTGGAGTTGAATATATCCTATAGCTGTTATATGGGTTTGCCCTTGTGTACAAATAACATATATACTCAAAAATGACCAATCAGTGACATAAAAAAGACAAACAAAAAACCCAAGCTGATAAGCTAAGGTATATAATCTCTCGTTCGCTCCATTGGCCGTCAGTCTTTTGTTAATTATCTTGAGTGAACGATGTTTCGATTCTGGGCAATAGGAGCCCTACTCTTATGCATTATATGCAATTCTGATGCTGTGCCCTGCAACACTCCAAATCATTGTGTTGCGGGTGGAACTTGCAAAAATAAAGTAATAGGAACCTGTTTTTTCAGTGAAGAATGTTGTGCGCCTGCGATCGGGGTAAGTCCATAAATTATTTTCATTTATTACATACTGATTTTTATCAATTTATAGTGGCCACAAGTCACGCAAAACGGCCTGTTAGAAGGCCCACAAAGTAAACCAACCGTTCCTTGGAATCCGAACCCTGAACCACAAGAGCATGCGAACCCAATCAAACCCAACTTTCCACCCGGCTCCCTTAACTCTAACCAAGTCCCTCAAATCCAACAACACGTCTTAAAGAATTCGAGCCCAGAACCACCTGGGCAAGATTTCTTACAACCTGTCATATTTGAACCGAACCCTGAACAGCCAGAGTTTGTTACCCCAGAACCAACGAAGTCTCCGAACCCAGAACCACCGAACAATCAGATCCCAGACGAACGAAGAGATCAGCGTAATCCAGCTCCACCAAGTCAACAACCGAAGCTGAATGATCCTTATGACGAATATTGCGGGTGGAGCAATCGAAACCAATTATTTGCGAGTGAGCCAGTGCCTGTAAGGCATCAATATCCCTGGACCATCGCTCTTTTCAACCATGGTAACTACTTCGCAAGCGGATCCCTAGTTTCCCCTGGAGTTGTCGTGACAGTAGCTCATCTTATAAACACGACGAACATTGTGGCCAGAGCTGGCGATTATGACTTTTTATTGCGCGTGGAGCAGTTCCCACCGGATGAGCGTCATGTGGCCAGGATCCAGATCCACGACAACTATCAACCACAGAATGGGGCCAATAACATAGCCCTTCTATTTCTGGAGTCGCCGTTCACATTGAGAACTCACATCCGGACCATATGCCTACCTCAGCAGTACAAATCCTTCGACAGCAAGCGCTGCGTGACTGCCGGATGGAGCAAGTTTTCGGATATGAAACTCCAAGATTCCGATGTTCAAGCACAAAAGGAACTGACAGTAGCCCAAAAAGACTGCCAGAATATATTCAAGGGAAACTATCAGCGGCCCGGGGGCCTAATTTGTACCGCCGGAGTGGGGGACGATAATGCCTGCACTGTCGATAGCGGATCCCCTTTGTTCTGTCCACTGGAGAACCAACCGCATCGCTACGAGCTAGCTGGTATTTCCAGCCGGAACTATGGATGTGGTCAAGAAAGGGTAGTTTCATTGTTCACTGACGTGGCCGAGTTGTCGGGTTGGATTAAGGGGCAGCTGCAGCAAGGTGTGGAGGGAAACCCCGGCAAAATCACTCCAAAGATGGGATAATAAATAACTGAATAATGTTTTGTCAGCTGAAATCACTTTTCGCTAATGGGTTAATAAAATGTATCCATGATTAAAAGTATGTATTTATTGTTTTTATTGAACTCTGTTGGGTGGTCACATCAAGTAAAATATATAACATATAATATAGATTTTATCTCAGCTTTGAATGGTTGTAAGACGCATATTTTTTCTTTAGTGTATTTCGATTTGTATACCTTGAAGAGAATAACACATATAATAGCACTTAGTAAATAAGTCGGAGGGAAAAGAATCGGACGATCTTATCATATAGCTCCCATACGAATGTATGTTTTAAACATATACTTTAATAAATATAGATTTTTTACCATTTCAGAATTTATTTACGAAGACTTGACTACTCTATTATTATTATCAAGAAAGCTTCGTTTTTAAGTATATACACATGTTAAAGGCTATATTAACTGATAATTGTATGTCGACTTATTATTGCATTAACTTGAACTTGCGTTATCCCATTTAAATTATTCAGTCGTTGTTTTATGACATATACATATTTATATTTGCAAATTCCAACTTAAAATTGACATACTTATCAAGAAAAACGCACACAAACACATTCTATCTACGATAAGATCGAAGCAAGTGTTATTTTATATATATATACAAGATCAGTATTATTGCACTCTTGGACTTTCCGAATTTATTTTCGCGTGAAAAAATTGAAATGATGCTTGACAATTATTGTATACTTGTGGAGTAATTGTATTTGTTGATAAGTATGTAACAGGTAAAAGAAAGCGTTTCCGACTCTATGAAGAATATATATTTTTGCTCAGTCGATCTAACCATGTCTATCTGTCTGTCCAATCAGCAATTTTTGAGTAATATAACATCATTTAAAACAAAATTGTATTGATTGCACTGGCGATAAGATAATAGGCAACGTTTTAATTTAGTTTTAATGTTATTCTAAAATTGACAAAAGGAAAAAAGTAAAAGACGGAAAAACAAAAAAATAATTCTCAGTCGCACCTTTATAAATAAGTCAAAGATACAGTACAAATAGTACTTATTTTTACTTCCCCAATTTTTATCGTTAAGTAAAAAAAATAATATTCTTTTTGAGATTTCTGGTTAAACAAGATATCTACTACATTTCAAATTTTACAAAATAATTTCTAAATGATTAAATCTATTTCTAAATCTACTTTGCTCTGATTATTTTATTTTTAATGTTTTATTTTGATTTTCTTATCTCTAGAGCAAAATAAGTTGTCATGTACGAGCACCGACGTTTTGAGAATCTGTTGTCGAGAGAACGATGGCACATCTCTGGGCGCTTTTAGCTCCCTTTTTCGGTTGCATTGTGTTTAGCGATGCTAGCAACATATGCTTGGATTCCAATCGGTGTGTTCCCAAAGAAAATTGTCCACAAAAGGATATCAGATCTGCAATCCTTTGTAAGGGCACTGAAGTCTGCTGTCACAGGTCCAAAGTGGTAAGGACAAATAATCACCTATCGTTGTAGTCAATTAAGGCGGACCCTGTTTTTTTTTGTAGATTGGCCTAAGTAATGGATCTGCTGCTAGACCTCGACCCATCACTCTTTGTGGCATGAGTAATTCAAATGGACTAGATGAAAACATACAGGTATATGATGACCAGGCAGGACCTGGCCAATTTCCCTGGGTGATGGCATTGTTCGCCAAGGGCCGATACCTTGGAGGCGGCTCTCTGATTGCCCCAGGACTAGTACTAAGTGCGGCCCACCTTCTGGTAGATAAGTCCAGTGTCGACATTAGGATTAGAGCTGGCGCTTGGGACTTGAAATCCCCTACGAAGGTGTTCCCGCCCGAGGAGCGTCAAGTGACTAAGATCCTGTTGCACGAGGCATTCGATTACTTGAACGGAACTAACAACTTGGCTCTCCTCTTTCTGGATTCGCCATTCGAGCTAAAATCCCACATCCAGACTATATGCCTACCCATTTCGGGAAAGACGTTCGAGGAAAGGCGCTGCATGGTTGCCGGTTGGGGAATGAGGACTGGTAATAGGTTCCTAACCATCCAACAGAAAGTCGCCTTGCCCATAATCGATGGTGCGAAGTGCCAGGATCAGTTCCGACTAACCCATTTGGGCCACAACTATCGGCTGCACGATAGTTTAATTTGTGCCGGCGGAGAGAAGGACAACGATGCCTGCTATCGATTTGGAGGATCTGCCTTGTTCTGCTCTCTCGAAGAGGACCCCAATCGCTACGAGCAGGCTGGTATCCTCGCCTGGGGCATCGAGTGTGGCCAGCCTACACAAGTGTATCCAAGTTCAAAGACTGGATTAATCCGCATTTGGAGCAAGTGTTAAGCGTACCAGGAGATATTATCAATCTCATGCAGGGCCATCTTAGAACATAAGTTATGAAGAGAACTCATATGTTTTGAGCATCGTGTATAAATTCCCAAAATAAAGGTCGAAATAGTCAAAAGTCAAGATCAGACTCTTATCACTTGGGTTTTTAGACTCATCGCCATAAAATGGCAAAAAATTGAGGGTTTTTCCGGGACATTTATAAATATTTCCCACAAAAAAAGGCCTGAAATACAGCTATCATTAAAAACAATAAAGCTTTGGAAGCTTACAAGTATAAATGATTGTTGTCCGATTTTATAAATTATGGGATTAAAATAAGAATATATACTAAATACTATACAAATACTAACAATTTTGTAAAATAATTTCAATAAAAAAAAAATATTTCGTTTTAATTTTTTATAGGCTTTGTTTTTTAAGCTTTTGAGCTTACTTCTGCATATGTATATAAATGTATGTAGAAGCATTGTGCTTATCAATTGATAGCAGTATAGAGGATTCTTTGTTCTCAGAATATATACAATTGTCAGTATAAATTTAATTTATTCTTAGGTCGTCAGTCAAACAATGTCGCTAAGAGTAATTATTTTAAGTTGCCTTTTATGGGTGCTGACTGAGGCGAGAGCACCTTGTGGACTCCAAATGGATTGCGTACCCAAGGGCCTCTGTATTAATGCCCCGACCTTCAGTTCGGCATGCCTGAACTCAGAAACATGCTGTCACACTTCTGGAATAGTAAGTGCATATATATAGAATTACGTTTAATTATTAATATGTATTTTTCAATTGCAGTTGGCTATCGGGGCCCCACAAAATTGTGGTCGGAGTAATCCCAGAGGTCTGGAAACAGAAACGCAGGTTACACTCGATCAGTCAAGGCCCAACGAATTTCCATGGATCGTGGCGTTGATGAAAGGATCTGATTTATTTGGCTCTGGCACTCTGGTCACCGAAAATGTCGTAGTAACTGCTGCCCACCTGATGATGAATAAGACAATAGACGATTTCCTAGTCGCAGGTGGTGTTTGGGACTTGAAGCAATTGTTCAAAAACACGGTTGTGACGCGATACCCGGCCAGGATAGTAAGGCATCCAGGCTTCAATGGCATTACCGGTAGAAACAACATAGCGCTCATCGTACTCGCCATTTCGTTCCAGTTGAAACCCCAGATCGGTACCATTTGCTGGCCCTCTCCGGGAATTTCATACGTTGGAGATCGCTGCTTGGTGGCCGGTTGGGGCAAGTTGGACTATCTCGATGGCGACATTTCGCATCGACAAAAGAAAATTGATCTACCAATCGTAAGCAGCGGAGTGTGTGCGGCCCAAGTAAGTAGGGTGCTGGGTAGGAGGTACACGCTCGATCCCACCATGCTGTGCGCCGGTGGAGAAAGGGGACGAGATTCCTGCAAGGGCGACGGTGGATCCCCCCTGATGTGCCCGATCCCCGGATACCCTGATCTTTTCGAATTCGTCGGCATTGTCAACAGCGGCATAAAGTGCGGAGAGGAAGACGTGCCCGGCCTGTACACCAACATTACCCAGATGAAGTCTTGGATTGATGAACAGATGGATGACGAGCTCAATAAGCCCTATAACACATTTCCCATTTACAATATAGACTACGATTCTTACTAAGAGGAACTAAATAAAATTGAAATTCATTTTTATTTATTTGTTTTTATTTTCTACAGTATTAGGAATAATATGGATGAATGGAGATTTAGGAAATAAAACTCTATATACCTAAAGATCAGGAATACTTGTATACGGTGATGCCCATAACTTTTCTTACAGAAATCCGATTTAAAAGTGCCATATTTCTAAATGATTGTCGTTTAATTCTCAAAAATATACATTTTCAGATTGATTTGTATTTTTGGGTCGGCTTTTCGTCATTTTCCTAATTTTAAATAAATGCAGAAAAGTATCCTTAAACCTGCACTTTTAAGCCCATAACTTTTCTTACAGATCTCCGATTCCAAAGTGGCATACCTTAAAATGATTGTGGTTTGATTCTCTAAAAAACTGTGTTTTCACTTTATTTTTTATTTTTGGGTCGATTTTTCCTCATTTTTAATGATGTTACACCTTTTCAAATTTTCGAAAAATGGCTTTGCAGAAAAGGGTGCAAAAACGGCACTTCTAAGCTCATAACTTTTCCAACTGATATCCGATTACAAAGTGGCATACCTCAAAATGATTGTGGTTTGATTCTCTAAAAAACTGTGTTTTCACTTTATTTTTTATTTTTGGGTCGATTTTTCCTCATTTTTAATGATGTTACCCCTTTTCAAATTTTCGAAAAATGGCTTTGCAGAAAAGGGTCCAAAAACGGAACTTCTAAGGTCATAACTTTTCCTACAGATATCCGATTACAAAGTGGAATACCTCAAATGATTCTGCTTTAATTCTCTAAAAAACTGTGTTTTCACTTTATTTTTTATTTTTGGGTCGATTTTTCGTCATTTTTAATGATGTTACCCCTTTTCAAATTTTCGAAAAATGGCTTTGCAGAAAAGTGTCTAAAAACGGCACTTCTAAGCTCATAACTTTTCCAACTGATATCCGATTACAAAGTGGCATGCCTCAAAATGATTGTGGTTTGATTCTCTAAAAAACTGTGTTTTCACTTTATTTTTTATTTTTGGGTCGATTTTTCCTCATTTTTAATGATGTTACCCCTTTTCAAATTTTCGAAAAATGGCTTTGCAGAAAAGGGTCCAAAAACGGCACTTCTAAGCTCATAACTTTTCCAACTGATATCCGATTACAAAGTGGCATGCCTCAAAATGATTGTGGTTTGATTCTCTAAAAAACTGTGTTTTCACTTTATTTTTTATTTTTGGGTCGATTTTTCCTCATTTTTAATGATGTTACCCCTTTTCAAATTTTCGAAAAATGGCTTTGTAGTAAAGTGTCCAAAAACGGCACTTCTAAGCTCATAACTTTTCCAACTGATCTCCGATTACAAAGTGGCATACCTCAAAATGATTGTGGTTTGATTCTCTAAAAAACTGTCTTTTCACTTTATTTTTTATTTTTGGGTCGATTTTTCCTCATTTTTAATGATGTTACCCCTTTTCAAATTTTCGAAAAATGGCTTTGCAGAAAAGGGTCCAAAAACGGCACTTCTAAGCTCATAACTTTTCCAACTGATATCCGATTACAAAGTGGCATACCTCAAAATGATTGTGGTTTGATTCTCTAAAAAACTGTGTTTTCACTTTATTTTTTATTTTTGGGTCGATTTTTCCTCATTTTTAATGATGTTACCCCTTTTCAAATTTTCGAAAAATGGCTTTGCAGAAAAGGGTCCAAAAACGGAACTTCTAAGGTCATAACTTTTCCTACAGATATCCGATTACAAAGTGGAATACCTCAAAATGATTCTGCTTTAATTCTCTAAAAAACTGTGTTTTCACTTTATTTTTTATTTTTGGGTCGATTTTTCGTCATTTTTAATGATGTTACCCCTTTTCAAATTTTCGAAAAATGGCTTTGCAGAAAAGTGTCTAAAAACGGCACTTCTAAGCTCATAACTTTTCCTACAGACATCCATCCGATTACAAAGTGGCATACCTCAAAATGATTGTGGTTTAATTCCCTAATTTCCCTTTTTTTTTTTTGTATGTAACCCCTTTTTAAATTTTCGAAAAATGGCTCTGCCGATGCATTATCTACCCTATATATTATAATCATAAACAAACAAGAAAGAAAGCAAGCTTTGGCAGCTTCAATATATAAACTTTGGCCTGCCGAAGTTTGCTTCCTTTCTTGTTATTATTGAACTAATTTGAGTTATACTCATTAAATATTTATGAACCTGAGGAGCTGTATCTAAGAATGCCAAAGTTTTTATGAAATAAAAAATAAAAGAACAAATATGAACTTTAGGGGAACATTCAGATTGCTGTTCCTGTCAACTTTGTCCTGGCTGTCTGTACTCGAGTTGATGATATTTCTCAACAGCACGTTCTTTGAAGATCTGAAGGAGCTAATTTGTAAGCCATATAAGGAGAAGATAGGTGACTACGATGTTGGTCTAAGAAGTCAGCATTGGAACGATGATCGGATAGCCAAACTTCTGCGGGAGCAGGTGCGCGTGCATTGCCTGGTTTATCTGGACCAATCGGACTACAAGTTCGGTCTTTTGAAGGCGGGGCATGCTAAGAGGAGTTGGGGTCGTCGCTGCAATCGCTTGACCATTGTCGACCAAAGGAAGATCACTCTGTTGGAGGCATACCGCCGTACTTACATGGAGTTCCACAATGAGCTCGACTGGCTGCTGGTCGTGTACCTGGACTCGTATGTCATTATGGAGAATCTGCGCCACATGCTGGCGCACTATCAGCCCACCGAGGAGTTATATTTTAGTGCCCATCATGCCTTCTATATCTATGCCCATGTGGGCATGGTCCCCACCACCGATTTCATCTTCAGTAGGGAGGCTTTGGAGCAGCTGGTCACGAGGAACTGCCTCCAAAATGAAGTCTTTTTCAGGGAGTGCTTGAAACGAATGAGACGGGGTCCCAGCGAGGACCTCCTGCCATTTAACGTCCCGGATGAGGTGATCCCGTTCAGTTTGCGTCAGGAGTTCTGGCTTTGGCCCTGCGCCTTTCGAGCAGTCTACGATAATCAGGTGAGTTGGCTTACCATCTTCAAGACAATTTATGTCCGAATACTCAATAAATGTTATTATATATATTTTTGACAAATATTATATCAAAGTTTGATTCTTTATAAGCTCTCAAAGTCAACGTGCTAGTCACAAATTATTATTGAATTGTTCAAAGTATAAAAATATTTGAGCTAATAAAATAAATAGTTTTGTGATTAAAAAATAACATTCTTGAACTGAATTTAAATATTTAACATCATAAATGCTTCTTTTCAATTTGAAACTAAAGCTTATATTTAATCGTAACCTTTAGAGCTGGGAGAGTTGCTTTGGGAAAGCCATTATTTTCCCATATTGCCGTGCCATGTCCATGTATACCCTGGAGTTTGTGCTCTACCACCTGCGACCCTATGGCCACGTAAATCCCCTGCCGGAACTGAGGTCTTCCAGTCTTCCCACCGCAGTAGCCTCTAGACCGTCGAACGATCGGGTGGCCAGGTACATGTATCGGTCGGTCAGGATAATCTGCCTGGTATTGACCTGGCAAAGGAATTACATGGGAGCCGTGAGAGCAGTTAGCGAGACTTGGGGTCGCCACTGCAACCGAGTGGTATACTATGGCAGTTCTTCGGTAACCATCTTGCCGGGACTCGAGATCGTGGGCCTAAACATCAGCGATAGTCGCAGCAATCTGTGGGGCAAGACAAAGGCCGCTTTCCGACATGCCTACATGCATTATGGCCATGAGGCGGATTGGTTCTACAAGGCCGATGACGATACCTATGCGGTAATGGAGAACATGCGCCACATGCTCCAGCCGCACTCACCCAAGACCCCGGTTTACTTCGGCTCCACATTCCAGTTGAACAACCACGTCTACATGTCCGGCGGAGCTGGCTATGTGCTCAGCAAAAGGGCTGTGGAGAAACTGGTTGATGGGATAGTGAGACACTGCCTGCCAGGAGATAAAGGCACTGAGGACTATCAGATGGGCGAATGCCTTCGGGAATTGCATGTGAAGGCCTACGATTCCAGGGACATTTACGGACGACATCGGTTCTTTTCACTAACCCTGGAACACTTTCTCATACCTGATCATGATGAAGATGACTTTTGGCTAAAGAGATATCTTCTGCACTCATCTGGAACGGTAAGAGAAACACTAACCCAAATTTACCAACTTAGATAATAGTTTATGGTAGGAAACTTATAATAGTTTGCAAATTAGCAAGAGTTTATCTTTACTATTTACGTCTCCGATTAATATATGTATAAAGAAATATAAATTATAATAAGCTTTGCAATGGGTTGTAAAACTCCTAGTGGCTTTTGTAAAGTTAAGCTAGAACAATAATACTTATTTTAATTTATAGAAAGGAACTTCATGCAAACTTAACTGGCTTTACTTTCAGGGAATGCAATGTTGTTCAACCTATTCAATTTCCATCCACTACGTGTCACCCTACGAAATGCACTTTTTGGAAACGATTTTGTATAAATCCCGACCATATGGCCTAATTGCTGGGCATCCTCCGCTAAAAACCTCAAGAAAAAGAGGATTAGGAACTCAACAGTTTAGGTTATGATGCTTCTTTATTTAATTTAAACATATGTTTGTAACTTATAAATAATTAAAATGGCAATAAGTAAAACTTACATCAATCATAGCCTATCCGGACAAAAACGGGGTAACAATAATATTAATTGGCTTAATTAAACGAGCAGTTTTAGAACTATAACTTACGATATCTTGGTCTTACTCTTTGGCATTGTCTGCTGCAGTCAATATTACATTAATTATTCATCGCAAGAAGGCTAAGACTTGGGCTTTGGCTTTTGGTTTTGTGACATTTTTTCCTGGCACCATTTTGTTAAATGTCATTTTTCCGAGCTCAATTTGTTTGGTTTGAGAAGTACCATTTGAATGGTTAACAGCCAAAAAGGATTTCTTCGAGGGCAACTGATCCTGTCGCCTGTTAATGCCAAAAACTCCTAACTTATAGATAATATAATCGAGTACATAGAACTCCTTGGCGTTGTTGTAGTGAAACGAGATAGCCGAGTTCGAACAGCAATCGTTTGTGATCTATAAGAAAAAAAGAAGTAGTTCTGATTTGCAGTCGAGGACCGGATGGGAAGATTTCCTTACATTTGGAGTCGTGTGGTAGAGCAGAGGTCGGTACCACTGCGGCGCGTCTGGATACCAGTGCAGCGGGGAGAAGGGAATGAAGCGACTCAGGCCGTGTTCGTCCCTGGAATCTCCACCCACAACGCCCACCCCCTGCAGACATCGGCCCAGTTCCACGTCCTCGTAGCCATATCCACGGTTGCTGCAGAGGCTACTGTTGCCAAATCCCACCTTCATGAGCCGGTGCAGGGCCATTTTGCTCAGAACATAGCCCGCTCCTCCAGACATGTATCCCTGGAAGAAAATTGTAAGGTTTATTTAAATAAATGGTATAGCCCAATCCAATATATTCGGAATGGTTTTCATTTTATATAATTGCATACATATAAGTGTAGCCCACTTTACGGCGAAAAAATAAAAGGGGTTCTTTAAACTTTTGTTTTATATTTTGTAAGTTGAAAGAAACTAATATTAATATACTACCCTGAAAATCTAATATTTTGATATTTTAAGCTGTGGCAAGACTTTAAAAATCAGTAAGCTAATATAATAATTATCAAAAATAATTTGAATTTACCTCTTTTACATGCGTGCGAAACTTGTTGCCAAAATAAACTGGGGCCTTCGGACTGTAGGCGGATAAAAAGGCTCGCAGGTTCTCCATTATCACGTAGCTGAAATCAAAGAAGGGCAGCAAAATGTATTGTAAACATTTCATAATCTGGGTTTTGCATTTGTAAAGATATAGTAAGGTAATCTAAAAGTATGTTTTGAATAGAGAAAACGTATGGAACTTAAAAGCTATAAATCTATTATTAATTTAATATAAGAATGGCTTATTCTTTCTCATTAAACTCTGCTAATCGCACTTACGTGTCATCGTCGGCCTTCAGAAACCAGTCGTAGTTCCGAAAATGATGCTTGTAGACATACTGGAGTGATGCCCGAGTCTTGGGCCATAGGTTTGAGTAGCCCTCCCTCACTTTCAGAGCCACTGCACCCAGTTCCTTATCCGCCTTGGTGCTCATGAAGATCAGCTTGTTGCAGCGCGTGCCCCAAGTTCTCTGGAGGTGGATGGCGCGACTCTGGTGGTTTTTTGGGCTGGTTAGCACCATGCACAGGACACGTGTCTTGTTGAACAGATGGGAGGCCAGCTCATGAGGAGATGGAGGTGTGGTGGTAATGTAGGGAGAAGTGGAGGTGGTGGAAGGAGCCGTGGGGCAAGGACTTATCCGGCGACTGGTAGGAAAGGGGCTGCTTTTCTCCTTCACCTGAGCCTCCTGATTTTGCCTTCGCATCAACTCCGACAACAAAATGCCCCAGGCCACGCCGATGAGTACCATCAAAACCAGCTCCAAACGCTTTCGATGCGGCCGTAGTCCAATCATTTCGATTCTTTACAGATAAAACACAACGATGAAGGTAATAAGTTCGATATTCTTGTTGTCTATGTGTTACAATATCAATAGCATTCCATTTCTGTATTTTGAAACGTTATATTTAGTCACAAGAATCAATCTGTTATTATATCTGCTTGAAAGTCGCATGCTTATAACAAATTTTTGGAAAATATTTCATTTAATAGTAGTTTATTCGACTTGGCGCAAATTGAAAAGATTTAGTCATCATTACATGTGGAATAAACACAGTCAAGGAACTGATTAAAATATAAATTTGATTTCATATTACTTTCTTAGTTTGGGTATTCACAATGTTAAATTAATAAACAAGCTACTCTTTGATTGTCATAGCCTTCAAATAAAAATGAAGTGATACATAAATATGTTATAAAATATTTTACATTTGCCTTGTTGTCATGGTATAGTCATTTTCATAGCTATGTATTGATATATGGAATTGATTTTGTTTTGATTTTTTCCCCAGCGCTGTTGCTTTTTTCTTTTCTCTGAGGCGCGTTTGTTTACTTTTTTATGCAAATCTTATGTCGTCAGGCGGCAAAGTGTTGTTGTTGCCGCTTTATAGGCAGTCGAAGCTTTCTTGTTGTTGTCGAATCACCACCGAATTAACACATTCTTGAGACAGTGACGCAGAGTCGAAAGCCTGTAAAGATGCGGTCGACCTTCGGGGCCAACACACTCGGTGGTGCAGGTGTGCGTGGAGTATGGAGTGTGGAGTATGGAGTGTGGAGTGTGGTGGCTATGGAGTGCCACAATTTGCCTGAGTTCAATTCGATCCGCAATTGCTAAATCGCAAATGGCAATTGGCTGGCCCGTGTGATGCTTTTTCGAGGCGTTTCAATCTCATTTGGGGCCGTTTCGAATCGGTGCCTCCAATTGGGCGACCGTTTTTCAGCTGCTTCCCCGATCGCTTCGTTTATCACTTCTTTTACTCCGGCACTGGCGCAGAATTTCAATCACTTGCGCTCTTTGGAAAGGCGATAAAAATAAACGCTGCTCGAACGCGACTTGCAGCTCAAAACACAAAAACAAACAAGAAATAAACAATGAGCCAAGAGAAGCTCGGAAATAAGCGGCTAGCAACGTCTTCGCGCTTTGCCGGCAGTTGACAGACTCGGCTTAAATGGGCGCGACGAAAATGTTGCTGGCGAAATACCTTAACGCTTGTTCAGCCACAATGTTGCCAGATATTTAACGGTAATTCTTTTATTGAAAAGATCGAATTTGAAATTAATTATATACTTAAGTAAGTAATATTTGTCACTTTTTGTTCTTAGTAACCGATTTCTCCAAGTTTTTTTAAGCAATGAAAATGTAATAAATAAAGTAAATATCTTTATTATAAGCATACTTTTTTAACTTTGTATTGATTCGACTTAAATATTGAAATCATCAATATCATTATTGGCTTGAACATTTTCTTGTCAAATAAAAATGATAGTTAACACCTTGGAAATCTCATGTGCTTAAGTAGTAAACTTAAATTTTTTTATGTGTCACATTTATGGGGCTTGATAGTGAGTTTAATTTATTCGCAAATAACCAAACATCGTTACGTTTGACATAGCATGCTTTGACCTTTCATATTTTTCTCTGAACGATTAAAAGAAGTCGGTAAGGTATTTGTGTTGCCTCCTTAACAGGCTGCAACATGTGGCCACTCGCACCTTAATTACTTAACTTATTCCGCAATACAATACAGGCTTTAAATTTCTTGAAATCGTGAAAATGCCAGGGAAAAGCTTTCCAAAGCTTCACTTTATGTGGTTGTATAGCCCCGAAAATAGGCAACACCTCAAAAGTTATTAAATGATCAATGTTTTGTATTTATTAATTAACAAACTAGTAGTAGATGAAGCACAATGAAGGAATATACAAGGAGTGCGTAGCAGAGGAGCAGGACTCAGGCGTAGGGACCGCCAGAGGCGTCGAGTCCTCGTGGTGCATTGGCGTAGCTATCCTCCGCGAAGGTGTTGCTCACTCCGGATCCGGAAACGGAGCCAGAGGAGGAGGAGGAGGTGGACCTGGAGCCCGAACCAGATCCTGATCTTAGCTCAGCCTCCAAGAAAGCTGATCCCTCGGACTTGGAGCGCTCATCGCGAGCCACGAACGGAGTGGGCTGCTGCGCCTGCACCTGGGCCACTGGAACCACCACCGCCTTGAGGGCATAGGGCACTCGGTTGACCACCGCATTGAAGCCATGGACATCATCCGCGGTGTAGGTCACGGTGCGCTTGTAGCCATCGGGATCGATGAGGCTGTAGAAGCCCCTGACCACATAACCATCGCGGGTCTCGCTGTGCTCCTTGATGTCGCCAGTGCTCTCGTCGTTCACGGCATAGTTGAAGCTGTAGCTGGCGGGCGGGAAGACCTCCGGCTCCTGGTGTTGACGAACCGATTGGACTACCACCGAATCCTGGGGCACAGATGCAACCACCTCCGAGTTCTGCTCCTGGCGGAGGACGGGCAGCGGGGAGGGCAACAGGATGGACTCTGCATTGGCGGCACTGGCTGCGTTTTGGAGCAGATTTGAGGCCTGGGCACTGGCCGTTCGGCTGCCGGCTGCAAACTGATTCCTGGCGGGCGCCACGTAGTCGTAGCCATCGGGAGTCGCCTCCGAGTTCAGGGCATTGTTGCTGGGCGTGTGGTAGTCGCTCAGGAAGTCCTCACCCGAACTGGAAGCACTGCGCTCCAGGGAGTTGACCGCCGTGGCCGACTTCTCGTTGTAGTTGTATTCCGCTTGGCCAGCGGCAAACAGGGCCAGCGACAGCAGGGTAAAGAACTGCAAAATATTATAAATAATAATAATAAAATGTATTAAACAATTTTGTATTTAAATCTTATTTTTCTACAGAAAACTTTTGAAATGATTATTAATATTTATTTCTGTAACATTTCTTCTGAAGACTACTTTACTAAATCAAAAATATACTTTTCTTGAATCTTTGAATAACATCTAGGGCACGTTTTTATACTACAATATGTATTTTTTTAATATTTACAATAATTAATAAGGATGAACTCATTTCTTGAACTTCTTTCGAATTACAATTAATGTGTTTTATAGCTTTCAAAGGACATACTGATTCTTTGATAATTTTATATTATGTTTAAAAGAGTGGAAAGTATATAAATATATCCTTTTGTTCCTTGCATCCTAATTTTATTTGAGCCTGAATATACAAATTGGTCTCCATCACAACATACCTTAGCTGCCATCTCAAATCGTTTGGGGATCTTCCTTCCGTGTGTCTGCCTCCACAAATTGTCAGCTAACTGATGTCATAATTGAGGCAACTCGGAGTTTTTATACTACATCTCAATTGCAGTTTATTACTCAATGAGTGCCGTTATACAATGTCATGCGCCTCAATTGATCGATTTCCCATTGTCCAAAGACCGTACAATGTATTGGTAACACTTTCATTTTAATTTGGTGACCATTTTTATGCTGCGTAAGCGTAGACGCTATTGAAAGATGAGACAGCTTCGTGTGATAAAAAATAAATAAGAACTGGAGCAGAAGTTGGCAATAAATAAGATGGAAAACAAAATGACTTCTGAAATACTTTTTGAATTCCAGATACTTCTTGACTTCCTTAGATGCCCTAGACAATTTATCACTGAATCCGATTAGTGTTTCATTATTGTTCTAGGCCTAATGTTTTTCGGAATGGCTTTTTACATGTGCTTAACAAAATGATTGCAAATTCAAAAGTTAAGTTTAAGAAATTCCAAAAAAAAACTTAGATTTTTTGCAATATATATTAATATTATAATTTCTCAACTAAATACATTAAAAATCCCACATTATTTCAATGGGCATCTCTAATCTCCCACCAAATCGACGATGTTTGATGGCTTTGATAAGAAAACAAAGCAAACCGGTTGCTGGCCAACTGAAGTTGGCTGATTGCCGTCTGGTCAAAACAAACGGCCAGTTGTCGGCAATCGGGAATCAAACGTCGCGGAGAACACAACGCTGGCGCAGAATGACGGCCAAGATTAAGTTGCGGTCTCAGCTGCATTTGCTGACGGGTTTCATGGCGGGATTCGTCTTGGCCTTTGTGCTGCTCTTGTATGTGTATGATGTCAGTAGGGTGACGCCCTGCTGGAGCAGTTCCTCAACGATGTCCACAGCCACGGCCAGGATTCGGGGTAGTCCACCTGCCCGGATTCTGTGCATGGTGCTCACCTGTCCGGAAAACGTGGAAACCCTGGCCCGGACAGTCCACGATACTTGGGGTCAGCGATGCAGCCACCTGATCTTTGCCAGCAGTGAGGATTACGAACCACTGGGCGTGGTCCAGGTGGTTGAGCCAGGGGGCGGTGGCTACGAGGATCTGTGGAATAAAACTCGCGAGGGATTCCGCCACGTTTGGGAACACTTTGGTCGCGACTTCGATTGGTTCCTCAAGGCGGATGACGATACGTAAGTAACGCTAGCAGGGATTTTCCCTGCCATCCCTTAACTTTACCACCTTCGCAGTTATGTGGTCATGGAGAATCTGCAGCAGCTGCTGAGCGGTTTCGATCCGGATACACCCGTCTACTTTGGATACAAGATGTCACGATATAATGTGGTGAGTGATAAACGTTTAACATATCTCTCAATAACTTCCGCCTTTGTGCTTATGTTTTGGTAAATGATGGATTTAATCGATTATCTCTGTTTACACAGAGAAAAAAATAGAAGTTGACAAATACTTTTTGTAAATAATTATTTGTTAGACTTTGTTGTCCACAAACAATGACCTAAATGAATAGGTTCTTCCTTATTTTTTTTCAAAAATTTTTCTTGGAAATTTTTATTTGCCATTTTTTATTGAACATGTTTAAAAAGTTTTTTTTACTGTTCATAAAATTTATTTGGTAAATGATCCAGTTGATCGCTGGCATTAGCTTTTAATTAACTGCTCATCTTCCATGGTATTGTCGCCCGCTTGTTCGGCTAATTTGAATTTCTAATTTCTATTCGGTGTTGAACTTTAAGTTTAGATTTTCGGTGATATTTAAATTATTTCTTCCGAGCTCAGCAAAAATGCTCCCGGCGAAAATTATTTGCATATGTCAATAAATCAGTTAAACAAATGTTTTTGGGAAGGTAACTACAGTATTGCAAAATATTTATTTATAAAAAATTATACAAATTTATGTAGATAACAACTGTTATGTACTAAAATGTATTGAAAGGAATTAACGTTGATCAATAACTGTTTTATTGTTCATTATTTTTCAACACAGTAATTAATTTAAAGAGATAAAGAAATTTAATTATAAGCTCTTTTAACTTTCTCATACGATATATACGATATTTGGTAAAGAAATGTGCTAATAACAAAATTCTCATTGTTAGAATAACCGGTCATCTTTTGTGACTGTAATCTCTTAACAACTAATAACGATTTATTGTGCATTGTGTGCCGGTAAACAAACATTAAATCTATTATTGGTAAGATGATATCATGCAGAACAGTTGAGATCTTGACTGGCCAAAAGCCTCTGGTCTTGGCTGTTTCCGTGTGCATAGATCAATCGGATCCGGCGACAACAAGAAATTATATTCGCATTAACAATCGCAGCTGCCTGCAGTCTGCACAGACTGATGGCAGTGCCTCACCTGAGGTCATCGCGATTACCTGGCACGCATCTTTCACAGCCGCACCTTTTGGGCGGTAGCCACAGATTTATTGCGCCTTCTGACATTTCCAAGAGTTGGGCAAGCTCTCCGTGAGACGAAGTACATTTCGTCTGCATACATTTGTTTACACATAAATAAACAAATGAGTTATGGAGGGCCTGCATCTGGTCGACCAAAAATTAAGATACTAAAATATTCTCTTTGTTTCGGCTTCTGCTCATCTCACATTTTGAATGGAGTTTATCGCGACTTGATTATTCCTAATGTATCATAAATGTTATAATGATGTGTGATTGATTGTTGTGATTATCTACCTGACTATGCCCGTCTGTGTTTTATGTTTTTTTATTGAATTTTGCAATCTTTGGTATTCAGCCAATTAACATATTTTATGCTCTCATGAATTATGCATTTATTTTATGCTGTGCTATATGCACTCAGAAAAAAATAAAGGAAATCCGGCTAACTTTTGTCTTTAGAAGCTTAAGAAGCATATAAATTGACTTCGATTTTTCTAAATTTAGTAAAATGTACGCTAGTGTGAGCCCCTTTTAAATTTTGTAAGACTTAAAAATAATGTTTTATGTGACACACTTCAGCAATATGATCTGTCATAATCCCAAGTCAAATGTGACAATTCATTAAATTTAATATTTCACTTCCATTAATTTGTGAGCTCAGCTTGTTTACATGTGAGTTTGATGCGTATTTTGACACATCATTCACTGCGAAGTGACCTCCAAAATAGGATTAAGTATATCTTTATTTCGTTGGTGGCTATGTTAAAAACCGAACACCGTTACTAAAGCTCGAAACAACTTGGATACTACGCGGTGTTTTCGAGGCTTTGATGTGAATAGTCATGCTTCAACATTTCCATTTTCTTATTGTGTGGGACAGGTTTGCGAAGTTAAAACGGGGAGTGTGGTATATTAATCTTAGAGTTTATGGAATATAATTTGTGATAATGGATAATAATAATGTTTTGTTTTTTGCAGAGTTATATGTCTGGCGGGGCTTCTTATGTTCTGAGTCGTCAGGCCCTCGATCGCTTTATGACCCAAGCCTACGAGTCTGAGGTGATTTGTCCACAGCCTAAAAAGATGGGAATCGAGGACTTTTACATGGGCATATGTCTGCAGAATGTGGGCGTCCATTTCGTGGACTCGTCTCAGTCGTTGGATGGGGACACAAAGCCAAAGTTTATGCCTCTGGACCTGGAACACTATATGTCGGAAGCAAATATAACGATTCCACAATGGTTGCGCCAGATGAGTTTTTCTCTAGTTGAAACTGTAAGTCCTGAATAAGACTGATTTATGCTTACAAAATGTAAACCAATTTGCCTAATCTCCTTTAGGGCTTGACATGTTGTTCCAAATATTCGGTGGCCTTTCATTATGCCAGCCGCGAACGGATGTTTCTCTACGAGTTTCTAATCTATCATCTTAAAGTGTTGAGTCCCAACCTGATTTCAGAAAGAAATCAGGGGAGTCAATTAACCTTATCTGATTTGATAAGGCGGTTTCCACTGGAAGATAATTCCAATATAAAAGACTTGCTACAGATGTCTGAGAAACCAGAGAATTTTTAGATATTCGTGTTTTTATTTTTATCTATTAAGATCTTAAACATGTGATATGATTTGTTGAATATAAATATATTAGTTTTATTTTATAATTCACATTGGATCTTGAATATTTAAAGTGAAATATAAAACTGATTAATAAAAATATACATTTAATATAATTTAAATAATGAGTACAATTATATGCTGTTCATATCTTGAAAAGTAACTGAAATATTTCTGTAGACAGCAAAATGCTTAATATCTATAGCATACTTTTAGGCATTTTTGAAGAATGATAATTGTGATAGATAACATGGCCGCAAACGAAACATGGCGCCTTAAAATACCATTTTATTTGCAACGCCTGTAAAGTTTTATTAACTTTGACTTAGCTTACCCATAAAAGGAAAACTAACTTAGATAGGTATAAAAACTATGGGTCAAATTTGACAATTCTACTATTTTTTATGGGTTTATAAGAGTGGTACTTTTCATAAAGAAAACTGTCTGCAATGGCTCAGAAGCCCGCAATTCATATATTATTTATATCCATGATCACCTTACCAAACACTAATTAAATGTTATTTTTACGTTGCAAATTGCTTTAATATGTTTTCGTATACCCTTTTTTTACAGTCATTTCAATTAAAATATTGCCTTGTAGTTAAGTCTTATAATAACACAAAGAAATGGGAAGAAAACTTTATTTAAGGTTTATTTTATTAATTAAGAAATTACATATTTTTGTTTGTAAAAACAACTGTCTTTAAAAATGATTTTTCTAAAGCTTATACCAAATTTCTTATAAAATGCAATTCAATTAGTAAAGGGTATTCCATGTTCACCATTAAAAAATTCCCTGTTGGCTGTATTTACGGTGATGCGCTTGTAATATTCCGCAAATGGTATTAAGCGGATGGCACATGGTCTGTAATATATTTTTAAAATTTATTGCACTGACCTTGCAATTCTACAGGTATTTAATTAACACCTGGCAGCTACACATAGTCGAAATGGCTGCTTCGGAGGGATTGGGACAGCAAAGATAAAGGCTAAAATGTGGTAAGAATTGCTGGGTAATCCTTCACTTTGCGCATTCTTGCATGAAGGGCTGACCAACTGAACTGCACTGGACTGGACTGGGCTGATTTTCATTACCAAAGTCAATGCCTCAGTCTCACCTTAATGCCGCCTCACCTGCTTTAGTTTACTGTGTACTGTGCGGTGCTGTTGCCAGGCCAAAGATAATTAAATCCAAAATCACGTACGCATGCTCGGTGTGTGTCAGTTGGCATTTCGACTCTTTCCCCTCCGAGATCCGGCGATCGGAATGCCTTCGCCGATTGAGATGTTTTTTTAGAAGCCGGCTGCTGCTCTGCGAAACTTTTTATGGTAAAATAGCATTAGAAATATCATAGATGGGACATCGCTCGTTAATATCAGATGCAAGTGAAAGGGAACTTGTTTAATTTGTTTTTGTGTGTTTTACTTACATTGTATGATTGCCCGGCTTGGGTTATTGTTAGGCATGAGCTCAGTGTGTTAATGGGTAATGGGTACAAGTAATTGAACATAAAAGCAAAAAGCTCTATTGAGGAAACGAATTCTCCAGCACTTGTTCAAACAGGGCGCTTAGTCGGAGCTGGGAGTGGGCCACAAGTGCACCTTGGAATCGCACTTCAGTGCAGTGCTATGGATATGGGATGGGTTCGGACTTGGAGTCAGCTCTTCGGTCTCATTTGGGGCTTAATCGTTTATTACACTTACTTGAAATGAGTGTGGGAAATTAGTGTGGGATCTCATATGCATTTTTTTGCAGAGCACATTTAAATTCATTACCAAAGTTGTTAGCTTGGTGATTGATTGATTAAAATAAATCTAACCTTTGCTTTAAGACTACATAGAATGTTGAGACAAATAATTACAAGAAAGAGTTATTTGGTAATAAGTTTATATTATACAAAATACACTTTTTAATTTCCGTTTAAGTAGACATTTAAAGACGGACTTAGTTTAAGCTCCTTATGAGCAATGTTTTTAATTCGCTTTGTGCGATTCAATCGAGTCAGATCAAAGAATCCAATTAGTGGAAAATCCACTTAATTTACGAGACCTACCAACTCCGCACTGAAACTATTTGCTAACAAGCTAAGCTAACACGGCTACTAGTTGCAGCAACCTACTAGTTAAATCAGTTTACTTATTTGCCCAAGATCAGTGTTTCTCCGTTCCAAAACAGCCGTCGCACAGTGCGTATGCTTAATGCGTTTCGCCTTAACTTTGACTTACTTCGGCTACTGCTGTTGCTGCGAATCTGAGTTGTCGGTTTCAATGGCGCGTGTTCCATTTTGTGGGCCGACACAAGCTTCACAAGGGGTTCAGTTTGGTTGTTGTTGCTGCTCTTGTTTTTGTCACCTGTCCGATTATTCTTATTATTATTATTACTATTTTTATTTGGCCGCATTGTGCGTTGTCGCTGTCGAGTCGCTTTGCCTGACCTTCGATCACTCGCTCTCGATTTGCAAGCCATTAAAATTGATATTTTTCGTAGCTGAAATTGAAATTGTATCGAAATCCAAACTGTAAGAAATCAATTACTTGGGGTATGCGTAACCGTGCCTTACTCATAAATTGTTTGCAGCATACGATTTTTTTGGCTTTTTGTGCCGTGAAAGTTGTGAAGCCATTTAAAATTATTGTTGTTATTTTGAATTTTGTTTTGCTGAGCAAGATAAATTAATTATTAATGTGGCTCGAATATTGGCCAACCATTTCACATAAACACTGAAATTATTGCTCTTTTTTTACCCTTCACTTTTTTTGTGGCCAAGATACAAGTCGCAGGAATGCGATATCATTGTTGCTGTCTTCCACTTTTTGTGTTCTGCGTGCGTAAATTGTTGTGGAGGTGCTCGAGAGCTTGTTTAGAACACGTAATTGCTGTTAAGGCTGAAAGTGTTTTGGGCTTGGTAGTACCATTAAATCTTCAAGTGGGTGCTCGATATTTCGGATCTGGACTCAAACATAACTTGGTCTACTAGACTCTATTTTTGTGCTGGCTATAAAAAGATTGTCTTAATTTTAGTTCCTAATCTTATATCTTACTTAAATATTCCTTAAATATTCTTATAAATATTTTTTATAAGCTAATCAATCAGCAGTAATCTTGTTGTTCTGACCAGAATATAAAGTAAACTAATGAACCTACATTTTAAGATGGAAAGTCCATTAGTAGCCATGCAGGAAACACTCTCCTTAATCTTAATATTGTTTCCAAGAAGAAACAACAAAGGAGCTACATGTTTTATTTTACAAAATGTTTACATTTAATTCAAATAACCATTCCAAATTTTTCCACCTTATGTTGTTAATTGTCTATTTTAAATCAATAAACAGCCCACAGGTGCAGATAGCAATCGAGTTCAAATGGTTCGCTTGGAAGGCCTCATCGCAAAAAAAAAAACATCATTTACTAGTTGTCTCATTGCACGCACAGATAAATCAACACTCAACGACAATCGGCAGCACATATAAATTAATTAATTTAATTACTTATCTAACTGAATTGCTTTGGAGTCTCGAGTTCTCAACTTATGCTTGTGTGTTTTCAATACATTTTTTGATTTTTTTAATGACGAGTGAGCATGAAATGTTTTTTTCCTCTTCTCTGTAATTCATTTAAAGTGCACTTAAAAGTTTGAAATATGTATTTTTTTGTTTCTCCATGCGTGTTAAATTTAACTTCGATCGTTCTGTTGCAATAATAAATATTTATAGATGCGCCCGTTCTGCTAGATGCCTGACTGCACTTGTTAAGCTCGGCTCGAATCGAAGATAAATAAGAATCTTAATTGATTTTAATGTGCACAGCTGCATTTGACGACTTCTGACTATTGACTGACATCCGAACAAAGATCGAAGAGGCTAGTATGGGACCATAAGTGAGCTGTCGGCATACTCATACAAAACTTGACATAAAATATTGTCTCTGGACAATGGTTAAATGTTTCAAACCTTAATCTGTGAATGATTGAATATCTTAAAAGCTTGAAAGTTGCCCTACAACTACAGCAATCACAAATCCGAATAATTTTGTACACAGCTACAATTTCTAAAACAATGTGTTTAAATAATAAAAAAATAAAATGGTTGATGGCTTTAATTACAAAACAAAATATTGCTTTGAACAATAAAGTTTAACAAAAAAAAATTAATATTTAGCAAATTATATTTTCTATTCGAAAATTTGACTAAGATCTTTAAAATCTAATCAATAAATTGTTTTTTAAACACTCCACGTGTCCATAAACTTCATAAAAACCCAATACCCATCAGATTAGTTTTAAGCCACTCCAATTAGTATGCAAATTTCGTGTAATCATTGAGAGTTGGGTAATACTTGGCTGTCCATTCACACGACTCTAAGAACCAACCGCTACCATCTCTCACGGCCCAAACAGGAACTCTTCTCCGCATGGGTGCCGGTTTTTACCACTCAATTAACCGCAAGAGCGGTCGAGGAAACCGATTGAAGATGGCCTCTCTCTGCCGATCTCTCTTCCACCCGGTTGCAGTGCATCCGCCAGGCTGGGAAATTCCCGCTATGCGGCGAGAGAAAGGGCGAGAGACCCGGGAATGATTAATACGACACGTTGGCTTGTCAAATATGACGGAACTCATTTGGAGGCGGACATGGTATGGGATCCAATCCCAGTCCCAAGATCCCGAGAGCCGAAGCCAAATGGAGCAGTAGTTCGGGAGCTCCAAAGAGTGAAAAAGACGACACTGAAAAAAAAAATTATATTTACAAAGAAGAATTTTGAACCTTATAGTTTCCTTAGCCGTGAGACTAGGAATTTAAGCAAAGTTAAAATAAAAAAATATTTAAAATAGAAAATTTTAATTAAGTTTGAACTAAACATTTGAACACAAAAACCTTCATAACATTAACATAATAATTAATTGAGTTTTACTGTAGATTCGTGTTGCTTTTACAATATATTTTTTCAAAAAAAAAAGTTATAAGAGAACTAACCTGTCTGCGAAATGGGAACCCGCGCTTTGCCTTATTTTACATCTACATGTATAACAATATAATAAATAAATAATGCAGAATTGAATTTGGAAATTGGGATATTCGTTGTACTTTTTTGTAAGTAAGGTAAATAAAAAAATCAAAATAAATTATTTTTTTGTCTGCGGAATTTCGGATCTGTATGACCTTTATGTTCTTAGTGTATAACCGGTTCCATTGCCAACCGATTCGAGCTCCAATGTGGAGGGTCCCCCGCACAGCTGGGTTCAGTTTCGAACGAACTCTTGGCCGCTGCGGACGTGTGTTGGAGCCCTCGCCGCCCGTTTCGATTCGAATTCGAGTGTGCTGGTGAGCCGACGAGAGTGAATGTGAAACGTTGAAACGTGTCGCGCATGCGCCGTCTTCTTCACCGTTATCGTGGCTGTGTGTGCGGGGCTTTGTGGCCGTCCCCATGCAAAATCGCTCAAATTGTTTGAGAAATAGTGCAAAAACCCGATAAACACTAAACACCCACCTCTGGGACAACATTGGATATATTTTGTGAATCTATTTCGGAGCTCCCCATCTCTTTTGCTCGCCCACAAATAAACAATTCACCCTCTCTGTCACTTTTGCTCAGTGTGTGTGTTAGCGTTTTTTTCTTCTTTTTTTGGGGTCCCCTTTTGGAGTTCCGAGTCTTCTTTGTCGGTTGCTTCGTCGCCGCGTCGTCTTTGCTTACGTTTTCGTTTATGAATTTAATTTATTTTCGTGTTTAATTTTTGTTGTTTTGCTGCCGCTTCTTCTTGTCTTCCACAGCCTCCCATGCAACAAAAGATCATATTTTGCGCAATTTTGGCCACTGCAGAAATATTAATGGAAAACAAACCAAAAATCTAGGGCTTACAAAAAAAATTCTGAGCAAACTGATATTTAAAAAAACAGAACATTTTAAAATATATATTTTCTTTTCAATAAAATTTGTTGTATAGTTTGGTTTTGCCCATTCCCATAAAATATTTTGTGTTTTTTCACATTTATATAGTGCTGGTTACTAAATTCTTGAAACGACTAATAATTGGTTGCTATTTTTATATTATTTAAATAGTGGCTGTTTCTGGTTTTTAAAATGCGTCAGAGAAGCCTGTTGTTTAATAGGAATTTCGGAATTTATTTGATCTCGACTCGAACTTTGGCCAACAATTTCTGAAATTAGCCACAGAAATCTTTATTAATTAATATGAAATATCCGGGGGCTATGGCTAATGTTCAGAAAGCCGAGGCATTTGGCTTCTACCACAATACAATTTTTTCGTATTATACCGTAATTTTAAAGTGATTATTGCCGTTCAGTCTTCCACGCTTTCTGGACTTTCTCCCTCTCTCGCTCGCTCTTTGGACCGCTTTTTGGTCAGCGTCGCCCACAATTTACCGACCAATTGGATTTAGCTTTTACCCCATAAAGTTTTCTCTTCTCGGCCATTTAATAATAATTTCTAAGCAAACTCCAAATTGCATTAGGCGGAAAAATGTTAAGTGGTTGGAGGGGATGAGGGGGGCGGTTTTATGACTTTGTTAGCTTTAGCACTCTGCAGTTGCTGTAATGTTAATTGTTTGCAGTTGTGCAATGGCATTTTATATATTTTTTTACTTCTCTTTATCTTTGCTTTACTGCTTTGCACATACATTATTTGTATGCTTTTCGATGTTGTCGGTTTAGTGGGTTTTTTTTTGGCTTCTTTCTCGACTATTGTCGATTATGACTAATGGAATCTGTTTGTCGTTTGTGGGTTTGTAAGCCCGCAGAAGGTCAATTGCTTTGTGGGTAATTCCGTTTTTATCCGCCTCTTCGCCCTTTATTTGTTTTGCCATTTATTTGGCCATACACCACATTGCATTGAATAAATGCGATTTTATTTGTTCGCTTTACTTTGTGCAATGTAATTAATTGGTTAACATTAACGAACCATTTCGCTATTTACTTATACCTTTTTTGCGGTCGAGTCAATTTAGCGATTTAAAATATCTCAAAAAATAAAAAAGCGAATTGGCAGTGCGTTTCCAAACTTTATATATTTAGCAAGTTGTGAAAAATAAACGGAAAATTTCAAAAGTCAAACCATGTACCTCAAATAAATAATTGCATGGCAATTTCTTGACTGTTTAGTATTTTCTATTCGATTAATGTTTGTGACTAATCATTTTGAACTGATTCCAATTTCTAAATAAATTAAACAGAAACATTTTTTTTCATTTAAATACAAGTTAAAGAAATAAAATAAATAATAAATATGAAAACTAATTAAGCAACCTTTAAAAAACTCATATCGGAGAACATTCTCTTGCCATTTAAAAGCGAAGAACAAGTGACTATCAAAACAAATTTCATTAATAGATAACTTCATCAGGTTTTATGCTAATTCAATCGATAAAACCGCGCTCACTAACATTTTAAACAAGAATTAGAGTGAATTCGTAACCACAAAAATCTTCGTATGACTTAAAACAAAGAGTGTGAATCACGGCATACATATGCAAATAACCATGTATTATAGAAATCACTTGTTTCTTTTTGCAGTGCAATAATTGGAAATCATGGGATCTCAGCTGAGTAAAAATTAAAGTGTGAACCAAATGTACAACCGAACCACTGTGATGAAACTCGAAATAATGCAAAATTAAACCCATGCTGTTAAAGTCAATCCACATCTCAAGTGTTAGTTTGCTTAATTAATTTAACAATACAAACGCGTCGTAATCGACCGATTTTCGTGCACCACAATAGCGAACAAACGGATAATATATATAATAAATAAAAAGTGTTTGCAATCAATATGAGTGTTCCAAGCGCGCCCCGTCAGAGGGCAGCACGCAAAAATCGAGACCCATGTCCCAGCCAAAAACACAAGCTCCGGCTTGCCCATTTGCCCGGGGCAATCTACGGGGGAGCCCTGCTGTTGCTACTGATTGGTCTCGGTCTGGATCTGGGCTCCGTGCATTGTTATGGTGAGTACCAACGACCTACCACTTCCTATCGCATTCTATGGGTATTCAATTCAATTAGGTTTATTTGCATAGACATGGATCGTGAACCGATTGGTAGATTTGTTCAGTCGGGGAATGGGAAAACTAATACAAAATAATGGAATTTAGATAGTTAAGATAGTCAATATATGAGATATGGTTCTACATTTTAAACTCCTTCGAAGCTCTTAGCAATATAAATATATTTAATATTGCAACACTATTGTAACACTATTTGTTAAGAGTTGTTAACAAATTTAAAGGCAAATAAACCCATCATTTTTGAGTAAGTACTACCTGATCAAAATTGACGTCATGCATTGGAATCGCCAGACGTGCCAAGATCTAGTGGCTTCAAAATGACCGATTAGATCCCGCCACAGACAATTTATTATTCATAAAAAAGTGTATATATGTATATATATATGTACATACATACACAGTCAGAAATTGCTTTGGGGAAGAAAATAATGACTTTATATTTATTATTGTTTGGCTTATGGTATAATTTTTATTCAATGCATACCAATATTTTCCTAACATAACATGCATAATTGTATTAAAACAATTTAAACAAATTGTTCGATCTAAAGAGAATTCTTGAATTTCCCAATTCAGAACTAACATCTACAATTTTTAACCAATATTTTGGCTCAGTATATAGTCAAGCCACAAGTACAGACTTATGGGAGAAGGGGGAGTGTACAGCGAATCTATAGATTCCACGATGTCTGACGATACTGGTCACGTAGTGCTTGTTTTAGTGGCGAGGGGCGTGGTCAGAAGCTATCCGAGTCAAATGTCAACGCACGATCAAATGACTTCCCTTCACACCCCTTCGCCAATCGATTGATTTGTTAGCTTCCTCTCATTTTTGCATTTTAATTTAATTTTACATTGTCTTGAATTTGCTATTTTGCTTATCATTTGATTTATGATCAGAAACCGAATTTTGTGTTTTTATTTTGCGATATTTAGCGTAATGAAATTACTGCAAACAAACGTGAAATGTATCCCATTGTGTTGGCCAAACCCACCCCCCGCGGAGTGACTGTCTACGTGCCCCCTTCCTGATAAAAAGATCGACGGTTTTAGAGATCTCCGATCACCGCAGGGGGCATGGGGAAGTCGAACATTGAATTCGACTCGGCTGTTGGCAGCAAATAATTTGTTTCATTTTGTTTTCTTTTCATCAATTTTATTAGCATTCGCGAAGGTCTGTTGTTATATCAGTGTGATTATATCGAATTGCAGCTGAAATAAAAAAAGTCACGCATGCAAAAACTGTAGTACTAATTAGACCAAAAAATCCAAAGGTTTATGTGTTCAACAAACATAAACATTATTGAAGCCTTTAAAGCTCGACAGTTTGGTATTTAAAACTAAACTTAGTTATCACTTTAATATAGTAGTTGATTGCAATATTAAACGAAGACTGAAGGCATAATCATTCAGTCCGATTTGTCGCGTGTATACAAATAAGTATAACGAAAGCTGAACGCGGTAGTAGATAAGGAATAAGCTTTTAATGACGCCATCAGTTTGAAAATAATTAATGCTAAGAAAAAATTGATGATAAAGTAATCAATGTATGTTTATATTCAACATTTTGTATACGTCTGAATACACTTCTGCATCCAAATAGGTGTTCATTTTAATATATACACATATTAAGTATATTTTGATGCCTGACCAAGAGCTTTTTTATAATCACTTGTTTACATTTTTCAACGGGTATTCTTAGAGTCATATATGTATGTATATATTTATTTATTTTGTAATAAGATTAAGGCTTACTCTTCACATCGATAAGGACTGACTTTTTTGTTTTGTTTGTTATCATTTTTATGGGTGTACATTATCATTAATCAGTCAAAGCTAAATCGGGGAATACCCGACATATTCGTGCTCTCTGCGAACATTTTAACAAACAAAGACTTGCTGGCTCAGTCGATTCGCGATTTTCAAGGCGTACGGTTCAACCAAAAATGAGTGAAAAAAACGAGGGAGCTGCTAGAGAGAACAATGAAAAAGCTTCAGCTTCGGGAACAAGGAGAAAGCACGATGCAGAAGCTGATGAAAATGTTTCAAATGCAAAGCGACTCGAGACCTCAGAGGATAACTCTTCAGTTTTAATAACAGAAGCTGAATCAATTTCCCAGGAAAATACGGAGGAGACCTCTGGATCCCCAAAACCGCCTACAACTATATTCTCCCTAAACACCTATTGCTGGATAAAAATATTGTCTTATCTTCACTTGGGGGATCAAATAAGACTTGCTGCCTCAAATCGTTACTTAAATAAACATTTCGAACCTCTAGAAAGTACTTATAAACACATTAATGATGAGTCACGGCAAGTCTCAACAAAGCCGATCTGCAACTATTGCTGGAGACGGTCAATGAGAATGTTATCAGCTATGAGTCATCGCTTCGGGATGGAGATGAACATTTGTGGCTGTTGCGAACCTACTGCCCGCAGGTCCGTCATCTGAAAATGACTTTTCGTCGCCCACGTATCGATCTAAAAGAATTGAAAAGCTTAACATCCCTACACGCACGTCTATTCTTTGCCAATGCGAAGTTTTATAAGGACTTTTTTCTTATCCTAATGGAACTGCGCCTAAAGAAACTAAACCTTATTGCTGACAACTACAATGGAAGCGGGCTGCATGTTCTGGAGGACCTCGAATCCCTGGACCTTAGTGGTTGTCCACGATTCGATGCCGAATGTTTGGCCGAATGCTGCTTAAAATTGAAAAAGCTACGCCACCTTAACATGGGCCACATTAACGATAACCTCACCGCGGACAACTTTAGGGTAATTGTGAAGAACTGTCGCAATCTGGAAAGACTGGTCATTAGCGAAGGACCACCGGATTTGCCCTATGATATCATCTGCCAGCTGCCTAGACTAAAACACTTGAAGGTGTGGAATTCGACTTTTCTTACACCTACTTTCACAGAGAAACTGATCCAAAGAACTGGTACTCCGCTAGAAAGTCTCATTCTGATGGACTATAAACTGAAATCTGAACAAATGGATCATATCTGTGAAATTTCTTCGCTCCGGGAACTTTGCGTGGTTAGTGAGACTTTTCCATTGAGTAGCCTGATGAAGCTGAAGAATCTGGAAATCCTTCACCTGACTGCGCCAGATATTACCAATCAACAATTGTTGGCGATTCTTGAGGGATGTCCGCTATTATCCGTACTCAATTTGCCATTTTGGAGGTTAATTACCAAAGACTTTTTCTTAGATGCGACTCTTTTTTATAGACGCAAAAAGATCCAAATAAATCTGCCATACCCACCTGTTGATTTTTTGGAAATCCCTATTTCAAAAGACAACAAGTTCATTAATTTCACACACCAATTTTATTTTAGTCCCATTTTAATAAATCAAGAACTCTGTGACTCAAATTAAATATTATTTTCAGGTCATTTAACTAACAATTATTGTGTGTACATGTGTATTAATTTGTATATTAAAAATAAAATTTAAATGTGACCATTTATTCAAATTGTATATACATTTAATCAGCAAAAAATCACCATAATTATTTAGCAGATTTCAAGTAGTTTTTCTCAAGAAACTTAACCATCAATTAAAGACCGAATAAAATCCCCCATTTATTAATTTACTAGTTTTGTATTAATCATCATTCGGACTTTTAAACTGAATGGCTATTCTCACACAGATCTATTTACTTATATTTAAAGAAAAAACCAAGAGAGGGGAATTTTTAATTAGGCAAATGGTATTTTGATTAACGAAATAATAATGCTCAAAGCAAATCATTAACATCGTGTAAGCTAAAATTGTACGTTTATATTGGGCAAGTGCTTCAATAGAACTTCAATTTAGGAATGACTGCATTCTTTACGAATCGCAACTCTTAATTAAGCCGCTAGAGATAAAATAAATTCTTTGGGCTTCATTAGTCTTGATGTTTAGCTGGGGCGAGATCTCGTACGGGATTTTAAAATTAAATTAAGTCATGTGCGCATTTTTATATGCCGTCAAATTTGGCAGCCAATTAACAGCTAACAAATAGATGTCGCTGTCTACATCCATTTTTTCTTAGTCCTCATAATTAGTGTTAATTTTTCATGACTTGCTCTGAACAGAAAGCGAAAGTTTTTTTTTGCTTTTGAATTTATTTACAATTGCCGTTTTCTCAATCTTGAATTTTAAAAAATTACTAGGCAATCAAAATATGAAGTCAAAACGTTTTTTTCAGGTTTCATTTAAAAGTCAGAAAACAATAAAATTTAATCACAAAGTTTATAAATGATTTATTTATGACATAAATCTATAAGGGTACAAAATGGGTGATGTTCCCCTTCGCATGAAATAAGAAAGAAAGCGTTTTAATTTCATAGTAGGCGATATAAAAGTTTGACAAAAATATTAAGTTAATCGGTCAAAGAATGAGACGAGAACGAATTGGTAGTCGATTTTTTAAGATTTTTCTATTAATAATGCTGTGCTGTCTAATATTTATTTGTCGTATCGATCGGAAACAAGACAAAAGCATACGCGACGGTCATCAGTTTTCAGTCGTTGAAGACAATGAATTCTTTGTCAACACCACTGGATGTCGAATAAGTTCAATGAAACCACTTTCGGATTTGGCTCTGTCCTTCATGCAGCCTTTTGATCCTATTGTGTGTAAAATGGCGCAGTTGATGGTCGCTGAAACAATTGGAGGAAGGAATTACTTAGTCAGAAACATATCAAAGTCAGGTCTTCTTTCATGTTGTCGGGTGTGGCGCTGGAGACAAGTTTCCTGCATGTATCGGGAATTTGTCAGGGTCGACGATTCAAACAACAAGTACAAATCCTGGAAGTTTTTCAAGCTACTGGAAGCATCAAGGTATCTTGAAGTGGGAACTGGGCAGCAACATATTCGCTTCTGGTGCTGGGTGGACTTTGCCAGGATTATTTTTCATGATGTCTTTTATTTCCTACCACCGCCTTTGAATGGTTCGGAATCATCTCGACATCAGGATCGTCTTTCCGTAATGATCTTAGGCATTGATTCTATTTCTCACATGCACTACCTACGCTATTTTAATCAGGTGGCCGACTTTATTGAGCACTTACCCCACACAGAATTCTGGGGCTATAATAGAATCGGAAGAAACACCTATCCCAACCTAATTCCGCTGCTGACTGGTCTATCTAACGATGAGATGGAGCGGACTTGTTACGATGGCAGACCAAACTTTGACAAATGCCACTTTTTATGGGATGATTTTAAAAAGGCGGGATACACCACCGTCTTTGGGGAAGACACTGATGTATTCGGATTGTTTATCTACCGAAAGAAAGGATTCAAGAAGCAGCCCACCGACTTTTACATGCGTCCCGTGATGCCCGAGATTGAATCGCATTCTTTATATCGCACAAGTTTAGATTTAAAATGCACTGGGCATCGCCTTTATGGAGATGTGTATTATCAATTCATCTTGAATCTAATTCCACACATGCAGCGCATTCCATTATTCTCATTTTTCTGGAATATGCACGGCGTTCACGACTATTTTAACTTTGCCAAGCTGGTGGATAAAGATTACCTGAATATATTGAAGAAATTGTACGAGAAGGGAGTGATGGAGCGCACTCTAATTCTGTTTATTGGTGATCACGGCTTGAGGTTTGAAAAATTTGCGCGAACTGCTGAAGGACAGCGACAGACGTCACAGCCGCTCCTAATCGCAATTTATCCCGAATGGCTGAAAAGAAAATTCCCCCAAGCCATGTCTAATTTTCACCAGAACTCTAAGAGTCTTATGACTACATTTGACCTGCACGAAACCCTCAAAGATGTAATGCATCTTGATCGACTAACCGATGCTAGCATAAGTAATCGAACGCGGTATTTGGAAAACAGCCGAGGGATCAGCCTGTTCCTACCCATTCCGGAGCGCAGAGATTGTCGTAGTGCCGAGATACCGCGACATTACTGCCTCTGCAACGAGCTAACCATCATTTCCACCCATGGAAGTGCCGTTCAAGAGGCTGCCCATTTTACAGTGGACAGGATTAACGATCTCATCAAGCCTTATCCCCAATGTCAAAAACTGCTGCTAAAGGAAGTTCACGCAGCTTATGGCGCAAAACGTGAATCTGGAGGAAGACGCGACCTGTCACAGATTATGGTCCGTTTGAAGACGACGCCGGGAAACGGAAATTTCGACGCAACCGTTCTTATAATAGACTTTAATCAGAGGAGAACCCTGGAACTCGGAGGTCCTGTGACCAGGACTGACAAGTATGCGCATCAGTCCTATTGCGTTCAAAACTACCGCATAGAAATGTATTGCTATTGCTTGTAATAACAAACTATTGATTGAGCAATAAAACGTTAAAAATTGGCAAGAAATTTTTGAGCTAAGATTAAGTTCATAATAGTTTATAAACAATTTTCGAAAATATTTAAACTATATTACCTAACTGCCAAGTCAAAAGTGTTTTTTCTGTTAAAAATTGATTTTAATTCAAGTGCAAAGTTTTTCACAGTGTAGTTAATTACAATTAGTTATAGTACCATGCATGTTTTCTCTAAAAAAATAATTATGCAATGCCACGTGAAAAAAAATCAACGTCTTTTGTTAAAACAGCGAGAGTCACGCACGAACCGAGATGAAAGTAAAGTATGCGACGTATCGTAGTCGGATAAATCAAAAGACTTAGAAAACGAACGCGAAACAGCTGACGAGATACAGAGAGAGACTCACAGAAAGTACAAGGCGACAATTGATGGCGCCGAAAAAGTTGTATAAAAAAACCAGTAGTTCATTTGTGTGTAAATGTATTTTGTTTTTTTAGGGGGAATCCGTGATGTCGTGCATGTTTTTCTACAAAAAAAAAACAGCTTATGGCCAGAGTCAGTTTTCGTTGTGGTAGCTTCTTTAGCGTGCAGGTGTTGGTTAGTAATTTTTTGTTTCTGGCCAACATTCCGTAAACCGCCAACGCAGAGTGTTTTTGTACATACAAGCTATATATAGTCGATCAGAGTTAGCTGAGGCTTCCTCTCTCTGGGTCTCCCCAGCTGGCTACGATTTTGGTTAACCGGATCTGATTCTGTTTGCCATCTCAGACCTGGAAATGAATGCTGCTTGTTGCTTTTGCTGTTGCTAGCCATCCATCCATCACTCATTTACTCACACAGTCATCAGAGGCGAGCAATGCTCTCAAAAATGGTACGAAATATAGTCATGACTTGTAGCTGTGAGTGCCCCTTCAGTTGTCAACGTCATGGCTATGGCATAGTTTGCTCACGGTGAAGAATGAAAAACCACAAATCCGACAAAACAAACCATCCTATTCTAACCAGAACGGAATTATAGCCGAATTCTCGAGGGCGATGCCGTAACAAAAGCTTAATTAAAAGACGAACAAATAAACTGGTTTAAATGTCTGATATGTGTATTCCATCTAAGCACTTTTTAGAATGTTGGGCATGTTTTCTTTTTGGTCTGCGGGCATTGGCTTGTTAATTTGAAAACTGGTTTCTCGTAAACAGTCCCTCTCCCCATCGCAATTATAAGCAAATAAACCATAATTATAACGTTTAGCGTCAAAACAATTACGCCTTGCAGATTTTTATCACTTAAAGGTGTCTTCTGTTTAACAAATATTTATTTTTACATCTCATGTTTCTTGTGTGATTCATGCTAACAGTCGACTCAAAAGCTGGAATTATTAATTGAGCTTAGCGAAAAACAGTGTAGTTAAATTGGGGTCTTATACTTTAATGCACACTCCCAAGTTTGTGGAGTAAACGCAATGAGGTAAACTATTCGAAATATAATTAAAAAAGATTAAAATAGCATCGGTTCCTATTTGCCAATCAGAGATTTAAATACATTTGAAATATCCGGGTGTGTCGATTAGTTAAATGCAATTAGAATTAGAATTTTTATGATGACAAGTCGAAACTAGATAATTTCCCAAAATTGCTTGTTAGAATTGAAAAATTGTAGATAAATATGCAAATTAGAGACATTCCTACAGTCCAGCCATTAGTGCCATTGGGTGTGATTCAATCTCGCCGTCCGAGCACCAAGTCAATCAATTTTCCAGTCAATTAAAACCAAACTAAGTCAACCAAATACATTTTCTAATATCACAATCTACATTTTATCGGATCTATTTGACTTTGCTAAAAACCGGCTGCTGTCCGCAGACAAGCTTTTGCGTAAATTATTTATCTAATTCAAAGTGAACATTTAAGGCATTCTCTGATCTTAACTAGCACAAATTTATGTGTCATTTACACGCATAAAACTGAACGAAATTACGCAAATAAATGCAAATTAATTAGAATTCACTAACTGCATGGTGTTTTTAGTTTTGAATGTAGAAAACATTAAATTCTTTTCAAATGTCGAGTATGGTATGTAGGTGAAGGTTTGGTTTCAAACATGTTGATTAATTGCTGCGTTCTTGATAGAATTTTATTTATTTTGAATAGGGAAAGTTATATATCTTTTAAGTCAGTTCAATGCCTTTTATTCCAATTGCAGATCTGATTAAGTAGGTTTTAAAGGCAAAAATATATTTTAATTAAAGCTGAAAAGTGGTATGATATCATATTAAGTTTAGCTGAATATGGGTTCTACAATTCTCACAGATAATAAATAGACTTAACTTAATTGCTTGAAAGTTATCAATTTTAATGTGTGTCACATACTTGCTACTTTTCAGAGAAAATGTATAGTCAGACTGAGAAGCAACGCTACGATGGCTGGTATAATAACCTAGCACATCCCGACTGGGGATCCGTGGGTAAGTAGACTCGACTGGAATTTCCGCCGGTCTGCTGACAACTTTCGAAAAAAGGGCGAATCGAGCCGATTACACCTCTAATCAGAATCAGTTGTGATGTGTGATCGGCCTGGATTTGCATATCGATTGATTCTTTCGCAATGCCCGGCAATTAGCATATTCGCCAGCTGTGTGAGAGTCAACTAACCTTCGCCACCGACTTTTCAGATAGCCACCTGGTGCGGAAGGCGCCGCCCTCCTACTCGGATGGGGTTTACTCGATGGCAGGTGCCAATCGACCCTCGACCCGCAGGCTCAGTCGCCTGTTTATGCGGGGAAAGGACGGTCTGGGGTCAAAGTTCAACCGGACGGCCCTGCTGGCGTTCTTCGGCCAACTGGTGGCCAACGAGATTGTGATGGCCTCCGAGTCCGGGTGTCCCATCGAGATGCACCGCATCGAGATCGAGAAGTGTGACGAGATGTACGACCGGGAGTGCCGCGGCGACAAGTACATCCCATTCCACCGGGCAGCCTACGATCGGGATACCGGACAGAGTCCGAATGCCCCGAGGGAACAGGTGGGTTGCGAACATCGGATCGGATCGAATATGGACTAACCACCTACATACTCCGCAGATAAATCAAATGACTGCTTGGATTGATGGCAGTTTCATTTACAGCACCTCCGAGGCCTGGCTCAACGCCATGCGCTCCTTCCACAATGGCACCCTGCTCACCCAGAAGGATGGAAAGCTGCCGGTGAGGAACACCATGCGGGTGCCGCTCTTCAACAACCCGGTGCCGAGTGTCATGAAGATGCTCAGTCCGGAGCGGCTGTTTCGTAAGTTTACTAAGCCTTGCCCAAAATACTTCAGAACTTTATCTGGAAAACGTATCAATAAATTCTGTATTTTAATTAGAAAGCAAATGGTACTTTTAAAGCTCAAGATAACTCTTTAATAACTTAGTTAAAATAATTTTTGACCCTTAGTTCTTGGCGACCCGCGCACCAATCAGAATCCTGCGATCCTCTCCTTCGCCATTCTCTTCCTGCGCTGGCACAATACGCTGGCCCAAAGGATCAAGCGTCTGCATCCGGATTGGAGTGATGAAGATATTTATCAGAGGGCTCGCCATACGGTGATCGCCAGCCTGCAGAATGTGATAGTCTACGAGTACCTGCCCGCCTTTCTGGGCACCTCTTTGCCACCTTATGAGGGGTATAAGCAGGACATACATCCTGGCATTGGGCACATTTTCCAGGCAGCCGCCTTTCGATTTGGCCACACGATGATTCCACCGGGAATTTACAGACGAGATGGTCAGTGCAACTTTAAGGAAACGCCGATGGGCTATCCGGCTGTCAGACTGTGCTCCACTTGGTGGGACTCCAGCGTGAGTTATTCAAATAAGAAGTAGGCATTGTTGATTAATTTTAATTTAATTGGTATTTTTCAGGGCTTTTTCGCCGACACCAGCGTGGAGGAGGTGCTCATGGGCCTGGCCTCGCAAATATCCGAACGCGAGGATCCCGTTCTCTGCTCAGATGTGAGGGACAAACTCTTCGGACCCATGGAATTTACACGTCGTGATCTGGGGGCTCTGAATATAATGCGAGGTCGCGACAACGGTTTGCCCGATTACAATACAGCGAGGGAGTCCTACGGCCTGAAAAGACACCAGACATGGACGGATATTAATCCCCCGCTGTTCGAAACGCAGCCTGAGCTCTTGGAGTGAGTACAACCTGGAAACTTCTTAAATACAATATATTAACTGACCTATCCTTTTTCTTGCAGCATGCTCAAGGAGGCGTATGACAACCAGCTGGACGATGTGGATGTCTATGTGGGCGGTATGCTGGAGTCCTATGGCCAACCGGGTGAATTCTTTACGGCTGTGATCAAGGAGCAGTTCATGCGACTACGGGACGCCGATCGTTTCTGGTTCGAAAACGAGAGAAACGGGATTTTCACGCCGGAGGAGATTGCGGAGCTGCGCAAGATCACGCTGTGGGACATCATCGTGAACAGTACGGATGTGGCCGAGAATGAGATCCAAAAGGATGTGTTTATGTGGCACACGGGAGATCCCTGCCCCCAGCCAATGCAACTGAATGCCACCGAATTGGAGCCGTGCACCTATCTGGAGGGCTACGACTACTTCTCCGGCTCGGAACTGATGTTCATCTATGTGTGCGTATTCCTGGGATTTGTGCCAATTCTATGTGCAGGAGCTGGTTACTGTGTCGTTAAGCTGCAGAACAGCAAGCGTCGGCGGTTGAAGATCCGCCAGGAGGCCTTAAGGGCACCCCAGCACAAGGGATCGGTGGACAAAATGCTGGCCAGGGAGTGGCTGCACGCAAACCATAAGCGACTGGTGACCGTGAAATTTGGCCCAGAGGCGGCTATCTATACGGTGGACCGGAAGGGTGAGAAGCTGCGCACCTTCAGCCTGAAGCACGTGGATGTGGTCAGTGTAGAGGAGTCGGCCACGAATCACATTAAGAAGAAGCCGTATATCCTGCTGCGAGTGCCCAGTGATCATGACTTGGTCCTAGAGCTGGAATCCTACGGGGCACGCCGAAAGTTCGTGAAGAAGCTGGAGGATTTCCTGCTGCTGCACAAGAAGGAGATGACCCTGATGGAAGTCAACAGGGACATCATGTTGGCGCGGGCGGAGACGCGGGAGCGGCGCCAGAAGCGTCTGGAGTACTTCTTCCGGGAGGCCTACGCCCTGACCTTTGGCCTACGACCCGGCGAACGACGAAGACGATCGGATGCCTCCAGCGATGGCGAGGTGATGACCGTGATGCGGACCAGTCTCTCCAAGGCGGAGTTTGCCGCCGCCTTGGGCATGAAGCCCAACGATATGTTTGTGCGCAAGATGTTCAACATTGTGGATAAGGATCAGGATGGGCGGATCAGCTTCCAGGAGTTTCTCGAAACCGTGGTGCTCTTCTCCCGTGGAAAAACAGACGACAAGCTGCGCATCATCTTTGATATGTGCGATAATGATCGCAACGGAGTCATAGACAAAGGCGAGCTTAGTGAGATGATGCGATCGCTGGTGGAGATTGCTAGGACTACGAGTCTGGGCGATGACCAGGTCACCGAGCTGATTGACGGCATGTTCCAGGATGTGGGATTGGAGCACAAGAACCACCTGACCTACCAGGACTTTAAGCTGATGATGAAGGAGTACAAGGGTGACTTTGTGGCCATTGGGCTGGACTGCAAGGGAGCCAAGCAGAACTTCCTGGACACCTCGACGAATGTGGCCCGGATGACCTCGTTTAACATCGAACCGATGCAGGACAAGCCACGGCACTGGCTGCTGGCCAAGTGGGATGCCTACATCACGTTCCTCGAGGAGAATCGCCAGAACATCTTCTACTTGTTCCTCTTCTACGTGGTCACCATCGTCCTGTTCGTGGAGCGCTTCATCCACTACTCTTTCATGGCAGAGCACACCGATCTGCGGCACATCATGGGCGTGGGAATCGCCATCACCAGGGGATCCGCCGCCTCGCTCTCCTTCTGCTATTCCCTGCTGCTGCTGACCATGTCCAGGAATCTGATTACCAAGTTGAAGGAATTCCCCATCCAGCAGTACATTCCCCTGGACTCGCACATCCAGTTCCACAAGATTGCCGCCTGCACGGCGCTCTTCTTTTCGGTGCTTCACACGGTGGGTCACATAGTGAACTTCTACCACGTGTCCACGCAGTCGCATGAGAACCTGAGATGTCTCACCAGGGAGGTGCACTTTGCCTCGGATTACAAGCCGGACATCACCTTTTGGCTATTCCAGACGGTCACGGGAACCACAGGTGTTATGCTGTTCATCATTATGTGCATTATCTTTGTGTTTGCTCATCCCACGATCCGAAAGAAGGCCTACAACTACTTCTGGAATATGCACACCCTGTACATTGGTCTGTACCTGCTGAGTCTGATCCACGGATTGGCCCGACTGACGGGACCGCCCCGTTTCTGGATGTTCTTCCTCGGACCCGGCATTGTATACACGCTGGACAAGATCGTCTCGCTGCGCACCAAGTACATGGCCCTGGACGTGATTGATACGGATCTGTTGCCCTCCGATGTGATCAAGATTAAGTTCTACCGGCCGCCCAACCTAAAGTACCTTTCTGGTCAATGGGTGAGGCTGTCGTGCACCGCCTTCCGGCCGCACGAGATGCACAGCTTCACGCTGACCTCGGCGCCGCACGAAAACTGCCTCAGTTGCCACATCAAGGCCCAGGGTCCATGGACGTGGAAGCTGCGCAACTACTTCGATCCCTGCAACTACAATCCGGAGGATCAGCCCAAGATCCGCATCGAGGGGCCGTTCGGAGGCGGCAACCAGGACTGGTACAAGTTCGAGGTGGCCGTGATGGTGGGCGGCGGCATTGGGGTCACCCCGTATGCCTCCATTCTCAACGATCTGGTTTTCGGCACCAGTACCAATCGATACTCGGGCGTGGCCTGCAAAAAGGTGTACTTCCTGTGGATCTGCCCGTCTCACAAGCACTTCGAGTGGTTCATCGATGTGCTGCGCGACGTGGAGAAGAAGGATGTGACCAATGTCCTGGAGATACACATTTTCATCACGCAGTTCTTCCATAAGTTCGATCTGCGAACGACAATGCTGGTAAGTACCCCAAAGCTTTAAGGGATTGTTAAGCTGGTTGTAAATGGAGAATCAGCTGCAACTATGAAACTTCCTATGCAGAGAAAATCAAAATTATCTAATATATATTAAATTTCAGTACATCTGTGAGAACCACTTCCAACGGCTGTCGAAGACCTCAATATTCACGGGTCTTAAGGCGGTCAATCATTTCGGTCGCCCGGACATGTCCAGTTTCTTGAAGTTCGTCCAAAAGAAGCACTCCTATGTGAGTTTCTGTAAATTTCTTTAAAGACATCGGTTATTACTATCATTTTTTGTAGGTCTCCAAAATAGGTGTCTTCTCCTGCGGTCCTCGACCGCTGACCAAAAGCGTGATGTCTGCCTGTGATGAAGTGAATAAAACGCGCAAGTTGCCCTATTTCATTCACCACTTTGAAAACTTTGGATAAATCAGCGACTTCGTTACCCATTTACACCTGCCAACTTCCCCCGTCGCCCTCGTTTTACCTGCCTGTCTCTCTCAACGAAAGTTAATTGTAATCTTAAGGTTCATTCATTAGTTTTAGCGAATTCGTGCTTAACTCGCTATTCCTTAATCGTAGGCTACTCGTACAATCATAATTTAGTCAAGTTTTGTTTAGTGCATTATGCAAATGTATTCCATTGTAACAAAATCACTGCAATCACAGCAAGAACAACAAAAAGGCCTCTACTTATATATGTGTATGTATGTATATGTGTATTTATTGAAAATATGATTTGTTATCAGTTTTTGTAAACCGTTCACATTATTTATTAAAATTTACAATTATCTTTATGCGTAAACCATTAACCGAATTTATTTTTGGGGATCAATTACTTGAAGTCCAATCGATATTCATTAAAAACTAAAAAAAACTTTGGATAAAATTAAAAAAAATACATTTCAAAAGTGGTAACCTGCCGCCAAGCAATCAAAAAGCATTTTTACAAAACTTCTCAACTTGTTTGCCACCACTTCGTGGATAAAAAGTGCGCAGAAGCAGAAAACAGCTGACTAAGGATGTTTATTGGCAAACAAGCAAGCCATAACAAATATTTCACTCAGTCAGTGAGCTGTTAACAAAACGGCTTCAGTCGGAAAAATAAATAAATATAGAAAGCAATGGAGGCAATCAAACATTTGGCAGAGGAAGCCTACAACTTAACGCTCAATCGAGAGCTGTTTATCAACGAATGGGCCCAAGAGCGGTTGGAACTGCTTCCTTTTCCGGTTGACCATTGCGAATTAACAATTTATTAATTACAGCTTGAGTTTCGCAGAGCCTCTTTGGCGTTTTCTCAGCGTTAATCTGGAGCCGAACAACCTCTACAACTTTTTCATTCCGCTGAGTGTCATCTTCAGTCATGAAATACTCATGCATCTTTTGTCCGCTGTTACCCTGGTCACCACTCTAAATTCCTTCGAAAAGTGGTAAGTAGTGTCACCAAAAATAACAAGAAAAATAAGAAATCGTAGCTGTTTTATTATGGCATTTATTCAATTAAAAAATACATTCTTGTTAAAAAAATTTGATTTCCCTTATAGGATTTATCAGGAGATGCGTCCTTTGTGGTTTCTGCGGGAGCAGTTTGCCAATGAAAAGCTTTCCGTGAAGCCGCAGGTGGCCTTGGAGAGTCATCAGCTGAGTTGCGAGACGAGCGGTGGGCTGCCCTGCGCCCACTCGATGACCTTCACGGTGTTCGTCCTTATCCTGGCCTCGTACTTCTTTGTCCACTGCTGGGATCGTTTGGTGTCCTGGCGCTCGCCCGTGTACCGCTTCCTAATGTATCCGCTGATCGTCGGAGTGGTCGTCTGCATGTGGCTGAGTCGCCTCTATTTGGCCACTGAGTTCCTACACCAGTGCATCCTGGGCAGCTACTTTGGGATCAGGGCTCTCAACTTTTTCGAGGCCAACATCAAGTATTTGTACTCCCGATCACGAGGTTATGCGGTTTCGATTGTTTGCTTCTTGGGAGGCTTGGCACTAGTGGTATACTTTATGAAACTGAGCCTTGATATGGATCCCCATTGGTCTGTGCGACAGGTGAGAATCATAATTATACAAAAACTATATTACTGCTATTACATGACTTCTGTTTTCTAGGCCTTTAAATGGTGCCCGGAGCCCACTTACATGCGTCATGAAGCGAGTCCGATTTTTCAAATTGTCCGAGATCTGGGAAATCTAATGGGACTGGCGCTTGCCTCGCCCCTCTATACACTGTAAGTAAAATTATGATTTTGGAGCCGCAGATTTTATTATTACTTTTACAGCGAGATGAAACAGTCAACATTTTGGCGTCGCTGCCGAGTCCTAGGAATTTTGGAGTTTGTCAATTACGGATTGCGCATATCCACGCCAAAGCAGTATGGTCGCTTTGTTTTCTTGGCCTGGGAATTTTTCAGAAATGCCTTTCATTCCCTAGTACTGCTAAAGTACGTGACGAAATTTTACTAAAATCAGATCAAACTTTTAGACTTTTGTACATAAAAAAACTTTGGTTAAGGGATATTACTTTTAAAGAAATCAAAAATTTATCAAGAAATAAAATTACGATTTCAATGGCTCAAAATTAAAATATACTGCAAAAGCTTGTTTATTTAATGACACACCTGTTCATTTTTTTATTTCTGTTTTTATTGGCCTAAATATTTTATTTAAAAACACATTTAATAATCAAAATCTTCCCGTGGAAAGTATAGTTTCTCCGGATCACAGATGTGACTTCACGCGTGGAAACTTTTCTTATCTGTAAGGAGAATCAAATATATACAAATTAAATAATAATTACCTCCAGTACTTACCTTCTGGCTCTCGGTTTGCCATCTGAAGGTTGCTGTTCTTGCGGGATTTTCGCCTGTCCGCCCGGAAAAGGCAGTCCACTCGGTCCGCCTCGAAAAAGGCGTAGACCACGCGCACATTGTTGGTGAAGCCGCCGCCGTCCTTCCAGGCACTCACGATCACTATGGGATCGCCGTCGTCGATGATGTTCCACTTTTTGGCGGAGGTCAGGGCAAACTGGACCCGGGCATCCACATCGCTGGCGTAATCGGATATCATCTCCGAGGTGTACAGGACGGGCAGGACTCCGCGGTGCATGTAGACCCAGCGAGCGGCCCTCCCGCAACGGGTTACCGCCAGGATCGGACACCTTGGCCGGAACTTGCTGACCAGGGTGGCCGAACGACCTGAGGTGGTCAGGACCACGATCAGCGTGGCATTCGTCCGCTTGGCCGTCTCCACGGCGGCAATAGCCAAGGAGTGGGCCGCATCCAGCTCGCCACGCACCTCGCTGACCAGATCGGAGAAGAGATCCCGGAACCACAGGACCTTCTCGGCCTCCCGACACAAAATGTCGCAGGTGGCCACCGTCTCCTTGGGAAAGGCACCAATGGCCACCTCAGAGGAGAGCATTATACAATCCGCTCCATCGATAATGGCATTGGCCAGATCGAAGCACTCGGCTCGCGTGGGATGTTGCCGGGTGCGCATGGACTCCAGGATGTGCGAGGCCACTATCACCGGCTTGCCGGCCTTGTTGCACTGCCCCAAGATGCTCTTCTGGGTGATGAACAGCTTCTCGATGGGTATCTGGGTGCCCAGGTCCGCTCGGGATAGCAACAGTCCGTCGGCCGCCTTCATTATCTCCGAGAAGCGGCTCAGCGCAATCTTGCTGTCCATCTTGGCGATGATCTTGATGTGCTTGCCCTTCTCGCCGAGCACCGCCCGCAGCTCCTTTACATTCTTGGCACTGCGCACCGCCGAGGCAAAGAGGAAGTCCACATTGGCCTTCATGCTGAACTGCAGGTCGAACATGTCCTTCTCGGACACGGCCGGCAGATCGATCTCGATTTCCGGCAGGATCACGTTGCAGTTGTTGTTCAGCTGCCCACCCTGGATGACCTCGCACAGCAGCCCGTCCACGCCCACCTCCATGATGTGGAGCAGCAGTTTGCCGTCGTCGATGAAGAGTCGATCGCCGGTCTTGGTCAGATTGATGATGTTCGGATAGTCCACGTAGACCGCCTCCTTATTGCCCTTGTCGTAAAGATCCCGGTTGATCGAGAGCCGCAGATTGTCGCCGGTGCGCAGGAACACCTCGCCATCCAGCAGGCCAGTGCGGATCTGAGGTCCTCGCGTGTCCGCCGCAATGGCCACCGTTCGGATCTGACCCGTCTCCTTGTGAATCCTCTCCAGCGCCTCGTTGATCAGCTCGATCGTCTTCGAGTGCATCTCGTGCGATTCGTGGGAGAAGTTCAGCCGAAAGATGTTCACGCCCCTCATTATCATGCTGTATATGACGTCCGCGTTGCGCGAACTTAGGGATATGGTCGCGATCAAGGACACCAGGCGTTGGTGGGTGGCCTGCTGCGAGATGTCCAGCTCGCAGATGTGCTCCAGCTCTGTGGAGCCCTCCTTCAGCACAGTTTTCGCGGACATGATGATGGTAAAACTATAGTTTAAAAAAGTTAACTTAAAATTTGAAAAAATTGTATATACATACTACAGTGATACGATACTCTGTGACGTTTTGCGAAAAGGATTTGTAAAGTGAAGAATACAGGCATGATCCCACGATGTATGATTCTTCATGTTCTCCTTGAGCTTGAGTCACAACAAGGATTTCAGTACAACACAACCTGCAAAACCAACAAGCAAAAGGCTTCCCATTTTTTGTTCACCCGTAAAGTATGCTAAAATAAATAAAGCTTGATGAGGCATTCTTTACTCATGCGTTCTTACGAAGAATGCGAAACTAAATCGACTTGTAAAAAGAGTGCCCAAACACTGCACTTTAAAGCCCATAAATTTTCTTACAGTAATCCGATTTCCGAAAATGGCTTTGCAGAAAAGTATCCAAAAACGGCACTTCTAAGCTCATAACTTTTCCTACAGACATCCGATTTCAAAGTGGCATAGCTCAAAATGATTGTGGTTTGATTGCCAAAAAAACTGTGTTCTTACTTAATTTTTATACCCTTGCAGAGGGTATTATAATTTCAGTCAAAAGTTTGCAACGCAGTGAAGGAGACATTTCCGACCCTATAAAGTATATATATTCTTGATCAGCATCACCAGGAGAGTCGATCTAGCCATGTCCGTCTGTCCGTCCGTCTGTCCGTCTGTCCGTCTGTCCGTCCGTTTCTACGCAAACTAGTCCCTCACTTTTAAAGCTATCTGCTCGAAACTTTCCCAAAAGTTGTCTTTCTATTGCAGGTAGTATATAAGTCGGAACGAGCCGGATCGGGCGACTATATCATATAGCTGCCATATAACTGAACGATCGGAAAAGCCATAACTTTGGTGTTTTTAAAGATAAGAAGATGGGATTTTCTATGGGTTTTATTTTTGGCCAATCAATCCGACATACCGAATTTCATAAGGATCGGCCGACTATATCTTATAGCTGCCATATAACTGATTGATCGGAAGTGCCATAACTTTGGTGTTTGTAAAGTTAAAAAGTTGGGATTTTCTATGGGTTTTATTTTTGGCCAATCAATCCGACATACCAAATTTCATAAGGATCGGCCGACTATATCTTATAGCTGCCATATAACTGAACGATTGGAAATGCCATAACATGGGTGTTTTTAAAGTTAGGAAGTTGGGATTTTTTATGAGTATTAAGAATGCATCATATGAATAATTTTGGAGAATATAATTTACAGAGTATTCGGCAAGGGTATATCAACTTCGGCTCCGCCCGAAGTTAGCTTTCCTTTCTTGTTTTTTTTTGGGTCGATATTTGGTCATTTTTAATGATGTAACCCCTTTCCAAATTTTCGAAAAATGGCTTTGCAGAAAAGTGTCCAAATACTGCACTTCTATGCCCATAACTTTTCTTACAGAAATCGGATTTTAAAGTGGCATACCTCAAAATGATTGTGGTTTGATTCCCTAAAAAACTGTGTTCTTACTTAATTTTTTTTTTTGGGTCGATATTTGGTCATTTTTAATGATGTAACCCCTTTCCAAATTTTCGAAAAATGGCTTTGCAGAAAAGTGTCCAAATACTGCACTTCTATGCCCATAACTTTTCTTACAGAAATCGGATTTTAAAGTGGCATACCTCAAAATGATTGTGGTTTGATTCCCTAAAAAACTGTGTTCTTACTTAATTTTTTTTTTTTGGGTCGATATTTGGTCATTTTTAATGATGTAACCCCTTTCCAAATTTTCGAAAAATGGCTTTGCAGAAAAGTGTCCAAATACTGCACTTCTATGCCCATAACTTTTCTTACAGAAATCGGATTTTAAAGTGGCATACCTCAAAATGATTGTGGTTTGATTCCCTAAAAAACTGTGTTCTTACTTAATTTTTTTTTTTTGGGTCGATATTTGGAAAAATGGCTTTGCAGAAAAGTGTCCAAATACTGCACTTCTATGCCCATAACTTTTCTTACAGAAATCGGATTTTAAAGTGGCATACCTCTAAATGATTCTGGTTTAATTCTGTAAAAATCTGCATTTACAGTTTGGTTTGTAATTTTGGGTCGATATTTGGTCATTTTTAATGATGTAACCCCTTTCCAAATTTTCGAAAAATGGCCTTGCAGAAAAGTGTCCAAATACTGCACTTCTATGCCCATAACTTTTCTTACAGAAATCGGATTTTAAAGTGGAATACCTCAAAATGATTGTGGTTTAATCCTCTAAAAAACTGTGTTCTCAACTTGGTTTGTATTTTGGGGGAAACAACTAGTTCATAATTCCCTAAAATAAAACTCATCCATATTTAATTCGTATTTTATCTTTTATTTTCCACTTTTCTTTATGTTTTTCTCTGCTAATAACTCAATACACACTACTAATTAAACTAATTGCACAACATAATTATAGATAGCACTTAGTAACGCTATTAAATTAATTTGAGCTATTTGCTAACTACCTACATACTTCGAGTGCTTAAGTACATTGACTTTAGCTTTAACTACAACTAGTGGCAGCACAAACACTACATATACTTACTATTAAATAATAACGCTAATGTAAATGCTTTGCAAATGAGTTTAAATTAATTGAAGAGAAATGTAGTTTAATGCTAACTGAAATGAAGCGAGTCTACGTCTAATTTGTCCGATATGTAAATGTAGTTTGGTTGATGGATGGCCAGTGGCCATCGGGTCATCGACTATCTGCAGCCGCACGACTCCACCACCATGTTGGGCAGCGTCTTCATCGTGGCCATATTACTCGAGTCCAACACGACCAGCTGCAGCGAGGAATACTGTTTGGCGGTGCAGCAGGGCACCAATTCCAGCGACTTGTTGGCACCGCTTGTAGAGAGAATTTTCTGTAAAAAAAGGAATGAAATCTATTAGAGCTTTGTTCAAAAATAGGATTAGAATTGGAATAAAAAAAATAATGAAAAGAAGATTCCAAGACTAATCAAACAAGGTGCGTATGCATGGCATTTTAAATATTACTTTCTTTTGAAATTAGGTTCGTGGTAGTTAACTTAAAAATCGATTACATTTAGCAAATCTTGTTTTTAAATCTTTTCTCCAAATTAAAAATATTGCCATTAAATTAATGACTTAATAAATGTTTATATATTTAAAACTAGACACCTACCATTATGGAGCTGTGGTGGGAGGCCGCTTGCGTAACACTCGCCACCGAGCTGCAGGATCCGCGGCAGAAGTAGGCATTATAGCCCTCCGGCTTCATGATCCAGTTGCTCCAGCCGATGTCCCTGAAGGAGATGTACAGGTGCTCCCGACAGCACTCCGTCATTCCGCTGGAGCAGTTGATGCTGCGCTTCTGGCGGCTCTTCCTGCGCCGATTCTGCATGTCGATCACGATGAACGGTCGGTAGTCCTTGTCCACCGATATGATCTCCTCCATGTCGCTGACGTCGCAGCCTCCACATGAAATCTGGATGAGGTGGCTCAGCTCGTGACCGCTGATCCAGTGCTTGATGGGCCACTCAATGTCGATCTTCATCCACTCATCTGAAAGTTAATAGAGCAAATAAGAATACCTTAGTTTGTGAACCAATAAAATAAATGATTAACAAAAACATAAAAGTCCATTGTTTTCTTTATTCCTAGCATAACAATATTTTTCAAAGCCACTTCCTTATCAGCCAACTGACCCTTAGGAACTCCCAAATTTCGGGGGGTTGTCCGAACGCGCTCGCTTAATGGCCAAAGTTCAGTTTTTGCACCCACGAATAATATTTTGCCAAGTTATTCACCCACATGAATCCAAGATTCGGGCTGCGGGCTGTCACATATCACGAATCTGCCCAATGATCTGTCTAATTGAAAACACAAACAGCGGCCGCGGTTGTCAACGTTTCCACTTATCGGCGGTCAGTATAATTATTATAATACCCATCTAGTATAGAGGACTTGTCACTGATTTTGATTTCTCTACCAGAGGGTATTGGGGGTCAGTTTTGGCCGCTCCGTTCCGTTTTCGCTGCCGACCAAAGGTCCAAACGTGTGCGATTTAATTCTTTAGCGGATGATTATGCTCTAAGGATGATTATATACTAACCTTGCACATTCACCGACTGGATGGCTATGGTCTTGGCGGCCGTCAGATACTTGGAGTCCTGCTGCGTATCCACCTCCACCTCGGACACTACGATCGTCTGCTGGGAACTGGTGCTGTTCACCGAATCCGATCCCTGGTCGGTGCGATTCTGCTTGTTCTTGAAAAGCCACAGGACGGCGGTGCTCACATCGAAGCCCTCGGCATCGGCATCGTCGATCTTGAAGCTGAAGCACATGGATGGGTTGGACTTTCCACCTCCCAAGCGATTGCACTCCACCTCTTCTGTTAAAAGTAAAAAAAAAATAATATGGTTTTGTTAGTTAATTTATAATTATGCTTACAAAATTCAAATTCCTTTCAATTTTTTCCAAAAAAAATATATAATAGGATATCTTTTTTTCTAGCCATTTGGTAAATATTTATGTTTTGCTTAATTTAGTCATGATTGGATACTTTTTCGTATGTGCTGTATATAAATCAGTCTTTTTCAGGTGGTCTATTTAATATAAGCAATTTTTTTTTTTGGTTCGACTATCTACATTCAGTCTTTAAAAACAATATATTTTATATTAATTCATAGAATTACTTACCTCTGTTAAGCAGTATGAATTTTTTGCTGGTCCTTGCATAGTAGTCGTCCAGGTCCTTGTTTTTGGTGCTATCGTCCGGATGGGAGAGAGTCATGCCATCGAAAATGGGCTTGGGCAGCTCCACGGCGGACACCTTGGGACTCTCCTTGAGGCGCAGCTTCTCCAGGATCTGTTGCTTGACGAACTCGATGCGCAGGTGGGTCAACTGCTCCTCGGTGATGTGCTCCACTTGGCGATTGCTTTCGCACTTGGGACATCCGCCGCCCCTGGACTTCACCGAAATGGTGATGTTCCTCTCGCCCGGGAGAACCTCGGGCTCAATGGGGACCTGGGGTTCCACATCCAGATTCGCATCCTTCTCCTGCTCCTGCTCCTGCTCTTGCTCATGCTCCTGCTCCTGCTGTTCTTCCGCCATAAGTTCATTTCGGACAAAGTCCAGGGGGGAAAGGTCCTTGAACTGTTCCTCGGAGGAATATGATGACTCCTCGGGGGCATCTCCAAACATTACCGGGAATTCCTCCACCTCCTCCTCCGTGGGAGTCTCATGGCGGTGGGTCTTCTCCTCCTGCTCCATCAGATGCTGCCACAGGCGGGGCACCTTCAACTGCTCCCCGGCCGGGTGGTTGTAGCTGAGCTCCTGCTGGATGAGGTGCTCCCTCTTCTGGATGACGTGGCGCCTGAGACGGGCATAGTACTCCTGCTTGGAGATCGGCGCATCGTCCTCCTCGCTGGAGCCAGTCGGATCCGGTTCCAGGTGCTTCAGTTGGCGGGATCGCTGCTGGCCGATGTGGTGCTGCTGCAGCTGCTGCGAGGTGTGTTGCACGTGAGGATGCGACTGGTGCTTGGGATGCGGACGCAGGATGTCGCCCCGGGAACTGGGATGCGATCGGGCGTGCAGGCGATTGTATACGTTCTTGTTTTCCAAAGCCAGGCACACCAGCAGCACCAGGGTTATAAAGTATTTGGCCATTTTTGGGGGACGTACTCTTGACTTGCTCTTAAATTTGAATATTATTGTATTCAATAGGTTGCTCCTTTGGTTTCACTTTACTTTTATCGGCTGGGGCTGATTGCTATCTATTTGGCAGCATTAAAACATCAATTATTGTGCCTTTCAGGTTTACAAAACTCATAGAATTGCAGCGGTTTTCACTTATTGTTGCCGTTTTAAAGCCTTCTTCAAGCGCTTTTTATAAACTTAGTTGTACGTTGGTATTTAATGCAATCAACTTATACGCTTGGATGATGCATGATCAACTATTTGGAGGTTTTGGTTAGTTTTGTCTGCAAATAAAAGAAAGAGGTAACTTTAAAGAAAAAATTTTAAACAAAAATTTAATTTAAATTATTAATCAAAAAATTATTCACAACATTTTTCAATATTCTAATGCACTCTAAATCATTGCCCATAAATGTAAACGCAAAACTCGTAGCATTAACAATAAAAAGATTTTTTTTTCAGAAATATTTTAATGCAGTTTTTTAACGATTCAGCTTTTTAAACGTGTTGCCCCAATTAAATTGCAATTTAATATGCCAGCACGACAGGTGCACTTATCACTCATTAAGCCAGAAGTCTCGCTTAATTTTTCACCGAATTGCATCATTTATTTGATTTTGTTAAAATCGAAACGGCAAGGTGGCAGAGTGCAAATTTTTTGACATCAATTCCGGGATTATTTAGTTTTTTTTTTCAAGTATTAAATTCACATTATCACTTGCCCCACAGGCTAAAGGCTAATCGCTTATCTGGCTAGGACTCGCATTATTTTGGTTGTGTAGTTGTGGGCAGATTGGCTGATAAGCAGGTGCAATTAGGTGGCAATTAGGTGGACCCCACACGTACCGTTAGCACACTCCGGTTTATTTGATTGGAATTTGATGACTTGGGGGTATTGCGGTGGTCACTTTGAACCCGGACACGAAACGCGAGAGGCTCTTCGGCGGGATTTATTGGGTCTATATAATATATAGTATATATATATGCTTCCTTTTCTTCCGACATGCGGCAGCGCAAACGAGTTGTGAATGAATGAAGCGGTTGGCTGATTAGTAGAACAATTTATGTGACGAGCGGAGCGCCGCTGATTGATCGTTCCGCGAGCGGGAGCACCAGCCGAGGCGATACGGTGCGATCCGATCCGATCCGAGTGGTTCGGGTCGGATCGGATCGAATCGAATCGGATCGGATTTGATTTACCCCTCCGAGGGGGAGGGGGTTTCCCAGACAATCGACCAGACCACACCGTAGACCATGGTTACACGGCGGCGCTCTCCCCCAAAGAAAATTGGATATGCAAGTGCACTGCAGCATTGCATCAGCTTCAAGAAACGCCAAGACACCGAAATGCATAAAATTCTTAATTGCAATTTTATTTTTATTTTTTGGTTCCGCCGACACCTTTGGCGATGCCACGCCCCCATTGTCGGTGCTATCTGGTGGCGTTTTTGGCCGGCGTTTGGCCGCAATGGGGGATTTTGATATCAAGTGAATTTATGATCGCTTCAAGTCGAGTGGCCCATTCATGCTAATTACCCCACAGCGCTATCAAGCTTGACTTTGATGATCCGACTCGATTGTGTGTCAATCAATTAATAGTGAACACGTTGCTGATAAGAGTGATTTTCCCCTTTGCGGGCTTAGTACACAAAACGAGAGCATGGAATATGGAGTATGGCACGAATCCATCCGACCAATTGACAACGCATATTATATGATTTTCACAGGGCTCTTTTTAATCGCATTTGGGTAATAGATGCGCGCGATTTAAAATCACTCGCATTTCAAATGATTGGCGCCCCTTAATTAGTGTATTTACTTTTCAATTTAAATGGGAAAGTATGGCGATCGGGGAAAATTATGTGAACCCTAAGTGGGCGATTCACGGGCTGTGTGTTTATTTTCGTTTGGGAATTTCATCACCCTAAATTTCTTTTATTCATTCTGGTCTTGGCTAAATGTAGAACAGTCGGGTAAGGTCAAGAAAACTATTTGAAGGCCGACGCGTAGATCACGAGTTGTATTACCCCCCATTTTGTTTCGATTAAGAGCTGAACACGTGCCCGATTCGCTTGTCACGATCTGGGATTTTCTGAAGCCTATTAGATCATCGAAATGAAAAGATTAATACAATTTAGATGTCCGGTTAATTGGCAGAAATTTGTGTAGGCCTCAGCAAATTCCTGCCGACAATGTAGCACGTTTTAATGGCAGATTGTTATGGCTCGTTATTATAAATATTTTGATTATTTTAAATATTTTGATTTGTATGTAATATTCCTTAGAATAGTTAGATATATAAAACTGTTTAACAGGGCTACAGATCTCTTATATTTTATTGATCCAAATTGGGGGTTATGTAACGAAGCATTTTTTTTAGGCTAGACATTTAAAGCTTAACCATCAAATATATCTTTCCTTTTAAAAAAAAGTATATTTTCGAATACCGAAGCTCATAAAAATATGTCATTTAACGTGTAATGGCTCTTTTTTAAAACCTCTTACCAACTTTTTCCCCACTTTTCGATTACGTCCTTGCCTTCAGCATAGGTCACGCCACTTATCATCTCATCGCATATTTTTCCACAATCTACGTAGATTGCCACGTTCCAAAATCTGAATATTTTCCACGCCAAGCCAACTGACGTCGATAATGGCGGCAGGGGGCCTATAATAACAGATCTGATCAGAACGGATCAGGAAGTAGGGACTGACACTCACACGCGACATGTGACACGTTCTTACTTATTCAATTTTTTTGACGTAATTTCAGCTCTGCACTGGACGCAACTTAACTGATGACCGACTTATCAAAGGCACAAATCAATTCGAGGCGTGCGACTCGATGACTTGGGGGGCCGAAAAAGGGGCCACAAAAGGGGGGGACAGAAGTTGAAGAAGGTCATTTAACGCCCAGCGATCGGGGCTACGTCATCGAGCACGCAAGTGGCGCGTGATTCGGAGCTGAAACAAAAGCCAAAGACTCCGCGGTTGCCAAGTCGATGCAAATCGGAGTTGGGGGCTTTCGCGATGGGCCGGTGCAAAGTACAGCCGCAGACTGCAGACTGCAGTTGATGCCCAACTGACTTGACGACTCTTCTTGGGGGTTTTCCATGGGGCTCCTCCTCCCATATCATTTTCGCATTAATTACGGGGCAGCGGCTGGGGCTATCGTAATTGCCGGGCATTATCACTTGCATTTCTTTCGCCCTGCAGTTGAATGCACTGCTACAAAATGCCACTACGTCTTTCGGTTTTTGGCAATAAATCTCCCGATCACGCTGTTCACGCTGATCAGCGACCGGGAGCATGCCACGATCTGGACTTTGGACACCACTCACGGAGATTGCCCCGATTGCCAGAAGCAGCGCAAAATAAATTTGCCTTAACACTTTTGGCTTGCCCACACGCTCGTCGGCGATGCTACCATAAATTAGGTGCAGGATTAACTGGGATCAGTTGGGACAACTAAATTTGGTTAATGCCTTTCGACGTGGCAATAGCTCTCGAAATTCCCACACACGTTTTCCAAGAGCTTTTCTAGGTTAGCCGCGGAAACTATCAATTAATCAGTGAAAGGGTTATGATCGATATACCATTTAATAACTGATTGTTCTGTAATCACTGCATGAGTTTCCAAAATAAAAACTAGAAACTTCCACGCCTTGAAAAGGGTCTATTTCAATATCAGGATCTGTTTTTTTATCAAAAATAAATTTATCTAAGTTTGCTTACCACTAGATACAAAAAAAAACCTCTTAAAAAGTATTTTGCCTTTTCAATGAGCCATCACAATCTTGCTTTGTATTAAACATTGTAGCTCATTTCCCATAGATCTAATTAATTTATTAAGTCGCCATTTATTTGTTTAACAGTTCATAAATACAGTCAAATTTAGTTAAAAGATATTGAAAATATACAAATTTTTATATACAAATTTAAAAGATAATTGTCAAATTATCAACACAGAAAGATGTATTTTATTTAAAGAAATTTTAAGTTCTTCAAATTGTGTGTTATATAACTTACCTAAATTAATAATTCATTATCCAATGCAATATTTGAAAAAATCGTTTTAACACGTAGTTGGCAAGCCTTTTTAAAAGGATGTTTTCCGAATGTCCTTGAATGATTTTGTAGATGATTAGTCTTTTTAATTGTTTTCGCAAATCATCTTTGCCGACTAGTCATTGTTTGTATTTCACCACTTGAACTTGATTGCCTCGGAGTGACAAGCGTTTATTATTTTGTTGAATAAACACAAAGACTTTTTAATTCTCCTTTTTTAAAAAGTATTTTTTCGGAGAAGTCCACAAAGTTATTTGTCACCAAGTTGGTTAATGCCCGATTTTAATATTTTGGTCCGATCGTTGAGAACGTCTGCGTGTGAATAATTCGACGATGGGCGGCGCAGCGACCGCAAAGGCTGCTCTGGAGCGGTACGACTAACGGTATCTGTGGGGAGCGGTATGGGTATGGGTATGGCCCAGTCTTCGGGCGGCAGACAGGCGAGTTGTTTGATAACAGACCCGCCGATTATTGGCGCACTCCTCTGCTAGTTATAAAACGATGCGCAATTTTACTACATTTTTGTTTTTGGAAAGAAAAACAGAGAGAGGAGAGGTAGATCTGATAAGAAGCGACTTTCCCCTGATTGTAGCGCCCTCCCTCTCTAGAGATACTGCAAATCCGGTTGGTTCCGATCGGCTCCTGCATCGAACACCCACGCCGCTCGTCGAGCACGTTCGATGGCCCAAGTTCGATGTTGCCGCTCGAGCGCAGCATTCGTCACCCAAAACGTGAGCTGACGTCGCGACGTTGGGGTTTTTGCGCTCGTTCCGACCGGGTCTAAAGTCCAGCCGGCTTGCTTGATAGCCGACATTGCCTAGTGGCTTTTCGTTTTCACACCACCGCTTTCTTTTGATAGCCCAAAGTCTATTTATACTCGGTACTCTCTGTGGACAAGAGTATGCTAGATTCCACAGCAGGAGGTTATCCTTTTGGACCATATTAAGTTTTGAATTGATCCATGTTCACATAATGGAAAAGATCTTAATGGAAAAGATCTTAACAGCCAGCTTAATAATAAGAAGCAGGCTATTACATAATTTTTAGTTTAATGCTATCTGAAGAACTTATTGACTTGTTGACTTATTTGTATCTTAAGTTTAACCTTATTACCTGCCGCCAAAAAAAAAAAAAAATCCTAGCATTGTTAAATAACAAATACCAAGTATAACAAATTCAAGAGTCCTACATAGCTTTTTTCTTTATTTGTTTAGTTCTGTGGCAAGCTAATCATTTCCGTTTTGGCCATTTATGATGAGCTTTTACGATGTTATTGAATTTTCTTGTTTTTAACTTGCTTGAGTTCAAATTGATTAGCATGTATGATATCATAATTTTAGAGTTTTCACGTCTGCTGAGCATGGGCCTTTTGAGATTACCATGGAGGATTATAATATGTAAATTGTTTATATAAATTATAACTTGACTTTGATTCCGTATCGCCGTGTTTCACTTTCAGACCTCATGCCAATCGACTGATTAAATCCGTCTCGAGTTTTGTTTACCTTGAGACTTCATAACAAAGCATTCACCTCAAGTAGAATGCGATGGAATTGTGTATTATAGCTATTATATTTTGAATATTCAGGACCGAGAACCGATCTGTTCCCAACCTACGTCTAATTTTTAACAGTGGCGCGCGTGCTAAAAAACACGTCACAAAGTGTGGCTTATCGTGGCCAGGCCTCTGGAAATTCAGTTTTTATATAAAATAGTGTTTGAATGTCATAATTAATTCCACACTAAACCGATTATTTTGTTTCTCATTTTTAGAACCACTGAAAAAGGTGTTCGCACTTTTTTTTTACTTAAAAAAGTATTGTCCAAAGTTCAGTATACATAATGCAGTTCATTATTTTATGAATCATTTAAATCGCTTATAATGATTATAAATGGCCTTACACGTCTAGACTTTAGCCTTGCATTTGATCAGGAATATTCTATGCATGCCTTCTGAATTTTGTATTTAATAAAGTTTAAATCATTAAATTCTTCCGGGAAATAAAAGCTAAGCCTTATCATTAACATCATTATTCTTATGACAATATTGTTACGAAAATAGGGTTAATTCAACGATTTTGTTCTATTTTTACTTTGTTTGGGTTTATAGGTTAATAAGAGGGCCAACAGAACAAAGTCTTCTGATTACAGAGGATTTCTTGTTGACAACCGGAAAGTAGCCAGACATAAACACAAATGTACATTTTATACATATATATTTTTCTGATAACCATTGATAACACCCACGACTTTCGATTTAATTATAAAAAAGAATAAAAAAAATCATTAGAGCTTAGATTAGTAAAATATATGTGGCCTGGTAAATAATTACTCAAGGCCGAAAAGTATTTTTGAATCTAGATTTCAACTAGCTTATGAATCTTTTATTATGAAAATGCTCATCAACTTTAATCGATGCTGATATAGACAAACTTAAATTCATTTTGAATAGATTTCTTTCTACCAAAAATATTGGTTAAAAGCAAAACCCATGTGGGCCAAACATTAAGAAATTAAAGAGGTTGCACAAACAGTATTTTAGTTATCTTGATTAATACCAACTCTTGAGTTAAAAATATATATACATTTTTTCCAATCTCAGTTTAGAGAGCTCTGGTTAAAACCGATAAGCCCTCGTCGAAATAAAGTCAGAAAACCATTTAGCAAACTAATTAACATGTGGTCAGCTTTGAGGCCTTTCGTTCGAACAGGTGTGGCTCCGATTGTGGTCTGTTCATGTGGACTCAGCGTGTATCCTCGAGGAGATAATCGAAATGGAGCCAAAAATAATTATACAGCTCGGACTACAATAAGAGAAATTAATTAAAAATTCAGTTGAATGAGGGGCACTTAATCAGCTCGCTGGGGGAAACTTTCCGTTCGCTTTGTAAGTGCGAACAAATTGATATTGAGCGTAGTAATTGCGAAGCCATGAACGGCATTGCGCCGATGATGGGCAGAATTGACAACTTGGACTTTGGACCACTCGAGACGCCTGCATCCAGAAATTGAGCAGCAGACAGACAGGCTAGACGAGATCGGGCGCAAGTGGTCGCACATGGATATATATTTAGACTTTTTTCGGGAGCAAAGTCCATTTACGAGTCATGCGCCGGTCGTGTGAACCAAATTCGAATGTGATCGAATCGTCTCACTCAATTCACTCAATCATCTGGCTGCAGTAAAGAGCAATTAACTCTAACTGCCAACAAGACCACGCATGCAGCTCGTGTCTGCCCGAATTTCGAGGGGCCAGCCGATCGAGATGATGCATAGACCCCACAAAGCCAATCCATGACGTCTTTTTGGCCTCTGGGCCAAATGTGTAGATGACGCCTTGCTTTAGATTTCATCACATTTTTGCATATGTTAAAAATACTATACACCTTACTATCACCGACTAGTGTGTGTTTGGGACCCGATCTAAAATTAGCACGTACTTATTTTCGGGTTGATGTGGTCAGTTTTACCGGTCTCGAAAAGACAATCGTGCCATTCCGTACCACATGTCAGGAATTAGTGGGAATAAATAGTCTCTTTTAGCATAGTATATTTTAGTGTCAAGAATTTGTAAAAAATAAACTGCAAATATGGGAAAGCCATGGGGGAAATTAAACTTCTCTCTGATATAAAAAATCTCCACAAATAGTAAAAACATAAATATATTTTAGATAGTTAAAAACTTAAGCTTTATTAACTTAAAACAGCTATCAAAACGTTATAGTTCTATAACAAAATAAATAACACATCATAATAGCGTTTTGGTCAGATCTAATCAATTATTTGGTTTCATACTCACAGAATCTAGAATAACCACCTCAAACCGATAATTAATAACTCGATGATTGTGTATGCCGATTGGTAGATAAGCTCTCAAAATTGACCTTTGTCATCCACGTTATAATTTCAATATATGTTTATTAAAAGTTTCATATATAAACACAATCAAATGACTCACATAAATTGACGGTGAAGCAAAGTCTAAACATGGTGTTACTATCAGTCGTCGAATAATGATTAAAAAAAGTTAGGAACCTTAAAGACCTGGTCAGTGCACAACTCGATTATAGATCGTTGATAACGTGCATACACCACCGAAGAACCAAATAAGTCATATATGCAAAGCATATAAAACTAATGGCACAAATTAGGGGCACGTGTAGCCTTGCCATAACCTCGACCACCAAAAAATTTGATACCACATGAAATAAAAAAAAAACATAGGAAAAAACCAAACATCAGTTGATTGGTGGAATCTAATCTGGTGATGCAAGTTGTTAATTTTTAATTCTTTTGGGAAGTGTGGGTCGTTATTTAACGTTACCTCAGCGATGCAAATGACCCTCAAATAATCCAGTTTAAATATATTGCCATGGGTGACACGGCAACCCCAATATTGCAATTGCCCCACGACCAAATCAGATCGAGCGCGTGCCGCATTCCTTATCGCCCCTGGGAGCAAGTTCAAGTACCCATTGACCACAAGCCACTAGTCAGAGCCCACTAACCATACAATAAGTGATAAGTGCGTGAGCGAGTGCGTGTTTACATTTCGCTCTCCGGTCCGATCATCAATCAGAGCGATCCATCGCGATCGATGGCTTCGATTTAAGCCCGTGGACTGGCCGTTTAATTAACTTCTTTGGCGCGGTTACTGATTTCCGTGGAAGGGTTCTAAAGATAAACGATATGGAAAATCACGACCCATGGTAGTGTAAGCCTATGGCTGAACGCCTGATTGGGGCGTGAAGGTGAACACTATCCAATACCGTGATTTATGTACCCGGCCGTAAAGGATTGCCAATGAATCATTAAAGAATATTAATATTTCAGAAGCTATTTCTTTAGTTTTAAAATCAAAATTATTTAATATATTATTTTAATGGCGATCTAAACTCAAGGTTCCTATTTTCACAACTGCGTATTTTAAAGGGTAAATAAACCATTTTTGTACAAATAATAAAATTGTCAACAAATTTGTAAATGCTATTATAAGCTATTACGCTAATAATACTAATAATTACGTGCTGGTTTGACATTTACATACTTTTCACTCTATAAATTTTAAATAAACGCTGTTTCGTGACGCACGTTCTAAATGGGTATTGATTACACAATATCACTTATTTTGATTAGTTTTATTTGCTTTTTTGTGGCTTAGGTGGTAAATGATACACTGGCGTCATCTGTACGCATATTCTCAGTACTAAGTGTTAGCTTTGGGGTATGTTAACACATCCAGAAAAGCTCGGTAAAAAAGCTTTTTGTACTTGAGCTTTTTCCCTCAGCCAACCCACTCCCCCATCCTATAGGAATGTCCTTGCTGACAACTTTGTGTGTCATTGAGACATTTCTGGTCTAGTACGCATGCACCCAAAAACATTCTGCAAACAGGTTTGGAACGAGCTTTTAACATTACATGTGATTGTAAGTCAGATGTTTACTTTCTTTAAAAGAATCGAGAGAGAGAGAAGTTGCAAAAACGTCGGGGTTGGCTTAGACTGCCAAATATTTTTTAAAATATTTTAAATTTTAATAATCGCTTAAAAAACATTGAAAATATAGAAACAAGTTGAAAATATTAAAACAAAATATTTATTTTAAACACAATCTTAGGTAACCTCAAATATTAAAAGTTAGAATTAAAAATAAAATCCAATTTTTCTACTGTACTCATTTTTGTATGTTTAAATTTTTGTGTAATCAAAAATTTGTCTATTTAAATGAAATCTTAAAATCAAAAGCCTTAAACCTATTAAAAATGTTTTTAGAATTTAAGGATATGGTCTTAATAACGTTATTTATTTATTTAACTTTCCTTAAATTCCAGAATCGTAGGGCTAAGCCTAGTCCAGCTGGCCCAGACCCTTCTCCTTCGAGGTCTACACTGGCCAAAAGCTCCGGATGGCGGAACGAACCCCGGTCACCCGCTGGCCAGCAAACCAAAATCGATGCCCCAACCGGTTCGCTCTTGCTTTTTGGCGAGTGGCCCAAGCTTTTCCTCGCTGCTCCTGGAGCGTGTGGGCCAAAACGCGAATGAACATCGACCGTGGAAGTTGACTGCTGAAGTACAAAGCGCTAGGCTGAAGGTGAATGGGAAAGAAAAATTCTAGAGCCACATACAATGTTGCAAAATCCAAGAAAATCTTTAAAATAAATGCTAAAATAATAAATCAAAATTAAACAAATAATTGGTAAAAAACAAAGCTATATGGTGAAAGTGATTTGCAATTTGTTATATAAAGGAAAACGCCATCGAAAGCCCCGAAAAGTGTTGTGCGCGTGTGTATGTGTGTGGGTGCGTGTGTTCGACTTTGTGTGAGTGTGTGTGTTTAGCACGCGTTGACGAAAAGGAGAACATTTTTTGTGTATCAGAATTTTTCGCAGTAAATGTCGGGAAAAAATAATAGCTACGCCAGAAAATCTTAATTGAAAATTCCAATGTGCAATGCGAAAATGAAAGAAGCGCACAAAAATGGGCTATCATTGAAAGTGAAAACGCATTTGAGCCACTTGCGGGGATATTGATTTTTCCACTCGATTATTGTGGTAGTGTAGGCCAGTCGAGAACCAGGAGTTAATTCAAGGAAAATGTGATTTTAAAAAACGGCAAAGAGGCATCTAGGCCTGATTGTCAATAAATAATTAAATTAAAGTTATAAAAAGAGTTTTCCCTATCAACTTTAAGTGTCTGAGTGCGAGAGAAAGAGAAAAGCTCAATTGAAGCTGAAAGAGGCAAAAAAAAAGACACAAAAAAGGACGAAGAAATGGCCCTAAGAAAATCTCTATCCTGAATTTGCTTTCTTCGAGGAAAAAGCGAATTTGCCAACCTCCCACTCTTTCTCTCTCTCTCTCTCTTTCTCTCTGCCCACAGACACACACACACTAGCGAAGCCACTCTCACACGCACAAGAGACACAGCACACAGCACACAAGTAAAATTCGCTCTATCAATATTTACGCATACCATTGTATTTTGATATTACGTATACGCAACGCATCTCGCCCGCTCTCTCACACTCTCTCTCTGTATTTCTCTCTCTCCGTTCGCGTCCTGCCCTCTACATAATATATTTAAATAAATTAAATTCAATAAATTGAAAATGACCAACAAAAAGTATACGAAATTCATGTGAGACTAGCGAGCCGCGGCCTCACTAGCCAAAGCCAGCCACCAAAAACAAAAAAAGAGAAGGCAGCAGCAGGAGCAAAAACCCACACACACTCACACACCGACAAGCGCCAGGACCCGCATCATCATCATCATCCTTCCTGCCAGGACGTCGCCACTGCTGCCGCCCCTCCACTCCCCCCGTTGGAGTCTCGCTTCGTTTAACGCTGCTCAAAACCCATCATCTAACTAATAAAGAGGACGATAAACAAGCACATTAAATACCGAAGAAAGCGAAGCCGAGCTATTAACGCTAGTCTGGGTCCCGATTGCTGATTGGAAAAACATTGGCAACATTTTTGATTAGGAGGTGAGTCTCTTGCTATTCACGAAAGTATAGCGCGCTTTTTTGGGTATCAACTACAATTAAAAAGAAAGGAAAAACTAACATGATGTGGTGCAAAAAAGTAAAACTTCGATGTAAAATCAAACTAAAAAATAATTTTCATTTTAAATTTAACACATAATATCAATACAAGAAGTAAAATAATTGATGCTCAATGATCTAATTTAATTCCATATTCCAATGCTATGTAGTTTAGCTATTGCAACTTTAAAATCCAAAAGTCGTTGCGATTGCGATAAAAGTTGTTTTATTTTTTTTAAAACTTTGCCTATGGACTATACATTTTGATGACTAAATCTCGAAGCAAAGAAAGCCTAGAGTGTGCGATATTTGGAATACTGGATTTGGCAAGTAAATTGAACATCGTGATAAAATCAATGGCACAAAAAAACTGAATTAATATATATATATTTTTAAATTAATAGCATTTTGTGACAACTCAGATATTTTATTAGTGAGAGTTTGCCAACATTTTAGTTTTAACAAATAGTTTAAATAGTTACAATAATTACAATTCACATTTTTTTATTATTTCATTGATAAAATGATGGTGGGGTCAAATTTCTAAACAATTTTGTTTCCCATTTAATCCTAAATAAATAATCCTAATATGTCTCGACATATTTTACGGTAATTGAGTTTCTTAACTGCCAGACTGTCAAGTCCTCTCCCCAGTCACACATATCACTTATTCATGGGGCGCCTCTTATCTTAGTCTAATAAGAGCTAAACTTGATTTAGTCTTCCCTTTGCTAATTAGCTTTGGACAGCCAGAAATTGGGTTGGAATTCCTGGGGGGCAGGCCATTAAGGGCATTGCCGAAACCTCGCAATAAAAATGCTGCAGACAAGCTCGGGAAACCGCACATAATTGCCAATAATCAAGTTGGCCCGAACACCCGCGTTCTTTTGACCCTTTACGCCCGAAACAAAGAAGAAAACGTTGTGAAATTCGAGAATATGAATAAAATTTTCGAGTCTGTTTAATTTTTGATTTCAAAAACACCGAGACCATTGTTCAATGAAAGCGAAAAGCATAATGATGTGGAAAATTGGTTTTTCTCCTGGGGCCTTCTTTAATCCTAAGGCAAAGTCCTGTCATTGTCTACTGTGGTTTTCCGATTATGTTCTTTACTTCTTTTTTGTTCGTTTGCCATTTTTCCGAGTTTTTATTTTGTTGCCTTCTCTGGGTTATGTGCGCAGTAAGGAGAGCAGGAAAGAGAGCAAACTGTGGGCATGTGTGGCTTTTCCGCTTTTCCGATTTCCTCTCCCTGAGTTATTTCCACTCTCCGGCTCGGCAAAAAAAGTTTAACCGTTTCCCGCTCGAGAGCTTCGAGGGCCTCCTTCCGCTTTTCGATTCATCCGTATTACGTGCGTGGGTTCCACAGATGTTGCCATAGATCCGAATACCTTTTTGCGGACCACCTCTACGGTGTTTTTGTTTGGACCCGGTAATGGATAATGGCTGCCTGTCAATCCAGTTCTGGTCAATGTTAATTTGTTTTGACAGCTTGATTGCCAGCTCGGTACATCACTCTTTTTACTTGAATTTCCGTTGCCTTTTTCAGTATCCGTCTACCCACTGAATGTTTGATGAGGCAAAATTATCTTATCATTATGTGAATATACCCCTAATCTAACTAAAACCACTGCCAATTGTTGATATTTGTGGCCCTCTTTGTGTTACTGCAATGCACCACCCACACACCGCTATCAGATATCTGCACCACCGCCCACAATCGGTGGAAGAGCAGCAGACAGCAGTATATTTATAGGTACTCTGGCAAAGGTCAAACCTCAGAAACTATTACTAGGAATGCGGACTCATTGCCCGTGATTAGAGCCCCTTTACGAACTTTTAATAATTTAGTAGGGTCTAGGACACAGAGGCTAATTTTGAAGTAACATCATCAGAACATAAGCCAAAAAAGGTGTGGTAATATAATTATTAATTTAATTACTTTTGCTTATAAATAATGAAAGGAAATTGTTTTTTCGAAGCCGAGACAATTTGTAAGCAAAAGTGACGAGAAAAAATTAGTTTACACCTTAATGTTCTCTAAATCTTAAACTTCTTTTCTGCCAAATTTTGGTTTTGTTAAAGATCAATAAAAAAATGTAGTTATAAGACAATAATATTTATTACATATTTAAGCATCCAGAGATTCAGGTGGAAAGGATTTTAAATCTTATACTTTATTTCGCAGTTATCATTGTTGTATCTCAATTATAAAAGGCAAGGCATTTTGGTTATGGCACTTTTGACAGTTACTGGAAATGTTTTCCCATCAATTGGTTGCTCAACAATGAACTCACTGACCATTCGAGCTTTATACAAGCCTTTGGAACGAATTTGAGTACCAACAATAACAGAAATGGCAGAAAGCAGCTGTTCTGGCTCTAAATATAAATTCGCTTATGGCCCGTCACGAAACTGGTCGAACTGCGTAGTTTGTTATTTCGTTGCCACTTTTTCGGGCCCAGACAAGTGGGCACCGCAAAATACCAGCACACCCATACGCCCCGTTGACCCGTGTGCAAAAAAAGTGGCACGAAAAACTGGCAGGATGACAAAATTGTGGCAACTACCGCATACAATATTTGTGACCTTATTTCCCTTGCCTTAAAATCGTAGTTGCACATCTTGGGTCTTATTAACGTTATGGTTTTCCTGCAGGTACTTTTGCGCTTATGCCAGGGAACATAATTCAGTGCAAGATTTTTGGTGCATTAATAAAACATGACCAACAAAGTGCTCTGGCTTTGGGTGACTTGATTGCCATTTTCCGGGCAAACTTTCGGGAGGTGTTTCTGATTGTTGCGTGTGCATTTATTATGGATGAGGCTACCCGGGGCAGGAAGCTCCTGCCAAGTGTTTGTCCATTTTATTTAGCTGCCACTGGGCTGCAACGCAATTTGTCAGGGGATCAGGGGATCAGGGGGAGTCGTGACACTTTCTAGCTTGCCATTTTTTATGGCCTCTTTTTTCCTTCTTTCCATGAAGTCATTTCCAGGCAGCCTCTCGTAGGAAAAACTTGTCCTAGATGCATTTAAATTTATTGATCGGTTGCGAATTTAGTTTCTCCTCTCAAATAATAAAAAATATAAAATAGTAGTTTTCTTTAAAAGTAAACACCAACGGAACCTTTTTATGTTTGCTTCGAAAATATAATTTAATCAAAGAATTTAAACAACCCAAAGTAATTTTTCTTTACATTGGCACATTGAATAAAATATAAATCGAGTAAATCCCAGTATTTTATTTATTTGTAATCATGGTTTTATATTGTAAAACTAAAGTGATATTAAATTGTATAATAAGATATTTATAATTTATTAATTTGTTGCCGATTCGTCACCCAGTCTTGGCAAATTAATCCAAGATAAGCTGAAAGTCTGCTTCTCGGGAAAAAAAGGCGATAAGAAGGGAACATATTAAGTCACGAACGTAAACAGTCGATTGTATTCTTTAGTGGAATAAAGTAATATTTTTTAGCTGAGTTTACGGAAAGGTTCAAGTTTTAAAATAAAGTCCTTCGAGTAATCTCTTAAAAAACAGGTAAACATAATAGAAGTTAACGAAGTTTTTAAGTTAAATAAGTGAGTAATTCCAACTTAATAAAAAAATTTTATACCAAATTTTGAATTAACTCTTGTAATGAGGGGTATAATGTTGCAGTTTCTTAAAATAATTTAATGTAGCTCATGGACTAAAAGAAATAAATTGATTCTGCTATTTTAATAAAATTAATCATATATTAGGGAGTATCTCATATGTAAGCATATCCATTAAAAATACACTTTAAATAGTTCACACACTATATTTTATTAATTTATAAGAATATTATTATATTTAATATTATTTCTTAAAATAAATCAAAAATTATTGAAGGGTGCGCAACTTAATTTTGCACATTTCCACTCGCTTGGCATCCAGAACATTAGAATTTAGGCAAATGTATGGGACCGAATAAACAAAGCTGCCTTCGGGCTTTTCATTTAAGAGGCTCTCCGAGTTTTCCACGCCATTTTTGGGGGTGTGGGTACAAGTGTATCAGGGTATGGATGTCCTTTGACGTCATTTGCTAAGTAAACAAGTGACGAGCCACAGCACCAGCAGCAATTTGAAGTCACTTTATCTCTAAATTGCTCATACACCAGTTCTTTCCTTTTTATTTTATTTTTTTTGATGGGGTGTAAAGTGGTTTTGGGTGCCCCTATATAATTTATCTTTAAGTCTATGACAGTCTCGAGCGACTTAACAAAAAAACAGATAAGAATAAATTGTGACGGAATACGTTATCAAGTTATAACTTTAAAAAGAAATTCTCGTTTCCTTAAATAGTTACCTAACGGAAAATACAACTTATTTTGTATAAATATTTTCTTTTACCAATTAATAAAAAGAGTTCTACATTATTGGATATTTTTAGCCAAACAAAGAAACGCCAGCTTTAACTGAAATTAATAAATGTTATTTTTAATCTTCTATTATAAAAAAATGCAATGTGAAAACAAATTATATTTATAGAAATATTTGCCTATATTCAAAATGAAAAATGTAATTCTTTTCCTGAAAGAATTATCCTAAGTCAAATATATTCTCAAAAAAAAATTGTTTTTATTTTGTGGATGACATGTGTCATTCAACTTTTGATGGAGCCGCCACCAAGTAGCAATTTCGAGCAGACCGTGGCTGAGTAATAAAAAAGATAGCATATTGTCAATCAGCGAGTTGTGAGTACCCACAGATGACCAGCTGGGGGAACCCCAAAATCCCGGGTGTCCGTCTCTGTAACAATAGCAGTTCAGGGTCAAAGGATGTCTGAAAATAATAAACGAAGAGCTGAGGACCCAACTCAAACAGCCTCCCTCATCCATAATTAATACAGCTCAAGTTGTTAAAGTAAATGAAATGAAGTAAAATATGGAAAAATTCAAACCGAAGGACTACAAAGCAGATGGAGAACAGAGCCGGCAGCTCGGTGTTAATATTAATGAATTCAATTAGAAAAGAAAGAGGGTAAAATGAGAAAAACTGGATCGGGGTCCCAGCTATTCAAAGCGTTTTGTGTGGGTGCCATTGTAGAAACACACTTACATACACAAAGTGGGTGGTTGGGGGTGTTTGGGGAGAGAGTGCGTGCCCTTGGCTGGCTAAGGATAAGCACTTTTACTTGGTGCGTTTTCCACCACCCAACCACTAGTTTCAGTTGACGCCGTCAGCGCATTTCTAGTGTTTCAAGGATGCGAGTGTAGGAAAAGTTGCTAACGACTTTTGTGGGATTTCTTTGTGACCATACTCTTGTTGCGCGCTATTTTTAAAACAACGACAGCCTGGAAATTACCGCTCATATCATAAACATTTGCTCAAGTTGGTTGACTTCAAAGAGGCACATGTCAGCTCATTAAAAACGAAGTTTAAAGGGTATTTTCAACAAAGTCTTAATACTAGTACCAGAATATGTACTTCTTATTTACCATAATTTACTTATTGAACCTTTCATTTTTCAGCAACAACACAACACAACAAAATGCCGCCAAATGCAAAATCGGAAGCGGACGCCAAACCGGAAGCGGAACCAGCGCCAGCGTCCGAGCCGGCAGCGGAACTGGAATCCGTGGACCAGAAGCTGCAAGAAACACATCACTCCAAGTTCCGTGAGGTGGACAGGCAGGAACAGGAAGTCCTTGCCGAAAAGGCGGAAGCGGCCAGTCAAAGAATCGCACAGGTGGAATCAACAACACGGAGTGCAACAACAGAGGCTCAGGGTGAGTCAAAATACAATATCAGTTTTAGATTATTATTGGGTTGGTATTTCTCTCAAAAAACATTAAATTATATATTGTGGGGAAAGATCTGTTACACAATGGAGGACATTTGAAAAAATTCTTTGTTTATTTATAGAAATTTTATAGATATAAGAGAGATATAAGCCTTAATTTTTGTTCCATTTATTTGATTTTAATGAGCAAAATTCTAAATTTGTTTTGGCCGAGAATTCGGACTTTTGGGTAGACTTTCTTGAATGAACGAAATCGAGGAAATCACTGTTTTACACAGCCCAATTTCTTACTACCTTTGTTGCCCAATTAAGCAATCAGATGTGAAATGTAGCTAACCAATTTCCGTTTCAGAATCCACTACCACCTCATTGCCGGTGATCAAAAAGATCGAGCATGTCGGCGAAGTGGTCACCGAGGTGATCGCCGAGCGCACGGGGCTGCCCACATGGGGCGTGGTGGCCATCATCATACTCGTGTTCCTGGTCGTCTTTGGTATAATCTTCTTCTGTGTGCGGAGATTCCTGAAGAAGCGAAGAACCAAAGATGGTAAGGGTAAGAAGGGTGTCGACATGAAGTCGGTACAGTTGTTGGGATCGGCGTACAAGGAGAAAGTAAGTGTCTGACGCGCCATTAAATCTTAGTAGTTATTGGGTTCTGGTATGCCATAGGTTCAGCCTGATATGGAGGAACTCACCGAAAATGCCGAAGAGGGTGACGAGGAGGACAAGCAGAGCGAACAAAAGCTGGGGCGTCTCAACTTCAAGGTGGGTTCATCAATTCTCCAGCTACCCCACATCTTCCCCAAAAACTAATCCCCAGAATACGAAACTAACCAAACATAAACTCAGATAGGTATTCTATAAATATGGGCAGAGTTGATGTTGTTGACATGGAGAACACACTCACAGAAAGGACCTTAAATACTCAATAAATACTCTACTATATCTTGTAACTTCCTCTTCAAGGTCTCAAATCACACTTAACAAAATTACATTAACTTCAAAATTGTGATTCCAATGGATAGCATTCTTCACTCAAAAAATAAGAAAATAAATGATCATTCTGAAATTAACTTTGTAAAAAGAAAACAATATATATTAAACTACTAACGATTAGACTTCCGCTTTTAGAAACACCTAATTGAATATAATATATTTTTTGAGTGCTAAGAATGGTTTTCCTTTTGTCTTTGTTCGAAACATTCTTAAATTAGACCTAGCCACATTAACATATAAAACATACAAATCGTTTTACCTCTTGACTAATATTTAATTTTTGTTTATCTCTTTTATGGCAAAAACCATATTCCCTTCTGGTGCCCTCCTTTGAATCTCTCTCTTTCAGCTGGAATACGACTTCAACTCCAATAGTTTGGCCGTGACGGTAATCCAAGCTGAGGAGCTGCCCGCCCTGGACATGGGCGGTACTTCGGATCCCTATGTCAAGGTGTACTTGCTGCCCGACAAGAAAAAGAAGTTCGAGACCAAAGTGCACCGCAAGACCCTGAGTCCGGTCTTCAACGAAACGTTCACCTTTAAGGTGAGATTAGGACAACTACAGGATAGAGTTGATTTTCTCAAACTTCAAATTAAAATCAAAAATGATTTACTTCTATGCTATTGCAAGAAATTCTTCTTATTAAAAAATGTAAATTCCTAATAGGAAAGTTGATAAAAACAAAAACATCTTAGTTGACTGAAATCTCTTTGAAAAGTGCTAAATAGTATGCTATACAAACTAAGGCATCGTTTTTGAAAAGAATTTAAGTCCCTAGAAACTTTCCTGATACTCTAGAATATGATTATGAATGCTGAATTACATTTTTTGAGAACTTCAATTAATAAGCTAAGTTTATGAGAGGGTATTCTAAATTTCTCCTATATACCGCAGAGTTTGCCCTATGCCGATGCCATGAACAAGACGCTCGTGTTTGCCATTTTCGACTTTGACCGCTTCTCGAAGCACGACCAGATTGGAGAGGTGAAGGTGCCCCTGTGCACCATTGACCTGGCACAGACGATTGAGGAGTGGCGCGATTTGGTCAGCGTTGAAGGGGAGGGCGGACAGGTATGTAGAGCTAGGCCGGGGTCCAAATCGGGGTCACCAGTACTATCCAAGCTATCCGTAACTCTCTATCTCTGTCTATGTATACAACTCGATGTGCCTCTAAGTGTTTTTTATCCAACTCAAGAACATCAGTTGAGATCTGTTTTTCGTACTCTTATGATTTATTGCGTTCGTTACTTCTCCTCTGAGTTATCGAGCCGAAAAAAACAAGCCAACACTGAAATCGTGTGATATTTGTTGACTTCTGTATTCTTGAACACCTACTTAAGATGATTGTGTTTTGTGTGTATTTTGCATTCAAACTTCAGCCACGACCAAAAAAAAAATGAAAATACAACAGAAAGCAATCAAAGCATTTTTGTGACACCCACTAGATATTTGTTTTTAAGTCAACGATCCCAATCCCCGCCCCCTCGAGGTACTTTTAAGGGCAGGGTACAAAGACAATTACAGTGAAAACTTTCCAAAACAGAAACAATATATCAACAAAACAAAAAAAACTTCGTGGAACAGACCAGCAAAAGTTTTTCGAGTCTCTAACGAAACTTTTACACACCCAGTTCAAAATGCAAATATAAATAAATAACAGAAATTATCTTACCATTTAAATAAGCAATACTCAACAAGAAATCCAACAGCAAACAGGGGGGAAAATCAATTGGGAAAGCACCCTTGATTTTCCCCCACACTCTCCGACAGTTTTATAATTTTCCTTGAATCCTATTAACCAACCGACACAACAACTACTACAAAAAAAATAAAACTCTAAATTTCTCTTTCTCCAATTCCCCCCTCTGAAACAAACCAAAAAAAATTGATTTCGAAACATATAAACTCTTCTTTTCTTGAACTTTTGTAGAAGGTAAATACAAAAAAATACTTTAAATTCTTACGTAAACCAAAAAAACAACGAGAACTCTTTTACACCTTTGCATACTTGATTTGAGTTTATGATTTTCCCTCTATATAACCTGATCTGTCTCTGTGAACTGTCGCTCTTGTACACAAAAGCTGTCTATAACGATTATAATAACCAATGCATCGAACCACAAACTAATCTAAATAAATCTTCAAAACTTATTTCCCACGATAATCAATCAATTTGGTCTTGAGCGATTGTTCTTTGACTTTTTCTCTGTCTCTTTCTATATACTCATATATATACATATATATCCGATATATTGTTATGTCTGCATTATTTCTCGCATCATTAATATTGTAGTTGAATTTTTGTATTAATATAAACGATTTATCTATGTTTGGGCTGTCTTGTTTGCAACCGTGTAATAAAAATGACAAATGTTTTCACATTTCCATATGCAAATGATCACACTGCAATATTAATTTGTTGAGAAAACCTGTGGCATAAGCAAAAGATACAATAAATCAGCATGGTTGAGTGACTTTCCCACCGCCAATCTACTTCAAGCCTTCTCCGTTTTCCCAAACTTTATTGCCCGTTTTCGGGCCAGAAAATCCCCTCCATTTGTTGACCATGCTGATCTAATTATTTAGTTGCTGAATCTATTTCCAAACGACATTAACCACATTATTTTGGTTTGCACTCTGATTGGAACAATTAAGCGTCGAAAATACTTTTGCATAACTTTCTTACAGTAGTAATCAACTTTTGCACCCCAAGTTATTTGCATAAAGTCTGTCCAACTTTTACTCATACCAAAACACACACTCTTTTTACCTCTGTAATACTCACAAACATACACACTAAAACGCACAAATTAAATTCTTTGGAATAACGAATAATGAGTTACATAAATAAATTAAAATGTTGTAAAATATTTGCATTGATTACATTGAATTGGTCAAATGATGGAATGAATGCTTTGAGAAGATCTGAACACAAAACACAAACAAACACACAAATACAATGCACAAAAGTCCTGTACAAATATAAATACATAAACACAAATCAACAAACACACATACATACAGAAAAACACAATTTCAGAAATGGAAAAAGCTTTAATTTCTCGCCTGTGAATGCCAGACATCAAAATGAATAGTCTGATATAATGTTTTTCGGCAAGCCGATAAATTAAACATTTGCAGGACCTTATTTAATGTGCAGCAAACATTATTAATATACATTTTTAATTAAACAAGCCCATACAGAAATATTCAGATTTTTCCGAATTTTCCAGCTTAAAATGTTCAAGGTATTGATTACCTATTTTCCACCTAATCAGAAAGGATTACTCCAAATATTTGTATTTCCCTTAGCTTTGAATCCAAAACCAAAATATCATATACATAAAATTTAATTTAAAGAAAGGAAATCCAACAAATGTTTAATCCTGACCAAATAATATTACGCCAAGAAAATAAGCCTTAGCCTTAATGCCAAGGAGAAAAGCTGTAACTCTTCTTAATATCAATACTAAAACTTAATTACAGTTAGTTTAGAAACACTGCAATATACCTTTTTAAACAACTTTTTACTCTACTGCATGCCTTTCCTTTTGCTTACGAATTTGTACTAATATATAAACCACACTAAGTATTAGAAAGCAAAACACATATACATTGAACACGGACATACGACCATTAATTGGTTACAAAACTATACGAAACAATTACCATTTTGAAATTTGCCAAAAACAACATTGATACTTATCAAAATTCTACTGGAAATGGAATTCAATAATTTTTAATACGCTCTTCATTTTTCTCTTTAATTATTTTTAAACGTATCGCTAAAAAAAAAAAACAAAAACCAATTCAAATCTGTTATCAAAAAATTCGAAAACTCGAAATTTTCAAACTGTACTCGAAATTTTTGACTCATGCCATGGGGAAATCAATCCGAAACCTGAATAACATGCCTAAAAATCCATGTAAGTATACGAACGAAGCCAAGGAGATTCATAATTATCGTTATTTGCTTTGGTTGTTGTCGTCATAAATGTGTTTAAAGTTCTGTTCGTTGTGTTTGTGTTATAATTCTGTTCGACCTGCAAAAGTAAAAATGTATCCAAATCAAGAGCCAAACAATTGGTAAAGTCCAAAAACTTATTAAATAAAAAACGCTTACTTACGTCTTAATTTTTGTGTTTAGCCTTCTGTCGCTGTCTCGCCCGATATGTGTATACTGTACTTATCTTTTGATTTGCATAACTTGATTGTGTACTGAAATGTGTAAGCAGAGCTTCGATGACAGTCAAATACAAAAAACAATGCTCAATAATCTTGTTTTCCAATTTCGATTTATTTGTTCGTTTACCTTCCTTTCGTTTATGATTATAGACATTTTTGTTTCCATGAGACATTCACCAAACATTTAACAAAGAATATTTTGAAAGGCACCCAATATATCAAAAATGATAACTGAACTTGAATCGAATTCAGAGAATCAAAACATTTAAATCCCTATAAAGTTGCGGTAAGTGACTCCGATATAAAACTCTATAAATTCTCTATAACGCTCGCTCGCTCTCTGTCTGTCTCGCTCGCTCGCTCTCTGTCTCTGTCTTGAAACTTTTTTAACTAATCCCAATAACACACAACCACATTTTCTATAGCTAACAAATTATAGTTTAACAAATACGGGTTTGTTTGCCCGGGTTAGTTTGACCGTTGGAGAAGTGCTCGAGGAATTGGCATCGGATTGGTTTGTGTTATACAATACGAAATATAAAACGTAAAAATCCAAAACCCACCACTGCAAGCGGTTCGGACCAGCCTAGGGTCTTATATATGTTATAAATAATAGCAATACTGAGTATCTAGATAGAATTTTCATTTGTAAAATATATGCTCTCTAATACCTTATCATGTACATACGAAATTAAATTCTCTACTTCTTTATATAAGTACATTATTAAGATTTTTATTCATTTTAATGTACCTTCAACATCGTGTCCAACTAGAGCTCTGTTACTTAGAGACTAGTACTGTACATAAAAATCGGTTCAACTATGCTTGATCACAACTTCTTATCTGTCTGTCTCTAATTTCTCCTATTCTTGTATCAATAGTTTCTAAGAAAATTTTTGAAAACCAAGATATTTTTGCATTTTGTGCAGTCGGTTTTGAGCTGGGTGTTTCAATAACAATAAAAATCGAAAAAAAAATAAACGAACAAAGTACGAAATTAAAAGTAAAAGAAAATAAAATATAACTTATAAAAGAAACTGTAAGTTTTGGTATGGTTAACAACTCATAATAAAAACAACACAAGCCCCTAATAAAACCAAATAAACACTTGAACAATATCAAAGAGTTTAATTTTAGTTAATACTTTGCCTTTGTTTCTTCAGTTTTTCGTTGGATATACTCTTCTCTCTGATATACATATATATAGGTATATATTTACACTTACCAAAAATCGAAGCTCTAAGACGTGCAGTAAATGTTTTAATGTACTTTTATGTGGCATTTTTGATTTGTGTCAATTAAATAAGAAACTAAGGTTCATGTAACAATTGCTTAAATATACTGTAATGTTCACCCCACCCAAAAAAAACCCTTAAAACTTGAACTTATACCGAGTGTATTTGATTTGTCCTTATTTCCACGTGTATAATCTGTCTTAATGTTTATACCGATATCCTTGATTATTATATATACTTGTTACTGCAACTGTATATCTCGACTTAACCTTAGTTTGACGTTTATTTAACCGGAAAATAAAATTTCGTTGCTTAATGTGGTCGAAATGATCAACGATAGTAATTTTACATCTTTGATCCTAAATAACATTGCATTCTAATTTAACAGTCGGCTTTCAAGAGTTAACAGACTGTTAAAGTTTACGTATACTTAATATTTCACTCTTTTCTAAACTTCATAAGAGGCTCATATTCCATTCTGTGGAATATTTTTAAAAAGTTATTTCAACTTTTAAACAAAACCAATAAAATCAACTGTCAGTTAAATTTAACTGATATTTGGTATCGTGGTTTTTTGAAGTTTTATGGAGTTCTTTTTTAATCCTGATCAATAAAATTTCATGGAAAAGATGGCTTAGTGCCTTGATAATATACCTGAACTCAGGCGACCCTACCCCATATAGAAACTTTATATAACTATTAACCCTTATATATTTTTAAATGGATATGTATGTAAATGTACCAATAGAGTCTGTGTGACATGTTGTTTGATGCAAAAGAAATGCAGTCAGAATAGAGCTCCGTACTAATTTTTCCGTAAACTCTTCTCCGGATCTCGTCAAACAGGAAAAGCTGGGAGACATCTGCTTCTCGCTGCGATATGTGCCGACCGCCGGAAAGCTAACCGTTGTCATTCTGGAGGCCAAGAACTTGAAGAAGATGGACGTGGGCGGATTGTCTGGTAATGTGGCGTTATACCAAAGCGCTGGCGGGATCGATCGGTGTGCTGAGATCATTTTGTTGGAACTCCGGCGGTCCTGTCGGCGTCTTTTTTGCTTTCTGTGTTTGTAATTTTAGCTAAGTGTGTGACGTACGTTGTTCGTTTTATTTTCGTTTTATGGCATACACTTTCCTTGATTTCCATACTAACTAACTTGAGGCGAAGCAAACGCCAAGGCAACGTTTGCTGTGTAACAAAAACTGAAAGAGAGCAAAGAAATATAACTTTTATTCCAACTAATTTTTGTCAACTACTTTTCAACTATCAATTAGCGCCAATTTATCAACTTGCATACTTTAACCGTATTTTACCCGATTCGCGTACGCTACAATTTCCAATAAGTTCATTAATCAGTGGATATATTTATCGTCCGGCAACGTTTCCATCCCGAAATATTCGCACAATTTTTACTTATGCCTGGCCAACCAAATAGAAAACCAAAATCAACTTTAAGCTCTATGCCGAACAATCGAAATCGAACGAAAATCGCTTGCTTAGCTTCACTTTTGCATGTAATCTGTACAATTTTTTGTAACTTTAACACTCTCGACATCATTTCGGGTCGCTGATGCCAAACCAAGAAATAAAAACGTTGCCGCTGAATATATCCAAACAAATTTAAAGTTCTTCTAGGCTTTTACAAACAACAGAACATTTTCCAGTATATATTTTTAAATGCTCGGACAATAATCGGTTTCCGACAATTTAAGTAACGAAACAGATATTTATTCATATCAATTTTAATTTAACTATATTGTATGCCTTGAGTTTAACAAGTTGCTGAGTTCCAAAATGTTCAACTATGGTATAATCAGTAATTAATATGAACTTTAAATGATTTCCAAAAAGTTAACAAGCCAAAGAAAAAATTGTATCTTATCAGTTGTGTCCCAGAAATTTGTGGTGATTTGAAATCATTTGAAAAGGTTTTTGAAAGTATGATGTGACGTTTCTCAGCATACTTTAAGATACTTTTAGAAGTGATTTAAAATCATTGGATATTTTAGTGGCACCCATATATTTTTTAGTATTAAATATTGATATTAATTATTTATTAAACATTTACACTTTGGCCTGTTTCTTGTTTTCTCGTTGAACTTTTAATTTGTTTTTGTGTTTGCAAAGTAAAAATTGATCTACTCTTTATATAACAAGTACATAATTAATCAATGTTTTTGGTGTACATTACTTATATGTGTGTAAAACAAAAGAAAAAATCAAAATGATGTGTTAATCAGATTATTGTGAAAATTTTACTTTGTTATAAAAACGAAAAATGTTTTCTTTTTCTTTCTTTCAATTCTTTCCTATATTATAGATCCATATGTGAAAATTGCAATCATGCAAAATGGCAAACGTTTGAAAAAGAAGAAGACAAGTATCAAAAAATGCACCCTCAACCCTTACTATAATGAGTCGTTCTCATTTGAAGTACCATTTGAACAAATACAAGTATGCGAGAATGTATTATACTATCCTATAAAAACCAAAACTACTACTACTACTCTACTACTACTACTGCCTATACAAACTAACCTACTACTACTACTACTGTTACTACTGTTACTGTCCTCTTCTGAACTATCTACCAAACAAGCCAAGCCAAACCGAGTTTTGAGTACCCAACCTCCCTCTAAACACACACATAGCCTACTTACGTGCAATCGTTGTTGTTAATTATACTACATATATACCGTATATATATATTCATATATTGAATACTTGTATTCCAAAACCAAGCGACAACAACACCAAACTCTGAACCAAACAACTGAACACACTTAGAGACCAATCTTCGTATTACCCATAAAGATATCTTAAACTTCCCCCCAAAAACTAACTTAACCAACCTTTGTGTTCTAAAAGACAAAAAAAAAAACAAAAGTATTCAATGTTAAATGTTGTAATTTACAATTTAACCAAAATTTGTTCAAGCTTTTTGTTTCCGAAAATCCCTAATTTACTATTGTAAATAATCAAAAAAAAAAAAATGAAAGCCCAAAAAATTTAGCAAATGTTATGATTTGTTGCCTTTGTTTGTGTAGTTTTTGAGAAATATTTGTGGAACCTGATTTCTGATTTGAACTTGAGTTTTTAACCAGCCTCGATGTGTGCTTAGCCCAGCTGAATTTGTTTATGTTTTAGTTGTTAAATGTGTAATGATCGATTTGAAGACAATCTGGCAAGAAGAAAAGCATTGACAAGCAGGCATGCCTAGTGGCTTAGGTTTTCCGTAAACTCAAGCATTCTAGATGCCCCACACACCGTCTTAGACGCAATTTTGAATGGAGAGCAAGCCGTAGTGTGCCCGCTTCGCTCACAGTCGAGCAAAAAGCCAAAAGCTAAAAAAGCAATTAAGCATAAAGCATCCGATCAGTTGAGCAGAAAAGCAAAATTGCAAAATAGCAACCAAGCACGAGCTATACACACACTACGCTCACTCCAATGAACTACAGAGAATACAACTTTATACAATAATTCGAATACCAACTTAAACTACTCTTTCCATAATACAAACTATCGCAAACTCTTATACCAGCGGCGTCAATAATGCACCACGCAGCTACCAAATCGCAGTGGGTACATTATTTTGACACTGTCTTCTGATTTGAATATCGAATACCAATCGCACCACAACAGCTACAGTACAAATACAGTAATACACAGAATAAATACCCAAAAATGCCACCACAGAGAAGTATAGCGTATCACCATGAAAACCAATCATCAAAAACCAACATATAGCCAAACGATCTGGAAACTGGGAGAACTCTGTTACGGTTACGTTACGTGTGCTAGTCCAAGAAGTCCCATGTCTATATTGTAGGACCCCCCATGCCATGACCAATTAACCAATTAACCAAGAACGACAAATGGGATTGAATATTATACATTTTCGTTTACACGTATTTAATGAACATTTTTCTTTTTGCCACAGCTTAAGTGTCTGCTATCAAGTATCGAGAAAAGTAATTTGTTCATTAGTCCCCGAGGTTAAAAGAGACGAGATATATTTATATATATATATATATCTGCCGACATCTTCATTTGCTTCTCACTTTACGCTAATCGAAAGCTTTTAGGAAGTTTTTCCGTTTATTTTCCAACATTTATTATTTAAAGCTACTCATACTTAGCTTTAGACATTTGCATGATCTGCTTGTTAACTCACAACAACAAAAGAAAAAAAACAAAATGGTATACAAAAAATAATATATTCCACAGCAAGCATTTTCCTTTTTGAAGGAGCTTTTTGTAATGCTTGACCGCCTTTAGATGTTTAAACCAAAAAAAAAAAAATTAAAACCTTTACCCAAAGTGCTTGTGCAAACTGGAAACTTTCCACCAAACGATCTCCACGATTAAACCTAGCCTGCACTAAATCTTATATACAGCACTCAAAAGCCACGTAGTGCCGAAAACCTCTGTCTATAACCTGCTTCCCAAAACAGCATTCGTAGTGTCTGCCTGTTAGCGAACAACAGTTCCCCACTTCTTCCCCAAAAACAACTAAAAACAGAACACGTATATAAAGAATACCGAAAAGTTCTTCAACTCAAAAGCGAAGCCCCCTCCCGATCAAAAAAAAAAAGATAACAACCGATAAAACTAGATGAACCCAGAATATCCTTTACTAATGCCAGTACTCTCCTTGAACACTTTTCCCACTAACTCGCGCGCAGAAAATCTGTCTCGTTGTGACCGTCGTGGATTATGATCGTATTGGAACCTCCGAACCCATCGGACGCTGCATATTGGGCTGTATGGGAACCGGCACCGAGTTGCGTCACTGGTCGGACATGTTGGCCTCGCCCCGCCGGCCCATCGCCCAGTGGCACACCCTCAAGGATCCCGAGGAGACCGACGAGATCCTGAAGAACATGAAGTAAGGCGCTACCATGGATAACCACTGCAGGTGAATAAATAGTACAATTAGTTTTACTATATATACATGCTCTTTATAAGATCTCGCCCGTAATATTAATCCGATTGATATTCAATTTGGGGTGTGGGTAAATATAAATATAATGAGTTTGGTTTAAGGATAAAAATTATTATAATTAAAAATAAAACATTTCAACTTGCCTCCATCGTTTTACAGACTTACAGCACATCTATCAAACGTATAAAAGTAACCAAAGAACACTTTAGCGAATCGTCAGACATAGAAATCGAATGCATCATCATCAGCTACAAATGATCCTCCTCACCCGAAACGACAGGCAACAATCAGCGAAATATCGTAGTTAATGCAAAAATTGTTCATCTATGCAGTTATCTCAACATAAACATACTGGAACACACAAAACGCCGATTAAGTAATACCATAGGTGTCTAAGTTATATCTCATTGGTTGAACAGCAAATCGAAGTGAAAGCTAAAAAAACCCAATATATAAAGCAATGTGTCCCATTCACTGAATCCGGAATCCGAAAATAGTTCGATCGATTTTACATAAAATCTCACATGAATTCATCTCGAGATCTATGAATTTGTTGTTGTCCCTGATTGAAAATTTCAAAAGTATAAAATTACGAGTATGTTCTATTTAATACAAAATCTCTATATACTCAAACTATTTAATGGATGACCGAGAAGAGTATAATTTTTAAATGTTAAGTTTACTTTGGTTTTTAAATTAGTCCAATGATAAAAGGAATCTTTCCGGTTTTAAATTGGTTTTTCAATCGTTGAAGGATTACTAGTGAATAATATTACTGACTAATGAATATATAAACCAAGCAAAGAACGTAAAGGCAACTTAAACTGTTATGTAAATTATTTATTATGTTAAAATTATTGAGCATTACGTACTTAACTGTGTAAGTAAAAATCTATGTGTGTTTAAATGAAGTGGACATGGCAGACATATTAACAGGAGGAAAGAAAGCGAAATCATAAAAAATATATATTATATATAAATATTATGTATAACCCCTGCATAGACTAATGTTACGACGACCTAACAAAATCAGACGAATAAGTAGAAGGGAAACCAAAACAAACCGAAAACCAAAAGCAAATAACAAAAGTTAAACTTTGAAGCGTGATTTCAATGGAATATATCATCAGTTTAAACTTAAAAAAAATATCTAACATTTTGCACAATGGATTAGATTGGTATATACTTTTAGTTTGGTTTGCTTTACAATAAATTAGGAATAAATATGGCTCAGTTCAGGAAAGGTTTCCACTTACCATTAGTTTTTCATTTGGAAAGCTTTATTTTACGTTCAATTTGAAACTGTATTTAGTATCCACTTCTTCGTCTCAAATCTTAAGGTTTCTCCAACTATCTATGAACTGTTATTTTCTTTTCCGACTTTACCACATTCTTTAATTTAAAAATCATATTAGGACCTAATGAAAATATACATACTAACTAAATGATTATGGCAAAATGTTAAAACAGAAAAAGAAATATTAAGAACAATAATAGTTATTACTATTTATATTATATTCAAGTATATGACATCTAAACAATATACATTTATATATATACTTAAAAAAAATTGTGCTCTTGCTGCACAAGCCTACTAAGAATTTGGGATTTTTAATATGGAAAAGCGGCGGCAACAAAAACTTCTACCTACCTAAAAAAACACAAATTAGCTAACTAAGCTAAATTAAACTCTCAAAAGCAGAGCATTCCAAAATAATGAAATCAAGACAGAGGATAAACAATGAGCCATGATTTTCTGATTTTTTCCATATTGAAAGTAAATGAAATTCAACTAATACATTAGATGTTTTTTGTCCTGTAAATGGTATATTATAATGATAATGATAAAGCGTAGTTAGGGATCTGTGTATCCCCTGTACACACACTTACACAGTTGTAGTTATGTTCACCGAAGCAAGAGAAATGCATAAAAGAAAACACAAAAATGCAAACTTACAAATCGAGAAAATACCAAAAATATTTATGTAATATAATTCATCTAAATTTAACAAATCGAAGTGGATGCCAGGAAAAAACAAGTTATACAACTAATTACGAGTATTGTTCAATAACAAATAAATAACTTTGCTTTTCCAAATAATTACTGTAAATTATCTCAAACCCAAAAACAGCAACAAAAGACAAAGACACAAAACACATATGTATTAAACAAATGATAAATTACTAACAAAAAATCGAAGCCTAACCACAACAGCAACAAAATGAAACAAACAAGACAACAAACTATATATACTTGCATATTAAACAAATTATATGAAATTATATAAAATGATGTTGATTATTGATTTAAATTAAAACTGAGAAAGTGAATAAAACAAATTATATATACACCTATATATATAAAATATTAAACAAAACAAAAGCAGAAATTTCATTTGTGTTTTCCTTTTAGTTGGTATATATTTATTTACACAGCGTTACACTGAGCCAAACGAAAGCCGAATCCTTTTTGCGGCCGTGTAAGTGTTAGCCCAAAACGACATGTACATACACACAGAGAAAACACCCACACAAACACATGATAACACACCCACACTGAGACACCCATGAACTGACCAAAAGCAAGTCGAACATATAAATGTATAATAAGTATACGCGTAATTGTGTATATGATTACCGTTAGTTAAACAATATCAGTATATGTAATTATATTGATTTCAAAACGTTCTTAAGCAAGCAGAATGCAGCGCATAGCCCATCACGAAAGCACAAATCAGTAGAAGAATTCAGAGAGGAGGAAAGTAATAAGAGAAGTTAAAAATAAATAAGTAACTAAAATAGGCCACAGAAAAATAAAACAAAAATAAAACAACAAAATAATGTAGCAGTCCATGTAATTTTATTTTCTAGATATGTATGTATGTAATTTATATTCGATAAATCAGGCATTATGCATTTAGCAACCAGAACAAAGCATAAAAACCGAACTACGATTCACTATCGAAGAAGATCAAAAGATCAGGATCGAGCATCCTACCATTCACCATAGTCATAGCCCGATTCCACTGACTAAGTCTGGCACACTCACACCGGGAATACAAAAATTGATTTATTATAATTGAGAAGAACATTGGGAAAGTTTGTAATTTGTGAATGTAGTTTTATTCAGTGGAATCGGGACATATACATATAGAGCGCACCTGAGGGAATGATCGAGTAGCAAGTAATGAATAATGAGTAACGACAAATACAAGATATTGACATATGCGTTATAGGTACAACAGACCCAAGATATAGGACAATGTTTGATGTTAATATGAGTTAATCAGGACACCTAGAGTGCGCGTTATATGCATAGATACGAACATACATACATAATGCAGAAGATAAGCCCTCCGAAGAGATAATTTTATATACCCAGCGATCGGACGGGGGCAGCAAACATTATACATAACCATCGACAGCACCGCATAGTATGAACACACCATACGGTAATACAATTATCAACATAACCAAACGATATACACAACATACATGGACATAAGGTCCACCCAAGTACTTTTCGCAGGAATTCTCCATCCTTCGGTTCAGATCCAGACTCTATAAACACTCAAGCCAAATAAAAATGGCCGTGAAATGCAGACATTTGTCATTAAAATGTATCAGTTGTAGAAAATTTTATTTCAGATATTTTCAATTCATTTTCTACATTTTCGTAAAACTGATTTATTTGAATGACAATTTTCCACATTTCACGGTGTTTATTTTTTTTGAGTCTACACTTACTCGAACACTCTCATCCAGCACTTACACTCGCGGATATCATTTATGACTCTTTCCGGAGTTTTGTTGTTTACGATAAACTGTTTATAGCTGTTTTTGAATTTTAAATAAATTATATTTACTATATGGTATAAAGAAGAGTAACACTAAAGCAAAACCACATATAATAGTAATATATGTTTTAAATGCTATTACCAAACGAATCTTAAATTGAGGCTTTGCAAAAAGAGTTGCAAGCAAAAAAATATTATTGAATAAACTGCATATATATATACATACTATAATGCAACTGTATTGCAAAGACAAGCATAGCATTTTATTTCCGAGGCAAAAAGAATTTAACAAGACACACACGTGAACTCTAACACCTGTGTACGGTTAGCGATAATCGCAGGTGAGCCTATGGCCCCAAATTTTGCAGCCGTACCCCCAACAATAAAAAAAGACCCAAAGCAACAGCAACAGATAGAACGAAGATCTATGTAAAACACTAGCGATGTGAACGACACAGATATACACAGATACACGAGAACTAACATATGTGAAATGAGACGAGAAATGTTTATAAACAATAAACAAATGTTTGAAAACTAATAATCGTGCTTTTCTTTCTTCATCCCGGATTTATATTAAATGTTTTGAAGCTCTTGGGTCTTATCGCTTTGAAAAGAAACACATAACCCACACATTTAAGAAACAATATCTGTATAAATTCCACAACAAATGTTTTAGTTAAATGGTCCATATTTTTATTATTAATAAGTCTTATAAATAGCTAAAAAGTATTTTTTTTTTTTTTTTTATATTAATAATAGGTTAACGCTCTTTAAATTCCCCATTTCACCTTAAAAATAATACATTGAGGCATATATTTAGTTTCTTTTGTTCTCCCTTTTTGTTTATGTTAATTATCGGTTCTATAATTTATTAAACCCTATATATATTCATTGAAAAAATAACACAATTAGCCTTATCACAAATGTTTTAGCTTTGAGAACTATTTTCCTGACCTCATCTGTGTGAAATTATGCTGTTTAATCTCGTGTTCGTTCCATTTATACTCGAATGTTTTTCTTTCAAAGCCTGAAATGCTCTTATCTGCAGCCCAGCTACAAAGTATATTTAGTTTTAAATCTGCATTGAAGGGCAGAGGAAGTGCTTTTTTAAATAGACGGAACGAATTAATATATTCGATACGCAATATAATTATCGTTAGAAACGATAGCTTTGAATTTGTTTAAATTTGGTGTTTGCTTTTAAAAACCTTTAGTTTCACCAGGAATATAATTACATTCATTTAAAGCGTAGCCTACTTAACGTAGTTCCGATTTGTAACAGAAAATTAACCTTATACCGTTTAAAATGTCACCACTAATAAGGTAATAATCTGTGGATCCTTTTAAAAATTAATTGAAACGGAGTAGGCAAGGGTATAATGATTCGTTGTTTAAACATACATAGTATGTAGTACTAAACTAAAACGCTAAGCACATAGAGCATTAAAACTAAACCAAGAACAGCAATGAAACAAAAACAGCTACATCTCGAAGATGTGTCCACGGTTCGCATCCTGATGCTGGGCGATAAAGGTGGGATAACTTAGATATTTCTATGATATAATATGAGGATACTTACACTTTAATATGATATTTTCAGGTGTGGGTAAAACTAGTTTAACCAATTTGTTGGCCAGTAGTGCCATTACTCCAACGCCCGCCTCCCGAACCGTGGGCGAGAGATCGTGGAATATCCAGGTGCGTCTGCACGAGTATCCCATTTCGGTGACCTTGCCACTCACGCCCATATGGACATCACCTTCCTCCTCTGAGGGCTCCGGAAAATATCCGTATCGGGATACCAGAGCGCCAAACTCCTCCAACGATATCCTGTACTTTGTGGAGTTCTATGATCTAAGCAGCGAGTTGCGCATGCGGCGCGAGCATCGCGATAGTTTCTATAAGAATATCGATGGCATTGTCCTCGTTTACAATCTGCAGGACCTGCGCTCTCAGGACAACCTGCACGATTGGTTGTACGATCCCTTGCGTCAGATTTGCAAGTATCGCCATCGGCGCACGCGTCCCATCTTGAGGCGCCAACATGTCCCGATCCTGGTAGTCGGCACTAAGTTGGATAAGCTGAACTTCCGACCATTGCGTCGCGGCGGTAGCATTGCCCACCAGCTGATGTCCGACGAGATCCTGGTGAACTGCCAGGATCCCGCGAGCTTCGCGGAAAGGAGCCGCAATGAAGGCAAGCTGCGCAGCTTTCTCGATCGCGTCGTTGAGTTCAAGGAGCGATTTCCACTCTCACGATCCCGCCACCCTTGAACAGATCTCATCTTATATTTTCTAGTTCCTTGTTGATTTTTAATAATATTTATGAAAAAGATGTAAAGGAGATTTTGGTTTTCTAGCGTATGGTAAGGGATCTAAAAGTTGTTTCCATTATAATATCTTGTTATTTAAGGTATTTTCTTTTGGTTTTAAATAAAGTTACCGTAGGGTTAAAATATCTTTTAAAATATTATGAATTTTTGATTACTGTAATTTGCGGGAGATGTTGGGGAAGGTAAGGAATTTAGTTAAGAATATCATTATCATCGAAGCGATAATATTTCGTTCGTATAACGTTCGATACTTACATAAAGTTAAACTCCCCTCTTAAATATATTAAAGTGATGGTTATTTGTTTTACAAAATTTATTTGAATAATTATCTTGGGATTTGTAGCACCCTCCGAGGGTTTAATTATCAGATCTCATAGATCTCTTGAATATTATAAGATGTTTTAACAACATTAGCCGGGAGGCCACTGCATCTGGCGGCCGCCGAGGAAGTGCAAATGCAAGTGGTAAACGGACTGGGCGCCGTGCTTGCCATTGTTGATGACCACGCGGTAGCCCTCCTCCAGGCCCAGATCCTTGGCCACCTTGCGACCCACCAGCATGAGGTGGCCTAGCAGATCGGAATCTCCATCCTCAGCCAGAGAGAGTTGGGCAATCGGCTTGCGGGGTATTACCAGGAAATGGGTTGGTGCCTGGGGAGCCACATCATGAAAGGCCACACACTGTAGTGGGTTATAAATATTAGATTAACTGTCTATCTTTAACTGTTATCCACACCTTGTCATCTTCGTGGATAAACTTGCAGGGAATCTCTTTGCGCAAAATTTTGCCGAAAATCGTATCTTCACTGGCAGCTGCCGTTTGCGATTTCTCCACCTCGCTCGCCATTCTAGCAGTGCAGGTTGCTATATGACGGGAACTTGAGTAAGATAAAGAATATATAATCGCTGCACTTTAGATAATTAAGTGAAAATCGCGTGCGCTTACCTGAAAACACGAACAAAATTCCGGCCGGTCGACAAGAACATCGAAACAGCCATGCCAACTGGGCTTAAAAATAGTCCACTGAATTGTCAATATTTAGGGTATTATAATGCTCACAATTGCGTTGCCCAAAATTTAATTATTTTATTTAAAAAAAGATTATTTCACGGAAATAAAAGACTTAATGATAATTGTTTATTTGTTAATCAATTAAGTAGACGATACAGAGTTGATTACACATTTTCTTAAGAGAAATACAACACATGGACTTTGAACCCTCAAGCAACAGATGGAATTCAAAGAGATCTTTAATTAAACCAGTAATACTGCTCACAACAAGAAGTTCCAGTTCCTCCGCGTCAATATTTTTGTGATAAATCTACACTATAATCATCTTTAAAATCGAAAGCACAAATCGGTTTTTAATGACGTAATGTCCTTCTTATCGCAATAATATGCCCAAAGATTAGTTCACAACTATCGGCTAGGTGCAAATTCCAATAATCCAATTGAGATTTTCTAGAGAAAGCATTGCTAGTTCCGAAATTGAGCAGGATAGCCATGGCCACCGTTGAGAAAGTGTCCACGTCCACATCCACGACCACCGTGGAGCGAAAGGCCAATCCCGTGAAATCATTTCTCACCGGAGGATTCGGAGGGATCTGCAATGTTTTATCCGGCCATCCACTGGACACCATCAAGGTGCGCCTGCAGACGATGCCACGTCCGGCGCCTGGAGAGCAACCCATGTACAGAGGAACCTTCGATTGTGCCGCCAAGACCATCAAGAACGAAGGAGTCCGTGGCTTGTACAAGGGAATGTCCGCGCCCTTGACAGGGGTTGCTCCAATTTTTGCCATGTGTTTCGCTGGCTATGCCCTGGGAAAACGCCTGCAACAGCGCGGCGAGGATGCAAAACTCACCTACTCGCAAATCTTTGTGGCCGGCTCGTTTTCCGGTCTGTTTTCCACCTTGATAATGGCTCCCGGAGAGCGGATCAAGGTCCTGTTGCAGACGCAGCAGGGACAAGGAGGCCAGCGCAAGTACAACGGAATGATCGACTGCGCCGGAAAGCTCTATAAGGAGGGAGGACTTCGCAGCGTTTTCAAGGGCAGCTGCGCTACAATGCTCAGGGATCTGCCCGCCAACGGCTTGTACTTCCTAGTCTATGAATGCCTTCAGGATGTGGCAAAGTCCAAGTCGGAGACTGGGCAAATCAACACTACCTCAACGATTTTGGCTGGCGGTGCTGCGGGCATGGCTTACTGGATTCTGGGAATGCCAGCCGATGTTTTGAAGAGTCGCCTACAATCGGCTCCGGAGGGAACTTACAAACATGGCATTCGCAGTGTCTTCAAGGATCTGATCGTTAAGGATGGTCCACTGGCTCTGTATCGGGGCGTTACGCCAATCATGATTCGCGCATTCCCCGCCAATGCTGCTTGTTTCTTTGGCATCGAGCTAGCCAATAATTTCTTCAATATTGTAGCGCCAAACTTCTAATCTAAATTTATATTCTTGGAAAGTGATTAAAGAAATTTTCAGTTATTTGAAAATCTTGAAAGAAAATATATCTATTTGTATAGATCGCATACACAAACTTTTTCAAATGTCTACTAACTATAAAACTTTCTGTTTGAACTAAACTTAAACGAAATATTGGGGCTTGCGCATGGTGATGCCATGATCGGCGAGGGCAGGAACCAGATCTTCCATGGCCAGTGTATACTTGCGATCCTTGGGGTTCTTCTTGTCCTTGCTGGAACTGTGACCACTGGAGTGTTGGATGTTCGTGGTGCGCGTCTTACAGTGCTGCAGTGCATCGTTGGCAATGTCCGAGATGAATTTCTGGGCCGACACGGAGATGAGGCGCACAATTTGTGGGTCCACGGTGAAAAATCCCGCCTGTAGGGCACAGAATATTAGTATTTTGTAATACACTGGTAATTCCACCCATTTGATGTCTACCATTTTTAAAGCGTTCATTGTCAGGGCGTCTGGAATGGTGGGCGTGTAGTCCTCTAGCTGTCGCAGCAGTTCATCCATATCAGCGTCTTCAGCAGTTGCTGGGACTTCTTCCACTTCCAAGTCCTCCACATCGGAATCCGGATCGGAAAGCAATTGTGGCTCCATCTCCTCATCTTCGGTGTCCGTCGCCGAGGCAAGAGATTCTGCTGGTGTTACGTTGATGTCCTCACCATCGGAAGCCATTATATTAAATTTAAGTTTTGTTTATTTCTAGAAATTGTGATTGTTTTCGTCGTAAACAACGCAATTATGAATGTATGTACTCTTATCGATTGTATTCGGGGAAGAATCGATAAAATCTCGATGTTTCAAATACAGGCGTGGCAAGAAATGTTTGCGGGAGGGGTTACGAAACATGAAACATATTGTCATTGTCATTCATTAAATAAACTTTAAGTGAACCCCAAAATTGTGGTACTTAAATAATTTGTATATTTCCAAATTATTGTCAAGATATTGTTGATCAATTTAAAAAATATGTATTATATTTTTAGGAGTGCTGTCGTTTTTATTTAATTTGAATGACTTTCCATTTCGATAAATAATCAAGCATCGTTTGGTAAATAGATAGCTAGCACTCTCCCATCACTATTTTTGTGCGTTTGTTGCGAATTGTTTTCTATCTACCATGGTTGGCTCCAATTTTGGAATTATTTACCACAACTCCAGCACTGGGGGTTCCGCTGGACAGGGAAACCACGGACAATCCTCAGGAGCAGCAGCCATAGGAGGAGGAGATCGGGAGAGAAACACGCCGGCCTCGCACCTCAGCGATTTCATGTCGCAGCTGGAGGACTATACTCCGCTGATTCCAGATGCGGTGACCTCGCACTATCTCAATATGGGAGGATTCCAGGCGGATGACAAGCGTATCGTCAGGTTGATCAGCTTGGCTGCCCAAAAGTACATGTCCGACATTATCGACGATGCATTACAACACTCAAAGGCACGGACCCATATGCAGACAACTAACACGCCCGGCGGTTCCAAGGCCAAGGATCGTAAGTTCACCCTGACCATGGAGGATCTGCAGCCTGCTTTGGCCGACTATGGCATCAATGTTAGGAAAATGGACTATAGTCAATAATTTAAATCTTACTTATGTCAATTGTATGTTAGTAATAGTACTTATTTTTTGATTAAATAGAGATTGTCTTAAACCATTGGATTAACTTTTCCGACATCTAGTATATATGTATGAAATAGCCACCCCAGTTTGCAGTCAAATTTAAAAAAATGAGAATTCATTTGATTATAAATAAATAGAACAAACTGAACACATAAACAAAACATAATGCATGTGACCACTTTCTTCTATATCCTTACCAAATAAAAATTCTTTGAGATTCCATAGATACTGTTAAACCAGAAAGCCCTTTTTGGATTTATATTTATATACTCAAAAAGTACTTAAAGGGATTAAAATCCATAAAGGGATTCAAATCCATGTTAAAGGGATTCAAAATTTGTATTTCATATCCATGTTAAAGGGATTCAAATCCATAGATAGTGTTACATATCGAGCACATACAGGTTAATTTTTTATTTCTAAATAATGTTATCCAAAGCCTATAAACTAGGTGGTTAATACTAGGCGCTTGTTCATTGGCATGTTATGAATTTCTTGAAGCTACGCGATGTTCCACCAGCCACTCGGAATGCCAGGACGCCCGTGCCGATGGTGACTATATAGTTGATCAGTAACGAGATTGTATAAAGCTCGCTGGCATTAAGCAGAGTTATCAAGGAGACAAACAGGTGGCTGCCCACCACATATCCTATATGTATATAGTTGTTAGTGTCGAATGCGTTAAAGAAAATGACGCTCCAGAAGGTATGCAGCAGGATGATGGACAGAGCCTGGGCAGCCGAGGTGACGAAGAAAAGCTCCGAACCACTCTTTAAGCCCATTGTGCCGGGACCACTCTGAAAAGCATAATATTTAAAAATAGTCAAACTGTTGTGACTAATTCACTCACCATATCAGCAAGCACATTGACCAGGGCGAACATCCCGGAAATAATGCCGAATCCCAGGCCGGAGACATAGGCCAGGATGTGCTTGTTGTCCGTCACCCGCGTGTCCTCCGCCACTGCATGCAATCCCTGCTCTGTGCTGCGTAGGATTCTGTAGATGATGTATCTGAAGCCCTCTTGGAAAAACACCGAGAAGACCACGCCGAATGCCAGGAAACCCTTCAGTGGAATGAGGGCGTACCACAGGGACGAGATCAGCAGCGACAGAAGCCAAAAGAACGCTGCCGCAATAAGGATTATTATCCGTACCGGGTCATTGGCGATGGTGAAGACGAACAGGGCGAAAGGCGGCCCAAAGGCGATGAAGGTGCAGCCAAAAAACTCGGGCAACGTCATCTTTTCTTTGTAATATTCCTGGTTTTCCGCTTAGTTTGTGGGTGTTTTGGTTTTCGTGGGAAGAGGAAGCAGACGCTGACAAGATAGCCGCGTGCTGCCAGACTGTTGCAGTGAGTTTGGTACTGCCACACTGTGCTGTTTCAACATTTAAATACCCTTTACTGTGAAGTAGTTTTGTTTTATGGGTAATGATGATCATTATGGGAATGATTTTAAAGAGAATAATTAACATATAAAGTTATTCCATAAAATAACTTAGTTATGCAGATTTTTTAAAGGCTAAGAGTGGAGTACAAAGGTAGTTTTGTGTATATCAAAGAATATGTTTTCTACTAGTAAACTATTTTTCAAACTGTGCCACTTATAATATGTCATTAATTTTTCATTAAAAACTTTTTAGATATGAAAAACGTATCGGCTAATCGTATATGACCATAAACAGTTTCTAAGGTTGCCAGACCAGAGAACAGCAATGTTTTTATACACTACTATGTGAAGTCCGTTACTTTTTAAATTAATCGATTTTACAAGAAATTTATATAACCAGTCTAATGCCTAAAAACACAATATGAGTTAATTAAAAAAAACATAATCAACATTTGTGCTTACGCTAATACCAATCACATATATAGATATTCATTTTTTGTCAATATGCCCCAACATTCTCCCCCGCGCAGTGTGTTCGGCTAGTCGACTTTGCGCGTTTCACCCGCACTTAACAAAGGCCTCCGTCCCACTTGCAATATTTTTGTTTGGGGCGGGATTAGTCACTATAAATTGACTCAACTCGGCTGCACTATGCCAACCGCATAATCCGCATCTGCCGTAAACCAGAAGCAAATTGCAAGTGCCCAGCTGCAGATCGGGAAACAGAAGCCCAGCGAAAAGCACAAAGAGATTTTAGAGACCCCATACGTATGCCCAGTGAGTAAAGTTTACATCCAATTAACAAGTTTTCGCTGATTAATTTTTGTTATGTGCTACTTCGTTTTTGTTCCTTAGTTCACGCCGTTATGGCCAAGCGCCTGCTGCCCCACCAACCGTCCTTCGAGGGGGAGCCTCCCGGTCCGGATGAGCTGGACAGTCCAGCCATTGAGGCAGCGGCCCTCGACATTCCCCCGCCAGAATCTGATAAGGCGCTCCAAAAGGGTTTGTATAGATAGAATCTTCCGTGATTAGGCTACAGTGGTGCCTCCCCGTAAACGATTGTCATATTATAAAGCCAGTATTTCATTTAATACGGTGTCTTGCCATTTTCATAAAATTGTATTACTTTGTGTTGGATCAGATTAGAAATAGTATACAAATGTGTTGTTGGGATAATCATGTTAGTAATAGTGTTATTCTTCTTAAGCTATTTCCAGCTAAAGCAACATTTATTATTTGTTTCAAAACTTGTAGATGTCTGGGCGCGACCCACAACAAATGCCGAGTACAAGCCGCCCACCGATGGGAGCACCGTGCTGCGTTTCGACATTCTACTGGCGCACATAATGCCTCCCGATGGCGAGGATGTGAAGATTAAACGGTTTGTGGTCTATGAGCTCACAGTGAGTCAGGATGGGGCCACGGAGGACACTCAACCGGCGAAAATCGAACGCCGCTACACGGACTTTCGGGAGCTTTATCTGGGATTAAAGCGAACAGAGCCCGTGGAGATGGCCAACAAATACTTTCCGGCCAAGGTGTTGATGGGTAACTTTAAATCAGAGCTAATTGGTGAAAGAAGTGCAGCCTTTGAGGCATTTCTCACATATGTGGCGAGTCAGACGAAGCTCCGGGAATCGGAGGACTTTCTGCGCTTCCTGCAGCACGATGAACTGTCCAGGGCGTGCCAGTTTTTGGATGAGCGACGCAACGAGATCGCCATACCCATTCTGGAGAACTGTTTCAGGTTGCTGAACAAGATTTACATGAATCGTTCGCGACCGGTCCTCTTGATACTCTGTCGGCTGGTGGCAGCCTGCACCTCCTCCCCAGTGCCTCATCACGCAGCCGAAAGGTGGGCTCTGCTGGCACTGAGTCGCTTTGAGACGCTGTGCGACATTGATCTGCTGCCGCTCTACATTCCCCTGCTCCACACCTGCGCCCACCTGTGGTTAGTCCTTTATTATCATGCTTTAATTTATAAACCTAAAGCTGTTTTTTTTTAGGTGGCAGCGCGGCCAGGACCAAAAGCCAATCACCGACCGACTGACCGATATGTCCAAGCAGGGCATCAACACTGCGAACACCGAGAGTCTCATGCAGGCTATTCACAAGATCGATCCACGCACCGAAACCATTTGATTTGGAATCTTCACCAGATATATCATCCGTTAGTTGAGCATTTTGTTCTGTAGTTCTTAGACGTCAAGCGTAAAGTGCAATTAGAGATCGTGTGCAATTAGTTTTAAGGTGAAAGGAGTATTTATCAACCTTTATGGTAACAGCGATGTTTACCAACGCTATTTTCTAAAATAGTTCATTTAAAAAGTTTACAAAGCAGTCTAAAAACTGTATCATTTTATGATCCGAAAATCCTTTAAATTTAACCAACATTTTTTTAAACCAAAAAACTTGATTTTGTTAGACATTTCAAAACTGTGATTTTCAAATTAAAATGTTCAATATTTTATTTGTTTAACGTAAATGTATCTCCAATAAATTAACATTCAATTTCCTTCGACCTATGCAGCTAATATTAATATTGCGAAAAATATGTTAACCGATACTAGAAAATCAGTAATGACCTACTTTTGTAACTTAATAGTAAGTCTAAGCGTGTTAATGTTTCATATTACGTATTGTTTGATATTGTGCAAGCGTTTCTGTAATTTGTACCCAGTGGGAGTTGTGATTAATCTATGCGCTATTTCCCCGACAAACTGAATCACAAATGTATTATCGAGAGTCCATTACGCACAGACTGCGAATCCAAGCCTAGAACTCCATATCAGCCTGAAAAAACATCAGACTAATCGATCACAGCTCCCATATTTATTTATTCTTGCAACTCAACGCCTTGTGATTGGATTTTTTTTCAATGAATAAATATTATACTCAAATGATTTCCAGAATCGAAAACTTTTTCGGTCAGGTTTGGTCATTTAATGCTAAATGGTATATATTTAATGGGTTGTTATTTGCTTATGCTGGTTTCTGAGTCATTTTGGGTTTTAAACTTAGATCTAGGAGTTCTCAATTTAGTACTTAACTTATTGCTACCAGCTGTGAGGATCTCTTGACCGCACTCAAAATATACAATACGAATTAATTATAACTTATGACGTCACACAATCGATTCAACTATATTATAAATAGAGGGGTACGTGCGTTTTCAACAAATTGTTTAGCGCCCTTGCCACATTACATACATCATTCAAAATGTACAGAATCATCTAAATCCAGTTCCAGCTTCCATCTGATTAACGGAAGAGTCGCGTAAAGGTTTTCAAAGCTTGCGAAATGGCTTTCGTGGTATCCGCCCTGCAAATGATATATTATGTTAAAGCTAATACCACATAAAAGAAAGAAAATCCTCACCTCAGCACTGTGCTACTGAACTCATCCAGCTGCTGCTGCGTAGCCGTCACGTAGCCACCGCTGTTCTTCTTGGGCAGCGCCTCCAGCGCCTGGGCCAAAAATGGCTGCATCCGATCGTTTCCCACCACCTGCTTCAGTTCGTGGAGCACCTCGGCCACATCCGCCAGCATATAAGAGTGCAGTTGGAAGACCGAGGCCTGAATTAAGTTCATTACCAAAGAACCACCATGCTGATTTGCCAGTTCCACCACCAAGGGACGACACTCGGCATTTCGACTGTGGCTGTTGGTCCTTCCCCAAACCAGAAGATTGATAAAAAACTTCATCACCGATGAGTTGGCCTCGCGATGGTCCAACGAACAGGCTATCAAGGCACATTGGAAGATCGGCGTGATGAGGCTGCTCTGGAGCAGTTGATGGGGACAGCAGTCCAAATACCGGGAGGCCAAACGGAAGAAATCGTCCACGGTGTCGGGGTTATTTTTGAGGCCGTTCTCCATCTGCAGCAGGCCGAAGGTGGGTTCGATAAATGCCTGCAACATCTCCAGCAGTCCGCCTATGCAATCGCTCGACTTGGCAAACTCATCCACGAGTATGGAGCCCACGTAAAGGAAGCAACTGTGGTGCTGCACCGCATACAACACCACCATTTGCTTGATCAACGGCTCCACCAGCAGCACAGCTTGCTTTCTGACCATCCGAATACCGTAGCGGATCAGTCGGCAGGTGCGCTCCATTATTCGCAGGTCGCTCTGGTACTTATCCATAACCCGCGATATCAGCTGCCAGGCGTCGTTTAGAATGGCCACAGTGGGATGCTCTACGGTGTCGGGTACGTCGGGGTTTGTATGACGGATGATGGCGCAGGCTCTGTCTATCCAGTAAACGGGATCGCTGCGCTCTCCTTTCTGGACACTGGCCCCACTATTGCTCTCTATCAGTTGAGCCAGCGGTTGCAACTGGAAACTGACGATTTCCCGCAGAGCTGGCTGGAGTTGCTCCCGCGGCAAACGGGTTAGTATAAGCGATATGCCCTTGAGCAATCCAATGGCCACATCGTTGTTAATCTGAAAACTGTCCAGACTGCGGGCAATCTCCACCAGTCCACTGATGTGACACACCATCTTCTGGCGGCAGGCGGAGCAAATGGAGGTCAATGCCATGGCTGCAGCTGGTGCCAGTCCATTCTTCTGCTGCAGAGCGTATAGCAGAAAGTTAAGCACCGCCTCCAAGGATTCTGCATGATTCTCAATCCAGTCACACAGCTCACCGATTAGTAGGATGGCAGTGTATCGAACAGCTATGTGAGTTTGCTCCGACATATTTAGAATCGCCTCTACCACCTTGGGTATCACCTCGTTTTCATCTCTACAAAATTAGGTATATTGATAATCTAATATTTTATGAATGAGTTTATACATACGGCAGTATATTTTTGGCGACATTCTGCATAATAAAAAGTGCTGCTTCTGTGGACTCCCATGTGGTCTCTGGGGCTTGCAGGATGTGGAACATTTGCTTGAAGCACGCACCGGATCCCACTATAAAGGCCACGTCTTTTATAAGATCCGAGACCTTGCGTCGAAAGTCCTAAAAGAGAATAGTAAACCAATTAATACAACTATGCAGCTGGGTTTGGACTGTTTTGAAAGTTATTTTTCCCTTTTCGATTATGCGCCCAACAAATAGCTTTATTGGTAATAGATTTTAAGTCGCTGTAAATGTAGAGAACTGTTAAAGTTTCTTTTCTCTAGCTCTTTATCCTCTTTTTGATGGAAACCGGTTTTACTGAGGAATGCCATGTAGGCCTAGGTATTTTTAGCAATTAGCCATTTGGCAATCTTGTGAAATTAAATAGCATATTAATTTGATTTCAGGTAAAAAAATAAAATATATAAAAGATAGAAAAATACCTAACCAGTTTGTTTCCCTATGTTTTAATAGTGCATTAACGAAACTCACAAAGAAATTGTTGTTCTCCTCGATGAGTCCGTCGTGGTCGCTTTCCATCTGAGAATGGCGAAACAGGGCGCTTATCAGCCGTTCAATGTGCGGCCGAAAGAGCGCCGTCAGCTTGTCGTCGTTGCGTTGGAAGAGATCCTCGCTGAGTTTGTACCACAGGTGAAAGGTAATTTCGGCCACCTCGTAGTCGAAGTGACCGACACACAGCAGCACCAGATCCAATCCCTTCAAGCAGTAGTGTGGCTTCTGGGGATCGGCCAGCAAATCGTAGAAGAACGCATCACACAGCGAGGTAAAAATCCTGCAGTAGTTGATCGTCTTGTCGGTATCCTCGTGGGCCACACTCAAGTGGTAAGGCGTCTCGAGCATGCACACGGCTCCGAAGATCTGTGCCTCCACCGAGGACTCCGATTCGTTGGCACTATCCTGCCGCGTGTTCATGCAGGAGAGCAAAGCGCACACGCACTCGGTGGCATTGTCGTGCAGCTTTCCCGTGGTCTCCGGCAGTGATAGCAATCGGAAGGCCAACTGGCTGAGTGCATTGTTGTAGACATGCGAGACGGGAAAGGCGTGGATCACCAGCCAGGCACTATACGTGCGCAACGCCGCATTCCACACGCGCTGCTGGTTGAGATCCTCCCGCTGCAGGCACATGCACAGGAACTTTAGGACGCACTCGGCGCTGGCGTCCAGCTGCTTGTGCACCTCCTCCCGCCGATTGGCGCCCAGTCGCAGATAACGGGAGTCTATTTCCTCCGGCAACACCTTGAGCACCTCCAGCAAAGGCCAAATGGCAGCAGGATGTGGGGCCAGGGTCACGAGAAGATCGTTGATCGGCTCCTGCCAGCTGGCCATCAGGAGGGCCAGATCGGCCACCGCCAAACTAAGCTGCGTCACAATCACATTGTCTGTCTGTTCGTCGATCTGACCTATATGGGTGATCAGGGAATCCCGCAGGGATTCGTGTGTGTGCGGGGGTAGTTCGCTGAAGGAGTTTTGGATTTTATTCCGCATTGTCTGGGCGGCAAAGTAGTTGGCGTGTAAGTCTCGCTTCTGGTGCAGTAGTTCGTCCGCAATCGTCCACGAATAGATCTTTAAAGGATTACCGAAAAAATTAGCCATTGAAATATAGTTGAGAGCACCGCACGACGACTTAACTCACCGACTTCTGGAAGTCCTGCAGCCATTTGTTGGCCTTCTCCTGCTCTTTGGGATTGTTGCCCTGAAACAAGGCACTGATTGCTTGGTACACCACGTCCACCGAGTACGTATCCATTTCATCGGCAGCTATAATCAGAGCATAAATTTTCTTAATTATTATTATACTTTATTAGCGATGGCTTAGGGCGCACATCCCGTGTATCGATAACGAAAGGAAGTAGTGCGCGATAGTTTAGGGATGTGCCTTGCCGATAGTCGGCTGCGCACCTGCGACTGCAGGACTTCGACCAGGGCTGTCGACTGATAAAAATATCGATCATCAGTCTTATCTAATTGATTATTATTTGTACTAAGCAATGAGCAAAATTGTAGAATTTGTTTAGCTAATTTCTATCAGAAAATGGACTGCAATGAGGAAAACAAATTAATTTATGGTTACAATATTTTGTTTGTTACCAATGTGCTACAATTTGATGTCAAAATCACCAAATACAGATACACACAAAATATACTACAAAATAAAAGAGATCACTTATAAATATGTATTCTATGTACATATACATTTATAAATTTATTTTATTTTTAATTTAAAAAATAGGTTGAATACTGTCTTGGCAATATCGGAACTAGATCTTAAGCCCCCCCAAGTATTCGATACTATCGGCTGTGCCTAACCCATCTCTATTTGGGACCGATTGGATTCTGCAATGCAATGGATTCGGATAGCACTGTAACATCCTTGGAGGAGAACACAGAGAACTTCTGCACGAATCCCACGCGCGACATCCTCGCCGAGGGCATCACCAATCTCTTCAAGCCAACCATCGAGCGGTTGGACGAGCGAGTGGCCTCCACCATCCAATTGCAGGCAGAGCTGCGTGGTCAACTGGACGCACTGGCCGCCCAACTGAGGGACATTGAGAAGGCCCAAAATCAGATCCCCGAGTTCGCGGACAAGGTGAAGGAGCTGCTGAACGTGAAGCACAAGGTGACGGTGATCAGCAACGTTTTGGGCACCAGCCAGGAGCGGCTCACAGGGCTCCACAAGCTTATCGAGAAGGAGCAGCGGCGGCGACAGGCGCTCCTCGACTCTGCCCTCAGCACCAACATATCCTAGATCCCTTCCGTTATGGAGACGCCTTACACCGACCACTTGAGCCTGGAGGATTACGAGCAGGTCTACGAGCCAGCGGAGGACTCGTTTTTGCTGCTGGATGCACTGGAAAAGGATCTGGAGTACCTGGAGCAACTGCAGCCGTATCTTTGTCTGGAAGTGGGATCCGGTTCGGGTGTGATTATCACGGCTCTGGCTAAGAAACTGGCTGGCTCCTCGCTATGTCTTGCCACGGACATCAATCTAAAAGCCTGCGATGCCACCCGGAGAACTGCTGTCCGGAATGGAGCCCGCCTGGACAGCATTCGCTCCAACCTGGCCGATGCATTGCGTCGACAATCCGTAGACGTTCTGCTCTTTAATCCACCCTATGTGGTCACCAGCGATGAGGAGCTGCAAACACAGAAGTTCGATTCCCACAGCGAATCATCAACGGACCGCAATCTGGTCTTCTCCTGGGCAGGTGGACAAGATGGGCGTCGCGTAACGGACATTCTACTGAAGCAATTGGATGACATTCTCTCGCCTCAGGGCGTTCTCTACTTACTCCTCCTTCGGGAGAACAAACCAGAGGAAATTATCAGACATTTAGAAGGGCTCAAGTTCCGGGCTGTTAAGTTCATGGAGCGACGCATTCCAGGCGAGCATCTGTACATACTGAAGGTCACCAGGTCCTCCTCTTCATGACTCGTGCAATAAACTCGTTTGGTTCGACTGGTATATCAAAAGCTAGTTGTATTTTAAATAAAAAGTACCCATTTAATAGTTAAACTATAAATTTTATATATGAATTAAAAATCATTCAGAACAATTTGTATTAAAGATAAACTAATACCAATCGTTCTCCAGAATTTGTTTTTATATCCTTGAAAAGTTACTTTATTATGGGCAAAAATGGATTACACTGTCAAAAAGACTTTTCTAGCTCTATAAACTTTATGTTTTAGATCGCCCTTTATCAACCAACTCGGTTGAAAGTTGTCTTAAACCGAATTTGGATGGAGAAGATTTATTTAACATCTCAGTATCTTAAGCAGATGCTGCTCAAATGGTTTAGATACTTAAGTTTAAATCGAACTGGGCTCTAAACTAAAACTAATATCTAGTAATTTAATTAAAAGGGTTTTAAAAATTAAATGTTATCATCTATAAAAGCTAAGGGTGTAAAACATTATACTTTTGAAATACATTGAAATATATAGTTTGGCGGGCTCGAAATATGTACGTTTAAATTTAACCTTAGTTCCAAAATAGTTGAGCAGAATATCCACTACATCAATATTCTATCTTTTGCAATAATAGGAAATTGATACCATATAATCAAAAGTCTTTTAACCGATTATTGTTTTCAATTGAATCGCTTCACCATCCCTTATGGCATTTATTCTATAGCGAGAATCGCAGAAACCAGTATTGTCAACCCCCGAAAATGCAAACATGAAATCTGGGAGGGATGGATCCTGTACATCATGTGTGCCTGAACGAAATAATGGCAAAGGCCAATCAATGAATTATGTACCTACATGTAAAAACTCCTACCCCTAACTAACCCACTCCATCCCATTCCAACCCAGGGGGTTGTTGCCCCACCCAAATGGACTACCCCCATGATAAAAACATCGGTAAAGCAATTGAAACAAACTTTTTATTGACATCTATTAGATGCCAATAGGTATGTATGTACGTATGGTTTTCACTTTTACGTAATTACAATACTTTATTTCATCGTTCAAAATTTTTTTTATATTCTCTTTCTCGATTCGTGGTTCTGTTCTCTGCCTTGCACTAATAAAATGATGTTATTTTCGCACTAAGCAGATACATAAATAATTGGTATTTACAAAAATGCATGATTCCTTAACATCGTTATTGTTATATCTGTATCAAATCGACTTATTTATCTTCGGAATATGTATCAGTTATATTGATTTCAATTATTCAGTTGTCGGTAAAGCCATCAGCTTTTGGATCTGGGTCAGTGGGTGGTGTTTATATATGTAGGTATGTCTATCTGGGTTATATCAGTTAGATTGGAGGATAGTGGTTGGGTGGTTTCGGCGGCATTCAGTAGCGAGTACCTTGATTGACCAACTGGGCACATTTCTTTGTCATATATCAGTCGTTATATTTTAAGAACTCATTTTGCAGTTGTGTATAAATAGTTTGGATGCCCTTACTAATAGATACATGTAACATTAAAAGTTTATTTTTTGCTCATTATTCGATTCTCGGGTCGGTTTTTACAATTTACAAATGAATTAAGCTTATCATCGATAATCGATTTGCTCACACAATTTATAAACAGAATAATTAACCCTTCGCTTTAATACTGACATAAGTACTTAAGATTATTCATAGTGTATAGTTTAATGCTGAAACGAAACAGAAGAACTCAAACTTCCCGATGTTTTATTTTATACCCCAAAAAGCGAAGACCAGGAATTTTTGGGAGCGTGACTGTGGCCACAGTGGGCGCAAAAATTTTGAAACCATAGCTAAAACTTGAGTTTCGCCGAATGCGTGTCGAAAATTCGATTTCAATGATTTTTCGATTTATTTAAATACAATTTTTATGTTTTTATTTGTTTTGTATTTAATTGCATTTGCTGTTTCTTTTTCATTTTTTCACTTTTGTATTTTTTTGTTTCTTTCGATCATTCATAAATGTAACGTCTAATTTAATAATGAATTTTAATATTTTGTGTTTGTGTGTGTCTGTGTTTAATTCACGGGCTTCGTTTACGCTACATTTTAAATCTTTGTATATTTTGTTTTACGCATAAACTGGGCGTTTAAATTAGGACTTATGACTTAAAGGAAAGAAAGATTTTGGTTTTGTTTTTGTTTTTTTTTCTTGTATATAGTGGGGATGTTTACTTTTTGTTGGCTTCCGTATAGATTGCTTTTATACGAAAATGCCTTCAATTACAATTTTTCTTTGTTTTGTAGTTTTTTATAAAAAAAGTACACATAAAATACAATTAAAATAAGGTAAGAAATAAAAAATTATTTCTTAAACATAAAAATTATATACTTTTGCGATTTTTTTGTGGTTTTTTCTCCTTCTTCTTCTCCTTGTTGTGGTTTATTTTCTGGTTGTTGGTTTATTATTATTTTTTTGTTTTGTTTTTTGCTTGTAACTTTTATTTATTATTAATTTAAATTTTTGTTTGTTTTTGTTTGTATTTTTGACTACATTATTATTACGCCTGATCGTCCGAGCCGGAACCGTCATCATTATCATCATCATCGTCTATATTAAGTGGGGGAAAACCCGGAGATTAGTTTTATGTGGTAAAAGGATTTGTTTGTGCTAACTCACCATCACATTCAATGTCGTCCTCCTCACCATCGTAGGGTATGTCGTACTCGTCGCTCTCGATTTCACTGTCGCCCTCGATGATTTCCTCCAGAGCCTCTTCCTCATCGGAATCGCCATCGGCGGCAGCGGCTTTCTTGGCCTTCTTTGATTCTGCGGATTTGGCCTAAAAAAACAGCGGGAATTTAGGATAAGTTTTCTATGAAAAATGTTAAATAATATTTTGTTCTTAGACAAGATAATGTATAAAAAGACATTGTAACAATAAAATATCCATACTTTCTATTTTAAATCGAAACGTACAAAAAACATTTGGTTACTGTGGGTTTTGAACTCATGCTTCTGTTAGGCTTTAATATATTATCCCATTAATCACATATTGAAATGATATATAAAATGTAAATATCTATTTGACCTGCGCATTTTGATTCGAAATCAAGCTGCCTTTTTTCCTGTTTGGATAGAATTAAGATAGATTGAGAAAAGTTTAGGGAAGTGGTCCTACGCGCCCAACTCAAACCCACACATCTCCTTGATCAAGGGCATTCAATACCCCTCTCAACTCTCGATGTGCGTGTGTACATAGTCATAAAATGTATATTTTCAGCCCACAAAAACAAGCAGCGACGAAAATCGTTATTTCGCCGTAAAAAAACATTTGAAAAATGCGCGCGCCAATGTAATTCGCTGCGGCAAAGAGAGCGAGAGAGCGGATTACAAGTGCAGCCTTGTTACATCTGTGTTGTGTATGTACTAGGCGACATATTTACTACATAAGGGTAAAAAAAATATATATATCTATCTGCATCCGTGAGATACGAAACGAAGCCAAGCGTGCCATGTAAGACAGATAGAGAGAGAGAGGAAGAGAGTCTGAGAGCGAGAGAGTGCCGGAGAGAGAGTATCTGAGAGAACGTCTCATCGAAAGAAACTGTAAACTGTACCTGAATTGCATGAATGAATCTCTCTCCGCACACACACACAAATAAACGACAGCTGGAAAAAGGCGCAAAACAACAACATGCGTGGGTTCAAATTCTGCCGCTGGCCAACCAACAACAAGATATTTAAGGTATATAGTGACTAGTATATAGGCGGTCACGTTCTCAAGTCAAAGAGTAGTCCCAATACATGGACCCTATTTACCACCAGACTGTTACAAAGCGGAAAACAAGCGGGCTGTGGAAAAATGTGCAAAATTAATGGCCAACCCACCGCCCCCTTTCTTTTATTTCGCTTACAGCATAAGTCACGAGACTCAGAAGTTGAGAAATGTGCAATGGGGGATCGAAAACAAACAGGGTCTATTAGAATTGGAAAAGATATCTATCTAACAGCTCAGATTTTCCGGTGTTTGGATAGGTAAATGGTAGTTTTAAATAGATGTTCTGTTAATGCAGACCAATTAAAAGATTAATAAAAGTTGTATATATAAATATTAAAAATTCTATTTTAGCTACTAATAAAATATGCACTAATTTGTCCAGAAACATTATTATTAAATATTTTCTTCACAAAGTTAAATGGAAAATTTATTTTTATTTAACTTTATTGTGATGGAAAATATTCGAGACAGATGTTGTACGAATTCTAAATCTAACAGGAATTTTAAAGAATGAGCTACTATAATACAAAATACTTTTTTAAAAGTATCTTAATTAAATTACCTAAAAGAATCCCATAACTTGAAATTTTGATATAAAATAACTATCTAGACTTCTGCAACACCCTGTAAGACTGTCTTGTTTTATGTACCAAAATAAATACGCATAGGAAAAAGTGAAAGATAAATGTAAGCACAAACGCAAACAGACAAATGTGTATACAAATTACGAGGGAGAGAGTTTTCGGAAAGAGAGCGAGAGAGAGAAGCTCTCTCAAGAGAGTCCTCTCCCGTTCAACTGTACATTTTTATTTCGAGTTTGAGTTTGAGAAAAGCGCTTGATTTGCCAATTTATATGCCTTACTGGCCGAACTATTTTATTTTTATCAAGAAATGTGCTTCTCGATTATGGAATGCGACAGTCGGACACCCAGCCCCCCAAAACTTGTTCGAATACCGCGTGCTCCCAACGATACTAACCAAAAATAAAAAGTGGGAAAACATGACATGAGTAATTTACCGGCCGGCAATGTGTGTTTTCATTGAGAGAGTGCATTGGCTTCGCTTTCGGTTTGCATTTGCAATTGCCAGTTTGTCAGTGACTGATAAATAGGGCCAAGAGTATATGAGTTATAGCCGCTATATCTATGGCTTTGTAATGCTTTTCAGCGCGGATACGTCAATGCTAATGACCTATGGTTTATTAAAAATACATTACCCACCCCACAGAAAAACCCCTGAGTAACTGTACTGGGGTACTTCCTCCCGTCTATATGTATGGCCCTCTAACCTCGATTTGAACCTAACAACAATAATCTTTGATTGCCGGACCCGCAATCATCTTGGTTAATCGTAAACAACACACTAACGATTGTATATATGTGGCCTATCTCTCGCTCTTTTAGAGGGTATATAAGCCACTGAGAGAGTGCGCTGTTCCGAAAAACGTGTGTATATCTATTTCTAGAACTTTTCTCTGAACAAAAAGTGGAACTCGCACTTCAAAGTGAATCATTAGTAAACAAAAAGCTAATGGTACTTACTTCTGCTGGCCTCTTGGTGCCTTTCACAGATTCCTTTGCGGGGGCAGCGGCGGCAGCATCCTCACCGTCCTTTGACGTGCCGTTATCGGCCGCGTCACCGGCGGCATCGGCAGCAGCGGCCTTATCCTCTGCGGCCGCCTTTGCCTTGAGATCGTCCGTGACAGCCGAAACATCCTCCGCCGCCACCTTCTCCACGGCCACATCGCCGTTGTTTTGTTGTTCCGTAGCAGCCGACATGTTTTGTTTTAATGGGTTTTCTTTTAGTTTTTCCGGAACTATTTGCTGTTGTGAAGAAACAGTAAGTTGTTGACAAAATCCAGCGCAAAATACTCGAGGGGGCGAGCGAAAGAGAGACACAGAAACGCACCGCACGAAGAAGGCAAACACACTGGCTGCGCTTCGGCTGCGGCCCGTCTATTTAAGCACTCGCTCTCCCGAAGAGAGACGGCTACTCTCTTTGCTCTCCCGCTCTCTCGGGGACACCGTTATCGCGCTCTCTCCCACGCTATAGCATAACCCCTGTACAATACACTGAAAAACCGAAGCGGCATTTTTGTACAGCCGCAGTCGATGGCGGCAGCGCAGAGAGAAGACAACAACAACATCCCAGAGCGAGCGATGGATTTTCGAAATATTATCTATGGTATCTATAAAGAATAGTATCTATATATCAGGCGGCGCTACGAAAGTCGGAAGGATATTTTCCGTAGGCTCCCTCTGATATGTAGTGTCTTTGAAAGGTTCCTAGGTTTCCTAACCACCGATATGTTTACCCGTCGACGGTTCGTACAAGACTGAGCTTGCCGTCCAAATGCTGGCCACAAATTGCCGCTTGCTTCTTCTTTCACCAAATCGCTTCAACACTTTTTCGCCTATGTCTCAAAGACCGCTATTCGGATCGGATCCGAGACCGATCGAGGCTATAGCTAGTAGTATCCCCTTAATTTTGGCGTTTTTCGCGAGGCGCTGCGATCAAAACTAGATCTGCAATTGACAAGTTGAGTGGGTTCCCTGATTAATTCCATACAAAATCTGCTTGGGTTCCGTGAGTACAGTTGTGGGCGCGTTTGGCGGTAAATTTGAAAATTGCGCGCACCGGTGGTGCGTTTGTGGGGTTCACTGGGGAGGGGGTTCCAGGGGGGTGGTGGTGGCTATGTGTGGTGCAGTCACTCTGTGGCGTTTTGACCGTTTGTCGGTGGAACAGTGGATGTTGCCGATGGGAAGAAGCGTGTTGCAGCATTGTTGCTGCAGATGTGTGCTGTGTATTTTGTATTCGTATTTATAGAGTGGACCAGCGTGGGACGCAATGTCGTCGCGGATTGGGGTCAATTGATTGGTAACGTGTGGGGAAGCAGGTGATTTTTGCGGCCTAGGAAAGTGGGGAGCTATTTTTGAGATTCTAGCGATTTAATTGCACGCAATTGGGAGAAAAGCCAATCGGCTATTTGGTTTTATCCTATGAATTTGTAATATGTTCCCCAGAAACTAAGAGTTCGCTTGTTGAGATACGTACGTATATGTATAACTTTGAAACTGATTTCAGTGGTTTTGAAAATAAGTGGATTGCAAATAGTATCATTAACATAACTTTAAGTTCACTTTTCTATACGTTTCTGAATCGCCCTTATATATAACTTGAGTATAACAAGAGTCAGCGCAAGTTAAAAAAAATTTTCATTGTTTTGTTCTACTAAATTAGAAAAGTTTCATGACTAGCGCTTAAAAGATTATACGACTTAAAATCAGTTTTTTATTTATTACCACGTGATTATTTTATTATTCTTAAAAATGTTTACTAAATGCCAATTCTTATCACCTACGTTCGAACAGGGTCCACCCGCAATTCTTTTTTTATGTGTCAATCTTTCTGTTGATCCCGCACTTGTGGTTCGGCCATTTGATGGTTCTGTTCGTTACACGAACCCAGTTGGTTTAGGAATCGACTAATATATGCGAAAATCGCCGACCAGGCTATAACATATCCCCTGGTAATCAACGTGTTTGGAGGATTATTGCTTTTATTTTATGAAATTGTTTACTCGAATGCTATTAATCGGAAGATCTTTCGAAGGTTGATCTATCAAGTTCACTCAAAATGTGCTCTTTAAGATTAACATTGAAAAATAAGAAACGATGAATATGTACATACATATGTATCTATTAATTCGTTTTCGGAGAATCGGGAAGTTTCTTTTTAATCTCTTTGTGTAAACCATTAGTTCTTTACCTTATGAGAACAATGTGAAATATTTTGTAAAACCACATAAATGCAGATAGCCGGAGTATCCCCCAGTCGAGTTTTAGTCTCACAACCTTTCACGCTTTCAACTATTTTCGTGCAAAGGCAAATACGAATACCTCGGCTATATAGTTTGTAATCTGAATAATACGGTCGACGACAGAGCGACAGGCGGGTCGCTAATTAAAACCGGCGAACCTGTTCCGAGGCATCCGCGGTATAGTAAACGTAAACACCTGTAATCGTGGGCCGTCCATTCAGTTATCACATATTTGAGCAGCAGCGATGACTTTTTGCCAGAACGCTGCCTGATAAGCCGATTTGCGTCTCCGTTTTGCGATGCGATGTGTGGTTTCTGCCTCTCTGGCTTTCTTCTTTCTTTCCGCCCGCCGAACTCTTAGTATTCGTTCGAGTGCCTCGGCGTTCGTTCCCCCAAGAATTGTGGGCCTTTCGCGCCTTGTTGCGATATGAGAGTTTTACTCATCGGCATGCCAATGGCATGTGGGGTCTCTCCTGCTGGAAGACAGTGTCTCCGGGCCAGTGAACAATAGTATCTAGATTCCAGAGGACAACCCGAGATATCGGTGTGGTACGACCGTTGTTATTTCAAGGTTGAGCGATAGCTCGAAATGGAGGAAAAGCGATAAGAAAGGTGCTACTAGGTAGGCAAAACGGAAAAGATGTTTTGACCTTGGTCCTACCTTCAGGAACTCATACATCTGCCTGTAGTTTTTTTTTTGGGTTTTCAGACCTTAACCTAACCCAAGTTCCTTGTTTAGTTTGTATTTTTTGGCGTGCCTTTCTTATGTATACATCCTACATAATGTTATCCTTGACCTGCCCTAAGAATTTCTCCCAGTGCAATTACACGTTGCGTCATTAGGTTGCTGTAGCATAAAGGTGTGAACAAATCTCAATGCAAACAATCGATAGCCAGACGCCCAAACATGTGTATCTAAAACACACACATCAACTTGTGCTCATGGCGATTAAGTTTTCATTTCTCTCCCAACTTACATATACATGGTGCTAATAGATCTGTAATAAGGTAGTTAAGTTTTATAGAAAGTATGCTCAAAGAATAGGTTGTATCTTTGAATTTGTATCTTTATATATTTTGAAAAGTTTTTGCACCAAAAAAAATGCTAGGGTAAAATTGGGTTTTTTCAAATATCATAACTAAAATATTGATTAATAAAAAAAATGGTAAATGTTGGGATTGCTTTGGGTAATACCAAGAAATAATTTGACGAACCGAGTGGTTCATTATTGTCTATTTCAAAAATAAATTAAAGTGTAGCGCATAAAAATAGCCACTATAGGCCGTCGCTTAGGTACACACCATCGTTTGGTAGAACAACATGAACAGGTTTACGACTCGATTAGAGCGATTGTTATAATGTTGCTAGATAGATGAGCGATTCGCTTGGCCGCCCGGCTCGGGATCTCGAATCTTTAGAAGACGATCGTTGTATTAGACATTCTCGTGTCTCGTTTTCCCGGCATGTGTTAACGCTTCCACACGGACTCGACTTGATATTCTGCCCTCACCTGCTCACCTGTTTCACCTGCGTCAACTGGCGGCTTACACACAATTATTAAAATGAATTTAAGCAGCCCCATTGTCTTCGATTTCCAATACCACCTGACCCAGGGGCAGTGTGTGTTGTGGTGTCACTGTGAGTGGGTCCTCTTTGGGGCTTTTAATTGCGCAGAGCACCCGTGACGTCGTATGAGTGGACATTCTTCCGCCGACGTTGTTGAAGGATGAGAGAAGACAGTCACTGCTACTGCAATGCTGCATCTGAAATGAAATGCCCCAAATAGACCCCCCAGTGACCCTGTCCCACCCACATCATCACCAGTGATGCCAATCTATCGGTCGCAAATATAATGCAAGACTAAGCCAATCGATTTTTAAAATATAGGGGATGGTGGTTAAGGAGTGATTATACTATACTTTTATTATGTATACTTCCTTATTTATGAACATTAATTTAGATATCTATCTAATATATCAGTTGTATTTCCTAGGTTGTTCCTTTTAGGCTTATTTTATCTTATTAATCTTTAGAAATTTGAAAATAAATATTTTTTAAATATGCCAATTTGACTAAAAAAAAGTTTCAAGTCAACAGCATTTGAGCTCATTCCTTCCTTTGCCATCTGCGTCATGCATTTTGGTGCACTGAGGAGAAAGGGTGGGTGGGGTGGTTCAGTGGGTGGTGGTGCGGTGGGCTACCCTTTCGGTGGTGTTATTGCTAAATGCTAGCGGTGGTGGCTTGGACCGTCCGAGATGAGAAAAGATAGAGAATGGGCGCCTCTGAATGAATCATTTGGGGATGGGGCAGAACATCATGGCATCATAGTTGAAATTCGTTTTTGTTTGCACAGCCAAAATAAAACTACGGCCAGCATTTATTATTGTGTGATTTGTCTTTGTTGGCCGGAGCAAAAATCATTTGTTCAATAATTACAATGAAAAGTATTTACACACATGCAAACTCAAGCCAAAGGGGTGGCAAAGATATTGATAGAAGTGTAGGTGGATTAATAAATAGAAAGAGGTTAGTTAAAATGTATATTAAAGGTTGTGCTTAATTCTTTTTATCCCACTGGAGAGTAACCTGACAATCTCTGCAAAAAACAAGTATTTCAAAACTTTATAGCGTTTCAAAATTTAAACTTAACCGCCGTTCAGGGGCTTGCGATAAGCGTATTGAGAAGGGTTTAATTTTCTTACTCAAAAATGGAAACACTAAAAACAACTTAATATACTTTGTACACATATCAAATCTTCTCACAAGTCATTATTTTGATTTATTTTGAAATACACAAAGTTTAGTTTTCAAATGACATTCCAATATGTGTAGCGTGAATAAACAGTATTTTTCTCATTTAAAACATAATTTTTAAATAAATACAAAAATTATTAAAGGCTAAGGAAAATAAAATATCAGCAGTTTTAATGGGGGATCTGGGACCCCTTGAATTTACTCCTCTTTTCCACACCATTGTTATTAACACCCTCGACATCGATAACCTTACAACACTGTTCCACAATCGTTTGGCAGCACTATTTGGGCGCCAAACACAGGGCTGCACTTGGCCAATATAACTTTAAGCCAACTTCCCAGCTAGAATACACACTGATATGGACTCCGGCCCTCAAAAGTGAAGAATTTCTAGGAATGTCCTGCGCAGGATATACACAAAATGGTGGAAAGCTGAATGCTACGGAGTTCCGCCCTGGAAATCAAGATGCAACCCTAGCGGCCCACCGATGACCTTGCGTTGACATTGCCGCACAGCAGTTGCGGACGAAGAAGATTCGCGGAATACTCAGTGGAATCGCAGCCCGGAGTTTGATAGCACATACCAGGAATATCCATAAAATCCAGAAAAATCCCAAGATGGCGTTCAACAAACTGAGCATCGAGAACCTGGACTTGAATGGCAAGCGTGTGCTGATGCGGTAATTGGGAATCCTCTCCTGAAATTCAGTTGCATAAACTTTGGCTTCCCCCTTTCACAGAGTGGACTTCAATGTGCCCATCAAGGAAGGAAAAATCACCAGCAACCAGCGAATTGTGGCTGCCTTGGATAGTGTGAAGTTGGCTCTGTCCAAGAAGGCCAAGTCCGTGGTGTTGATGTCCCATTTGGGTCGTCCCGATGGCAACAAGAACATCAAGTACACTCTGGCTCCCGTGGCCGCTGAGCTGAAGACCCTACTTGGCCAGGACGTGACCTTCCTGAGCGACTGCGTCGGTAGCGAGGTGGAGGCCGCCTGCAAGGATCCCGCCCCAGGAACCGTCATCCTGCTGGAGAACGTCCGCTTCTATGTAGAGGAGGAGGGCAAGGGCTTGGACGCCAGCGGCGGCAAGGTGAAGGCCGATCCCGCGAAGGTCAAGGAATTCCGTGCCAGCCTGGCCAAACTGGGCGATGTCTACGTCAACGATGCTTTTGGCACTGCCCATCGTGCCCACAGTTCCATGATGGGCGATGGCTTCGAGCAGCGTGCTGCTGGTCTCCTGCTCAACAAGGAGCTCAAGTACTTCTCGCAGGCCCTGGACAAGCCACCAAATCCCTTCCTGGCCATTCTCGGTGGAGCCAAGGTCGCCGACAAGATCCAGCTGATCGAAAACCTTCTGGACAAGGTCAACGAAATGATCATCGGCGGCGGCATGGCCTTCACCTTCCTGAAGGTTTTGAACAACATGAAGATCGGCGGCTCTCTGTTTGACGAGGAGGGCTCCAAGATCGTCCAGAACCTGGTGGAGAAGGCAAAGAAGAACAATGTCCAGCTGCATCTGCCGGTGGACTTTGTCTGCGGCGACAAGTTTGCCGAGAACGCCGTCGTGAGCGAGGCCACCGTGGAGGGCGGCATTCCCGATGGACATATGGGTCTGGATGTGGGTCCCAAGACCCGCGAGCTCTTCGCGGCGCCCATCGCCCGCTCCAAGCTGATTGTGTGGAACGGGTAGGTTTATTTTTCTTCGTTATAGGAAGGGCTTCTGCAGATCTTTTTAATTAATTCTTCCATTGTTTCCCTTTTAGACCCCCGGCGTGTTCGAGTTCCCCAACTTCGCCAACGGCACCAAGTCCATCATGGACGGCGTGGTGGCCGCCACCAAGAACGGTACCGTATCCATCATCGGAGGCGGTGACACTGCCTCTTGCTGCGCCAAGTGGAACACGGAGGCGCTCGTCTCACACGTCTCCACCGGTGGCGGCGCTTCGCTGGAGCTCCTGGAGGGCAAGACACTGCCGGGCGTGGCCGCTCTGACCCCTGCCTAAGACCGAAAAAGACGGTATATTTATGTTAATCGCATCGTTTATCTTGTAAGCACAAACCAACACGTTTAAAAAGTTGAATCTATTTGTTGCGGATCCATACTATGCATACGAAATAAAGGAATTCTAGTTTATTTGCGGGCAAAGTTGCTGTCCATGGAGGAGGAAGTGCGCTGGATGTTGTTAAGATTGGCCCGTATGCGATCTCCAATGGAGTTGTGGTTGGCAATGGCCTTCTTGACTTCCTTGTTGATGAACTCCTTGTCGAAGTCGCGATCACGGTTTTGGGCTTCCTCGCGTGCGTAGGCTTCTCGGTGTTTACGAACCACCTGGCTTCGATCTGCCTCTCTCCAAGAAGCATTGTCCATCATTTCGCGGAGGCGAGCTTCTCGATCGGCTTCGCTTAGCTTGGGCTTGCCGGTGGGACGACTGGGAGCTGGACTACGTTCCCTTTCCCTTCGTTGAGGTGGTCTCTCTGGGCTCTTTCGGCGTTCATCTTTCTTGGAACTGCGGCTCCTGCTGCGTTTGGATCTAGAAGGCTGCTCAAGGCTTATACTACGGCGGTTTTCGCGCTTTCTGGAGCTTTCTTCTGTTCGACTGGGTCTGTCATTTCTTTCGTCTGGACTCTTGCTCCTTCGCCTTTCTTTTCGTTTCTCTGGACTCCTTCGCGCTACCTTTCTCTTCTCCAAACTCCGGCTGCGGCTCCCTCGTCTTTCCTTTCTTTTTTCTGGACTGTTACTCCTTCGCCTTTCCCTTCTGTCTACTGGACTCCTGCTTCTCCGTCTTTCCTTTCTTTTCTCTGGACTCCTGCGCCTGTGTCTCTGCTCTGGACTCCTGCTCTGTCGTCTTTTCTGGGGGCTTCTGCTACGGTACTTTTCTCGATGATTTCTTTCTTCTGGACTCCTGCTCCTCTTATCCCTTCTCCTGGACTCGAGCTCCCTGGATCTTTGTCGTCTAGGCCTTCCATCCTCACCGCTACTCTGCTCACTGCTGTCGCTACTTTTTCTCTTGGATTTCTTGTTTTTTTTCTTGGTGGCCATGTCCAATTGCTTGGATATGGTGCGGTACTTGGCGTCCAGTAGTTTGTCCAACTTGAGGTCTCCATCGCCGTGGTCTCCCTTAAGTTTGCTGACCTGGCGGGCCAGTTTTCTGTCCAAGTCATCGTCGCTATCGTTGCTCTCACTGCCACTGCTTTCCTCATCACTAGATCGCTTGTTCTTTTTCTTCTTTTTTGACTTCTTGGACTTTTTGCTCTTCTTGGCCTTCTTCTCCTTGGAGGCCTTCAGGTCCTGTTCGGTCTTGAGGATGCGATGGATTTCCTTAAGTTTGACGGGGTTCTCGAGAAGTTTTCGGCGGGATTCCATTTCGCGCTGCTTTATGAGCATCAGGGGATCCTCAAGGGTTTTCCGCTGCATGTCCACCTGTTCGGTGGACTGCAGGTTACGATATGTTCGGATGGAGAAGGGCACGCAGTCGTGCTCGACATGATTGATGGACTGTTTGAGGCCGACTGTGTTTTGCTCCTGCCGGTGCTCCTCAGCTTGCAAAGTCTCGAAAGACTTGTCGATTTTGCGGCCCAGGAGATACTCCTCGCGGTTGATCAGCTCCGTACTGTCTGGAATAAGACTTATATATAGATATTTATCAGGATTTTGTGTCGGATGACTCACTTTTGTACATCCATTCGAGCTTTGCTTCGCCGGCGGCGCCACCATTATTGGCCAGTACTCCGGAACTTTCGCCCAGCCGTCTAAGCTCCTCCCTGTCCCTTTCCTCGTTGATTTCCTTGCGCAGATCCTGCAGTTTGCGCTCCTCCATCTTTGCCTGCTCCTCCGCCTTCCAAACGCGCTCTTGGTTTTTCATCGTGTGCGGATGCCATGATTTCTTCAGGTTCTTAGAGAGAATTTCATAGTTTTAAAGTGCTTAATTGTTACGGGGTACTACTTACTAAATCTCCGCCACCCATTTTTGGGTTTTGTTTGGGTTTTTACTGCAAAAAAACTATTTCTAAACAATTCGAGTTTTTCCCTCCTTTTAATGTGTTTTCATGAAACATCTGTTCATCCCCAGGGTTGCCAGCTATTAAAGAGGCTTGCAAACATGTGAGAGTTGCCAGAGGGAATACATTTGTATTGCCCTATTTTTAAATATTTGTTTTAAGTTATGTCTTGTTTTATAAAAGTAAACTAAAAAAATATACTCTATTTAAAATTACATAGGGTCATACACATTTGTGCGAAAACTGTGCTTTGATAAGAGCCTCAAACTTTGTATTTCAAAAATTGTGTTTTTTTTTCAGTCTATATAATTTTTGTGATTGCTCCTCTTGCTGATAAAACCTTCTAAAACAAACGTTCTTTCTAAAATGTTTCGTTTGCAACGGCATGTTTTTAAGTTTACGTATATTCCTAATCAATGTCCTCAATCAGTAATAAAAAAACTTATAAATATACGACATTTTAGCAGTAATGATGACTGCACTGAAAATCAAGTAAAAAAGTTGAGTCTGAAAAATGTCGACGTAGCTGGCAAAAAAGTATTTATGAGGTAAGAATCTTTGAAAATTTCGGTTGAAGTTTTTTTAAATTTACTTCTAGGGTGGATTTTAACGTACCCATGAAAGATGGTAAAATCACCAACAACCAACGTATTGTGGCTGCTCTTCCCAGTATCAAATATGCTTTGGATAAGAAGTGCAAATCTCTGGTAAGTTTGTGTTGCATCTTTTCATTAATCATTATTAATAAACATTTTTTAAAAACATTCCTTAAAGTCTACTATAAATAAATTGTAACTCTTTTTTGAAATCATTCGTTATTTTAGTAGGGTTAGTTTGAAATTCACATAGTATTATAGAATACTCCAAAACCAATTTTTTAGTTTCAAAAATGATTAAAATCGAAATGTTTTCAGGTTTTAGCCTCCCACTTGGGACGTCCTGATGGCAAAAAGGATAAAAAATATAGCCTGGAGCCGGTGGCCAAGGAACTAGAGAAGGTGCTGGGGAAGCCGGTTTGCTTTCTGGACGACTGTGTGAGTGACCAGACCCTGGAAGCTCTGAAAGATCCGCCCGAGGGCAGTGTCCTGTTGCTTGAGAATCTGCGCTTCTACGCCGAGGAGACAGGCAGCAGCAAGGATGAGAACAAGAAAAAGGTGAAGGTCGATCCGGAGAAGGTCAAGGAATTCCGTTCCAAGTTGGCAAAACTAGGCGAGATCTATGTGAACGATGCCTTTGGAACTGCCCATCGCCCTCATAGTTCTATGATGGGGGATGGCTATAAGATACGGGCTGCTGGTTTCCTTTTGGACAAGGAACTGGAGTACTTTGCCAAGGTTCTTTATAATCCAGCAAAGCCCTTTTTGGCCATTTTAGGTGGGGCCAAGATAGCTGACAAAATTCCTTTGATTACCAACCTCCTGAACAACGTATCCGTCATGATCATATCCGGTGGCATGTCCTTCACCTTTCTCAAAGTCCTTAACAACATGGAGATCGGGAAATCCCTCTTTGACGAGAAGGGAGCCAAAATGGTAAATGATATAATCTGCAAGTCAAAGGAAAAAAATGTGAATATTCTGTTGCCGGTGGATTTTGTGGTAGCCGACAAGATTGACAAGAAGCCCGATAAAATCGAAACAGTCGATGCCAGACAGGGTATTCCCAAAGATATGATGGGTCTGGATCACGGCGAGCTATCCAGTTCGATGTTTGCAGGTGCCATCTGTGCATCCAAGACTATAGTTTGGAATGGGCCTCCGGGCTTATTCGAAAACGAGCTCTTCTCTAAGGGGACCAGGTCTATGCTGGATGCAGTAATTGGAGCCACTAAAAGGGGAGCTATAACAATTGTGGGCGGTGGAGATACGGCCACGGCTTGTATGCAATTCGGAGGAGCTGAGCAGGTCTCACATGTGTCCACAGGTGGAGGAGCTTCTCTAGAACTGTTGGAAGGAAAGGTCCTCCCAGGAGTGGCAGCTCTGTCAGATGCTTAAAAGGACAGCTTTACAATCCTTATTCTAATTAACTTTAACAGCTTGTTACAGCTACATTCTTTATAACTTTCAATGTTCCATTAAACTTTAATTATAAACTAAATTTCTTTTTAAGCAGAGTGTGGAATATCATTGGAAATTAAAACAAATTGAGTTCATTTTGAAATTAAAGAAATTGATTTAAACTTCAAAGAATAACACAAGAGTCGCGCAAAATACAAAGTTAGGTTTTATTTTGGGATAACATTAGATGGTTAAAACTTGATAAAAGAGCTGACTTCGGCTTAAACAGATCTCGCATAGCATTTTCTAAATGTCTTTGTATTCATTAATCTTCTTAAATTTGCACTTAACTTAAAATTTAGCATATTCTTTTCTCGTAACGAAAGCTTTTGGAATAGTAACTAATAACCGCAATGAACTAAAAAATTTTGGTATTCCTTGAACATTTAAAATGGTTCGTTTAAAACTGGAACAGTGGAACCAATATCCTTAACGAAACATACATTTTTTGGCATGATATCCACACGAGAACTGTTTGACCCAACTCCGTAGGATAATACAAAAGAAATAACATTGGATTAATCGAAACTTATTAGTTCCGCTGTGGCTGGCTCTTCGGCTTTGGCAGGCGCGGGTCCTGGTTCGTTTTGAGGTGGAGCAGGTGCAGCAGCCACGGCTTGGACTTGGCTAGCGACGATTTCGGAGACTGGGGGTGCCTGCGGAGCTTGAGGCGCCTGATTGGCCAACGGCGGATGGGTCTGCACAATCTGCTGCTGCTGAAGCATAACGTGAGCCAGTTGTGGTTGAGGCTGCTGAATCGGGATTTGCTGAGGTTGTTGTCCAGGAAGTTGCTGCGGCTGCCGACCAGGAATTTGCTGTTGCTGCTGTCCAGGAATTTGCTGAGCCGTTTGTTGAAATGGAATTTGTGGAGGCTGCGGGATCGAATGCTGTTGCGGCTGCGGAGCTGGAGGCTGCTGAAGGACTGCTGGATTGTTGGCGAATTGATTGTCGGACATAGGCGGCATCATCTGGCCATTTCCTGGGGGCGCTGGTTGCTGCATCAATCCCCCAGGTTGCTGAAGATTCGGCGGCATCGGCTGTTGCATCGACGGATTGTACATGCCCGGCGGAATGGCCTGGAACTGGCCATGTCCGTTGGCAGCTTGGGGTGGAGCTTGAGTCAGATAACCGGGCACTCCGGCAGCATATGGATTATAAACGTTGTTCATCTGATGCGAAGGCGATCCATGTTGCGGCACCGCCGACGGTGGCATGTACGGGAATGGCGGAGCCGATTGACCCATCAAATACTGCGCCTTCTGCTGCTCCTGACGCAGCTGCATTTCCCGCTCCTGTTCCTGGATGCGCTGCAGGGCCAACTGGCGTTGATACTGCAGATACTCTTGCTTCTTCTTGCGCATGATATCCAGCTTCTGGGCCATCTGCATCTGCCTTTGGCGTTCCTGCTCCTCGGCAATCCTGCGTAGCTTCTCCACGTGCTCCTGTCGCAGCTGATCCAGCGCGGCCCTCGAATCCTTAATCTGGGTAAGCTTATCCTGCAGCTGCTCGTACCACATGCGCTTGTCGTCCATCTCCTTGATATAGGACAACTGCTGGGAGTGCAGCGAAGTCAGAGTCATGAAGAGGGTCTGCACAGAGGAATCGTTGGAGATGCTGCGCCCACGACTCGAGTTGGACTTCATGCGGTTCACAAATATCTCCACCTGAGTGCGCATATTGGCGGCAAACTCATCGATCTGCACCTCATCCGCGCTCTTGGGCTGCAAGGGCATAATCTGCTGGGGCTGCGGAGTCGGTGGCATGGGACTCGGAGCCGAGGGACTGGCCATCGATGAGGACTCGCTGATCTTCCGCTGCTCCCAGTAGCTGCGGTTCAAATACTTGGCCAGCTCCGGATTGGTGGCCTCCTCCGGTTGCTGTGGATACTCCTTGGGCTCGGGCGGTGCCTCCGGGCTGGGAGATCGTTGCTGCATGCGATAGGCAGTAGCTGCTGATGATTGGGATTGCTGCTTGGGCTTCTGTTGCTCCGCCTCCGATTGACTGAGTGCCAGGGCCAGTTGCAGTTCCTCTTCTTCCTTAAGCTCCTGCTCGGTCTTGCGGGCTGGTGTCTGGAATGTTTATATTTTTCGATTAATATTTTAGTAAAATAAAATAAATAAAAGGAACCTTTCTTTCGTTTTTAAATAGAGAAAATACCCGTAAAGGGTGTAAAGATTTATTTTGAATATCTTTTTGTTTATGATTTAGGCAATGAACAAATAAATTACATTTCAAGAAAAAACAACCAACTAATTATAGGTTTAAAATCATACTGCGTATGACCGATCGGAAATTATCATTGCTTGCTGTATATTGTGGAAAACATTTTTAAATGTATGTTTTATCATAGATAAAGACTAAATAAATAAAATTTCTCACAAACACAACCATTCATCTATAGGTTAAAAATAAAACTGAAAATGACCGATCGTAAATTTATCATTTGCATTTTAGTGGCTGTTTTCTTATCTCCTTGCATGATAGCAATACTAATGCGCAATCTGGTGTCTCACCTGAACCTGCTGAGCCAGGGTGCTGTTTAGATACTCCGCCGGCAGTTCGCTATCCGCCGGACGCGTTCCGGTCTTCACTCCGCCGCTGCCGCTTGTCGGACGCTGTAGGGCAGCGAAGCAGCCGTCGCACACTCGCACCTCCTTCTCGATTCCGTACTTGGGCAGCGGGCACTGTTTGGCGGTGCACTGGCCACAGAAGACCTGGCCGCAATTCCGGCAGTGGTGCTTCCGGTTGGTGAAGGTGAACTCTACGCGACAGCGATGGCACACCCTGCCATCCGCCCAATTGGGAGCCGTGTCCGCCGTAAACATGGCATCCGCCTCGCGAAGCTCGGGGAAGGTGTGTCCCTTGGCCTTCAGGATGGTCATGGTGTCCTGCAAGAGATGGGATTTGTATTATTGATAGGACATTAAATGGGGTGTGTCTACTAGGGACTCCTCCTCTAAGCTTAGTTCTTCCTCGGAGCTCATTTCGATTCAACTAATAAAATTTTACTGACTCAGTCTTGGTATACACCAAACAGTTGTTTTCTACTAATTAAATTAATAGTTAAAGACAGGGCCGGATTTTAGTACTAGGGGTGACTGATTTGTTAAAGGGGCTGGAAATATTATTCATTTTCTATGTAAAAGTCAAAGTTGAAGAAGAATAATAGGGAACCAAAATATCGCATCATATTTTGACATTGTTGGTTATTTTTAATAAGAAAGAAATAATTCCATGTAACTAAAACTTTCGTGCTACTGTAGATTAAGAAAGCAGTTTTGCTTTGTTTCTCTGTATAAGCTTAGTATAGAAGTCAGAATCTGTAGATATTTCAGTTTAACTCCTTAATTTTTAGGTGTTTCTAATTACATTTTGCGACACTATTGGGTTTGTTTTTAAATTTCCCGATAAAATACCATGGATTTGAGTGATTTCTTTAAGACTTCCATTAAAAAGAAATAACAGTTCCTACCTTGATGGCCTGATATTTGTCCGAGGATCGGAAGGCGTTGGCCCAGGTCTGCACCAGTTCCAGCATCTTCTGGCGCACGTTCTCGTGGGGTGTGGACTCCAGGAAGCTGCTGAACATCTCGCAGTTCTCCTTGGTAAAGACCTCCTCGTGAACGGGGGCTCCACAGTTCTTCACGATGCTCTCGAGGACCAAAAGGGAATAGCAGCTTGAGTGCGGATTGGGGGAGTTCATCTTCTTCTTGATGGCAGCAAAGGCGTTCTTGGGACTGCAAAAAAAGTACCACTTAGTAACTTTTATTACCAAGTAATCCGCAAACTTACGTGACATCTTTCTGATTGATCTCATCGCAGATGAGTAGAATCGAGGGCCAGTCGGGCTCCAATCGCAAGTGGCTCGTGGCATTTTCTGCAAATGGAAAGTGCGGAATTATTACCCTTTGTGCATTTATCACACTCTTCAGTTGCTCGAGAGTTCAATTGCCTTTTATTGTTACTTCTTGGATGTTTGTTTTTGGCTTTTCGATGAGTCACTTTTACGGGAAAACTTTGTCTTAGTTTACTGTCATTTCTTCGAATTCTTACCTAAGTTTTTGTCAAAACTTGATCGAAACATGTTTCTTCCGCTTTTTCGCTGCTTCTCGTCGTTGTGTTTCTATTATTATTGTACTAAACTGATTATTATTGTTTTGCAAGTGCAAAGAAATTTTTCTGCAATAGGCGGAGGCTGCCACATCAATGAAATAACAGACTTTTAAAAGGCTGCCAGATCGCGGTGTAGTTAACAGCGAAAATATGAGTAAGTAGAAATCACTAGTGCGTAGATTGTAATTTATAAATTTTGAAAAGTTATAACGGTTTCTGAAATAAATAAATAAATTATTACAAACTCAAATTAAAAATTTAGGAAATGAGACCAAAAATAAATCCAAAATCTATGCAAAATTAAAACACAGAAAACTAATTTTGTAGGTTCGAAAAATTGATCAATAATAGACCAAAATCAGTTAAAAAATTAAAAATTGAAATGTAAATCGATGGAGAGTTAAATCACACGTGCAATTTCATTGAACAAAATTGTGAGAACAGAAGTCCGGTCCATCAACAGATAATGTATTATGAAAAATTCGGTAATTCAAGTATACAATCCACCAATTTAGTTTTATTATTTTAAACTTTTTATTAATTTAATCCCATTCATTTATAATCACTTTTAAAATAAGTACTTCAGCTAGATTCCTTAAACATCTTTTTATTTCGTTTGTTCATATAGGTCTTCTCTTAGAAATAGGTTAACTAGACAACTAATTATACACGTATATAAATGTTAGTTTATCCATACATAAACAGTATAAAAACTATGATTCGCTATGCTTAGAGGTTGCCGCAACAGTTGGCATTGGCATTGCAATGGTTCGTTGCATTTGTTAAAGTATCACACGCCGATATAAAAAGTTGGGTTTACTTGCAACTAAGCGATAAGTAACATAAAATCACATTCGATTCAAATTAAGCCGAATACTAAAAGCAAACACGCATAGCCAGATTTTAGTTGCTCTTCATCTTGTGCTTCAACGTAAAGTATGCCAGGACCTTGAAGATCGCTATTTGGGTCAGGATCATCATGATATTGTGGCCAAAGTCGCCACCCTCCATTCCAAATTGTCGCAGCACAGTCACGGCGTTCCTATAATTTATTAAAAAATGATTTGTTATTTAATTATTTATTACTTTCTAGGTTTTCGACTCACTTGAAGTGGCAATAGAACTCCGTGGGCGGGCAGACCAACTGACCCCGCTGGTTTCCATATAGCGAGATTACCATATTCTCCAGGGCGTAACGCAGTGGCGATATGTAGGCCATAAATCGCATGGCCGCCGGAATGTGATTCAGCAGGATGAGAAAGCCGGAGAACATCAGCATACAAGAAGTCGAAATGGCGCCCACAAAAGTTCCATTCTGAAAATAAGGTTTTTTTTTTAAAATCGATAAAAACATCTATATCCAATAACAATTTAATTTGTCTTACCACAGGATTTAAAACGGTTCCCAGGAATACACCCAGACCATCTGCACAAATCGTGACCACCACTGCACTCAACAGGTATTTAACAAATCGTTCCATTTCAATGGGCTGATCCGTCATCAGATATCCTATCGTTATGTACACCGTCGAAAAGATAATCTACAAAAAATAATGAAAAAGGTAGAATAATTATTCCTGCTATATTACATATTATCATAAATATATCAAGAACTAAATATTATAGTTAAAATACTTACATGAACTGGAGTGGAAGTGATAATAGTGGCAAGGTAATAGGTTCGCAGTTTGTACCAGTTGTTGAACGTCTCCTTTCTAATAATTTCGATTTCCGAGGGATCTGCAGACATAACCCATTAATGAGTAAGCCATGAAATAGTGTAGTCATTATCCTAACTTACATCTCAAAATGGCCGGCATAATGGTGGTGTACCAGAGATATACGCAGTGGATCATGATCATGCCAACATTGGATATTTGTTTGGTGGCATTGCTGCCCGAGTCGCCGAAGAACAGACCGATTAAAACCGAGCAGATTACGTGAATAGCAAGCTTCAGATAGGTTACCGTCTAAAAAGTAAAAGAAAGCAATTGATTAACTCTTTAAATAGGATAATTGTTCTATATAGTTTACCCAATCCCTGAAGAACTGCAGGTGACATCTACCAATTAGCAGCCAGAGACGCATGTATTCCGTGGGTGGATATGTGTGCTTGGTCAGGTCCTTCGACGACTCCATGTTCTGGATTTCGATCTTCTGGACCTGCACCTGAACCTGCCCAGGTGATTGAGATTCATTGAACTTGGCCACCTGCGTTTCACTGGGCAGAACGGCAGCCTCTCCCTGCATCAGTTGCTGATCGTATCGCCAGCGGGTGTCCTTGGCGGCTTCTGCCAGCGATTCCGTCTGATCTCCGTAATCGCCGTTCGCGCATTCCAGCACTGAAACAATTAACACCTTTAATGACACGCCTTATCCCTTTACTTTCCATTTATCAAGAAATCGATTTGTGAACAACATACACAGTAAAATAAATGTCTTAATTGATCAATTTTAAGAAAATCTTAGTGAGATTAGTAACTAGTCAGAATCCAACAAATATGTTTAAATCAAAACTACTGTTTAACCTAATTGTGTAAGTACAATTACATACATTTTATATTCATTGAATAAATTAATTAAACTTAAAAACCTTTAAAAAATGTCTAAGCATTTTAGACATTACTAAAAAAAGACAACATTCTTATTATTCTTATTTTTATTGTTCGTTTAAATTGAAAGCAATGTTTTTTTTAACACATCATCTTTACAAAAAAGAGTTTTATATACAGAGCAAACAAAAATTAGGAAATTATAATAATTTGTTTGATAATGAATACAAATCTTTTTCATAATGACAAAATAGATACAAAATAAAATAATCGTAAGTAGATCAAAGGTTACTGTAAGGTAAAAATTTCGATGGTGCTACAACAGATCGTAAGAGACAAAAACTGATTGTAGGAAAGGCAACATAATGAGCCAATTAACAGGTAGGCTTAAATGAGCAATCATGGCTAATAAAAAAAGAAGGGAAAGCCACTCACGGAAGTCGGCGGGATTGTGGTAGGGCGGGCACTCCAGGCCCACGTTGCTGAGAAACATGACCGTGTTCTGGGGCGTGCCCTGGTAGGTGCATCGACCCGCGCTCAACACGTAGATCAGGTTGCAGAGATTGTAGATGTTGGTCGACGGCTGGTGGATCGTGCACACGATGGTGCGTCCCTCGTTGGCCAAGCCGCGCAGCAGCTGGATGGTGTCGAAGGAGGAGGAACTGTCCAGGCCACTGTGGGAGATCAGAATTAAGAAAGGGTTCAAGGCTCGGATGTGGTCACTGTGACTGCAACAACTGGTTTCGAGGACAGTGGACCTCTCACTCACGTTGTGGGCTCGTCTAAAAATAACACCGCTGGATTGTCTATCAGCTCCAATGCGATGGACAGGCGCTTCTTCTGGCCGCCACTCAGGTTGGAGCACTTGGTCTGCCGCGCCTTGGTCAGCTTCAGCGAGTTCAGCAAGTAGTCGATCTGTAAATCACACCTCAATTAGTAATGTTCCCTTAATGGCACACTCAGCGAAAATATCGCTATTCAATAGATGAACTTTGATTTTTTAGTATTATATATTTTTGGAAATTTTTAATTGATAACGATAAACTATTTATGATTACCATTTACCATTTAAGTTTTTGAGAAAATTTGTATACACAATTTGTATACAATTTTTCTTAGTGTTTTTTCTGTTTACTCACCAGAGTTCGTTTTTCCTTAAGACTGACGCATTTGTTAGATATTTTAAGTGTTGCCGCCATCAACATCGTTTCCTCCACAGTAAAGTAGGGAAAGAAGTGATCGTCCTGCATAATGTAACCGCACAACTTGCGGGCCTTTCCGATTTCAATCTTTCCACTGACACCAGTTTTCGTCAGACCCGTCAGGATGTTCATTAGACTAGATTTACCGGCCCCCGAGGGACCCATTATCGCGGTCAACTCGCCCGATTTAAAGGTTCCTGTAATGCCCTTTAGCACCGATTTCTTTTCTGTAAATATAAATACAATGGGTTCATAACTTAATCAGTAATAAGCTAAGGAATATGGATTATAAAACCATCTTTTATAAAGACATCAATTTAAAAAAAAATTGAGTGTTTGATTTTTACTATGATCTTAAAACATTAAGAAATGTTAAGAAAAAAATTATGTATTAAAATAAATCCTATTATCACTTTGGTATGTAGATACGCTCATAAAATAGAGCCACATGTTATGTTTTAATGACACTTGATTGCAAGTTCATATGGTGTTATATAATTTATGCTCCTAGGTTTATTTTATTTTCAGGTTGCAATATACCTTATGACAGGAGAATTTCTCAACCTTCTTTATGTAAAATATTTCGCATGTGCGGAGCAATTAAGCTGCATACAATAAGGTTAGCAGGTTAGGAGCCATGAAAAAAACCAGCGTAAAACTAAAGCCCTCATTTAATTTTGCCCGCATCATAAATCAGAAGTAATATACATTTCGGATGGGTCAATCTAAAAAATGATTACTTGTTCCACTTAACGCAATCTTTTAATATGTTCCATTTGCGATAACTGTCTGCTCTATTGACTCTAGATTACAAAAAATAACACCTGTGGTCCGGGATCTTTGTGCTTCCGGCACACTTTGAGTGCTAATAGAGATAGTCAATTTGCTTTTGAATCCAATAGAAGTCAATCAATGAAAAAAACCACTCTAATTTTGACAGCAAATTTATTTAAAAAATAATATCTTTACTTTTATTTTACCATTTAATTTTCTTAAAATATTACTTTACTTTTTTAAATTTCAAAAAATGTAGAATTAGGAAGCATTTATTTTAATAGAAAATCGGTAATCCTATTTTTGATTTATTTGTACTGGTTTTAATAACTAATTCCACTAGAAATATAACCATTTCTCTGTCTTACCTTGCATCTTGGGTACATTGACCTGGTAGACGAGATCTTCGAAATTTATGTCGATGCCATAGACATTCTTCAGTAGTTTGCTGCTATCCATTTTGTGTGTACTCGTGTTATTCCGGCGTAATGTATACAAACGTTCTCGCTGATTTATTTTGGATGCTTATCGAAATTAATTAGCTTTGACTGCTTG